AGGAATGCGAGGAGAGCGATACAGGTTGAATTGCTTCTTATATAACAGAAAAATCTATTGTAATTTTACGGGATGAATGTTAAAAAGTGATAGCATCCAACCCCTGTACGTGGTTTCATTGTTTTAGCTGCGAAACCAAACTTTAGAACTGTGATTAGAATTCCAGATGATGCTTTGGCTCATGATAGAACATTTTCAAACTCAATCACCTGCATAAGCAATAATTCACAAGAATTGGAAGTTATATGATATTAATAGGGGTGGAATCTAGAAGATTCCCAGGCAAGGCAGGAACGGTAGAGGGTAATGGAGATGCAGTATGGAGGAAGCATATGGGACGAGTGATGACCAAGAAAGCAGCGAGAAAATGAGTGGGCAGTGTAAATGGAGGACCCGCAAACAAGGGTTGTCCGTTGCCTAAGCAAAGGGGCATCACTTGTCGTCCGCCAAGTCGCGTTGAGTGGGGAAGTCGGTGTGCCATCTGGCTGCGCAATCATTGATGATTATTGCACACGTGGTGCCCTTCGCCACCGCCCTTCCCTATCTCATTTATCACGCGGTCCCTCCGTTTGCTTCACGCCTTCCCTATATATACCCACGCGTCGCGCTCCCATTTCAGCGACCACCATTGATTCCGAGCATCCAAGTGTGTGCTCTCTCATCTCTGTGCCTGTCGATACTGTTTTGGGCTCACAGAGAGGGGGGAAAGAATTGGGATCAATCGTGGGTTTAGAAGAACATGAGGCGGGGCTTGAAGGTCTGGATGGAGGTGGCGCCTTCGCTTCTGGAATTCCCTCGGAGGCCTTCCGGCACTCCCAAGCTCGACACCATCCCTGAGGAAGATCTTGATTCTGAAGACGACTCTTCCGACTTTTGATCTCCCTCATTTCATTTCATTTCATCCATTCAAACGACCCACTCCTTCATTTTTGTTTTGTGATTTTGAACTTGCTGCTGAGGCTACGTGGTAGGCAGTAATTGCGTCCCCATTCTGAGATCATGAAATGGGAGACGTACGTTTACTCGTCAAGTTTATTACAAATTACGAGTAGTAGCGCTTCGTTCCTATACTTACCTATATATGTACTCATAGCTGTCAATTATTACAAATGAGCAGCTCAGATAATTATATTTGTGTTGATTATTTGTTGTGGAAGCCTGGAAGGGCTATGCGATTGTTTTGTGCTCACCAAGCAGAGGCGACCCTGCTTCTGACGTTTTTAAGAGGAAATACGCAGTAGATTAATGATAAGCAAATGCGCGTTACTTTTTGTCAAGACATTCTTAACACCAGATCCCACGGAATCACATGTCTTGGTGAAGTCACCCATCCTATAGTGAGTTCTCACTAAAAGGAGGGAATTCAAATTCTGTTCTGTCATTAAAAAGAGGAACTTGGATAGGTAGATTTCCCATCAGGTAAAGCACTTTGACTAGCTAAGCTTTTTATTTTTATTGATCTGCGTGCTCAAACCCTTGCCTAAACTGTCATTAAGGCTTTGTTTGGTTGGAGGGGAGGGAAGGGGAGGGGAAGGAAAATGAGTCCCTCCCTCCCCTCCCCCCTCCTATTTTGGCTCCCTCCAAATTGGGGGTTTTTGGAGGGGAGCCAAAATTTTGGACCATTATGCCCTTATATTTTTTTTTTAATATTCCACTTTTACCCATAAAATATATTATTATAATATTTATTTCAAATAAAAAAATATTATCCTAAGTAAAAAAAATAAAAAATCTATACATCATTATAATAAAAAATATATTATAAAAATTATTTAAAAATAAAAAATTATTTAAATAAAAATTATAATATTATAAAATTAATTGTTTTTTATAAATATATTATTTATTAAATATATTTTAAAGCTGGAAAAAAGGATAGCTTAAAGAAAATAAAATTTCATTTTTCTTAGAGCATATAAAATTTGTTAATTTGATTATTTTAAATATATTATTATATTAATTAGAATAAAAAATTACTGTACCGATTTTTTAATACACATATTAACATGATAAGACTGAATTTTTATTAAATTATATGATTTAAATTAAGATGTAAATTAATTTATTTAATATATCAATAAAAAACATAAACTAATATGTAAGGGTAAAATAGTAAATTGATTATTACTATCCCTCCCCTCCTTGAACCAAACAAGGGATCATTAAATACCCTCCCCTCCCCTCCTTTTTAATCAAACCAAACAAGGTGAGAATGAAACCTCCCCTCCCTCTCCCTACCCTCTCCTCCCTCCCCCTACCCTCCCCTCAAACCAAATAGGCCCTAAAAGAGCAAAGTTTTGGTCAAGTCATATCCCCATATTTGAGGTGTTTGGAAACAAATGTGCACTACTTATTATGGAATCACACATATTGCTACATGACCTTACTTTCATCAATATATAATCTATACAATAATTATATCGTTCATAGGACTCACTGTAAATTTTCTGTTTAGGAAAAAAGAATAATCTAGTTTAGTTTCCATCATTTAAATAATAAGGAAGTCAACAGAGCAAAACGAAAGAAGTGAATAATGGCGAAGATAAGTTTATCACAATTATAATATCAGTCAAGGCCACCGTCCAGTCCCCCGTCATTCTCAGAAGAGAGGACAAAAAAAACAGTGAGCTCATTCCGTGAAGCTTGGCGGCTCATTTGCATGCGTGGGCGTGGTGCTCTCTCACCCACAATATATCCCTCCAATTTCACAATTCAGCTTTCCCATGAACCCAATTTTACAAATACGATTGAACTGCGTGCCCTCATATTTCACGTGGCCGCCTATGCCATCTCCTTTCTTCTCGTTGTCACCATTTCATTCTCCGCTTCAATTTTTGTCGCCACAACCCCAGTGCTTTGCATGACTTCCATTTTCCTTGATAAAAAGTCTCTCATGGAGTGCCTCGGACTTAATTATAAAATTTTATTTATAAACTATAAACGAAATCTTATAATTAAAACTAAAAATAGTATAATATAAATTTTTTTACAAGCTTTGTTATTTATGATACATATGGATATGAGTTGCCCAATTTTTTTTTTAACAATGTCGAGATGGGGACATGCACCAGATATTAAGTAATATAAAAATATTTTTAAAGGGGAAACTTGGTAAAAAGTCCTTAATTACACAATTAATAGTTTTAGGCATTTGGCATTTGTCTGACGAGCACAGTATAAGTTATTTTTCTTTCTCAATTACGTGTAAATTAGAATATATTTTCACATGATTGACATGCACATAGATGAAGAAGAATTGTACCTGCTCAGGTATCTCGATTCTTATGCACATTTACACAGTTAATTTTCCAATCAAAGATTTTTAGCCAAATTTTCCTATTTTAAATTTTAAAAAAATAAGGTATATTCTCTCATTTTAATAGCGTATTCTTGGCCTGGACTAGAAAGAGCACCATTATTTCCGCTTCCACAATTGCCAAACGATGTAATTCTATGTTTAATGATTGGGGGTATGGTGGTCCTATTCTTGTTTTTAGGGCTGTGGTGTAGTAATAAAGCATTTGATTTTACAGCAACAAAGACAGACCTAGAAACATCTGCAACACTCATGATGAATGAACTGACGACGACGATGATGCAGAATGCATCCTCCACATCAAAGAAGCCACATGGGCCATAAAATGATCGCAACCCATAATCTACTTAATGAAGTGTTACCAGGCATCATTATTTAATATTCATATCTCTTAATTAGTCTTGATTGTTTAATTAAATCTTTTTTTTTTTTTAAATAAACTAGTTCAGTGGGATCAAATCCACTACCGCACCCTTATATTAGGGGGCAAATTTGTCACCACAACAACCTTCTGTTTTGGTAAATACCATTCCCTGAGAGGAAACGCATAAGCAAAAGCAAATTACTATCTCGCTTTCTTTGATCTTACCATTATTTCCTCAACCCGGGGAGCTCGATCAACATTAAGAGATAAGATTAATTAACACTTAAAATTTTAAATAAAGAGAAGTCACGAAACTTCTGGCTATCTCTGCTACATTAGCTCCTCCAGAACATTCGCTATTTTTTTTTTCTGGCTTAAATATTTATGTAGCATGGTATATTGGTGATTTCACTGATGTGATTAATTAGTTGAAATTAAGGTTATTATATTCCAAATGGTGGACTTCATAATTGCAGTGGGGATTATCTGAAAATAGATTCCCTACGTGTTTAAAATCCTTTTGACGATCCTATTAATCAGATGCATCCAGAGAAGTTCCCCTGGCATGCCTTCGTCATCCACCAATGATGACAACTACCTTTCCTCTTATTTTAATCACTTTCGTTTCATAATTCCCAATTTTCATCGTCACTGTGCCATTTTTTTAACATTATTTCAGGATAACATTTCTTAATCCCCTCCATTACTTTAACCCAACATATTTCTTGGCCACTAATTAAATAATTAACTTCTCGCCTCCACAATTATATCCCCCATTAACAAGTCAATATTCTCACAATAACAAACTCGAATTTTTTTTTTCTATAACAGAAATGTTTGGGCCAAGGCCTACTCAAAGTAAGTAAGAGGATGAGACAGACAGGACAAAAGCACATATGTATGCGTATCGAACGTTGCGTTGCTTTACCTGCTCCCTGCTTTGCCTTTCCATGATACGAATTAAAATTGTTACAGTTGGTCCCCAGCCACGTGTAGTCGTTAAGTGAACCCAAGCTTTCTAGGTCATGCTGGGCCACGTAATTAGAATATTAATCTTGATTGATTATTATAAAAAAAGTTACGGAGAGGGGAAAAAAATAGGGATGAGGGCGAGGAACCTTAGTGATCAGGAGCCGTTGGAGAGGCAATTAGTGGGCCAGTGCAAGCGAAGCCGAGCTAATAAGGGCGGCAAAATTTAATCACAAGAAAATACATGGGCACATAATTACAAAATTAGGGCGCTAATTATTTAATTAATTGTCAATACCCACTCTAGTTCTCTCTTTCCTTAAATACCCCTTTCTATTCGCCCCTCACTACCCACAATAGTATTGTGCTCTCTCTCCATCTCTCTCTGCTTACACACACAGCAAGGAAGTGGTAGTGAGGAACAAAGAAAGAAGAGATGGCGAAGGACGTTGAGGTGGCGGAGCAAGGGGAGTTCTCGACGAAGGACTACCACGAACCACCGCCGGCGCCGTTGATCGACCCGGAGGAGCTTGGGAAGTGGTCGTTTTACAGGGCGTTGATAGCTGAGTTCGTGGCGACGCTGCTTTTCCTGTACGTAACGGTGTTGACGATCATTGGACAAGGCAGCGTGACGGACACCACCAAGAATCCCAAAGCCACCGACTGCGATGGCGTCGGCACCTTGGGCATCGCCTGGGCCTTCGGTGGCATGATCTTCATCCTCGTTTACTGCACAGCCGGTATCTCTGGTACGTGTATATTTCTCATATTCTCCCTTCTCCGCGTATTCTCTCAGAAGCTACTCTGAATTCTCAGAGTTGATTCTGTTTTCTAGAGCTTTTCTAACATCACAAAACCACCACCTTCTTTACGCTTTCATTTTTAACTCTCGGTGGTTCATCTAAACGACAGCTTTGTACTTCAGTAACAGACAGACAAGTGAAATCACACACACACACGCACGCAACCCTTTTTTTTTTTATTTAAATAATTTAGATATGTGATAACACTTAATATTTTAAAGATAAAAAAAAGGGGTTAGCTTTACGTGAATTATTTGCTGTTATTTTAGTTTTTAATTGAGCTATATGCATGGGGTTAATCAGAGGGCCATGACTCCTTGTTTGGAATATTTAACTTGGATGATCACAGTAAATTGTTTATTTTATATTTTTGTGTATATAGTGAGAATGATGTAAAACATAAATAATTTAAACATAATTGTTCTCTTCTTTGTGAGGTTCAAAGAATTTGAATTCCTTTTATTCATAAGCAGCTTGAATGATATTGTTGTCTTTGTATGTGTTGATTCTGTTGTGAATTGTGCTCAGATAGATGAGTATCTTAGAAAGTGGGTGGTTAGTGAAGATAAGGAAAATGATTAAGATGTAAGAATTAAGAAATTTAAGGGAAAAAAATAATGGCAGTGGGGGGCGTAAGTTAGCAAGTGATGCTGAGAGTTTGTCTAACGTGAACGCAGGAGGACACATCAACCCGGCGGTTACATTCGGGCTGTTCCTGGGGCGGAAGGTGTCGCTGATTCGAGCGTTCTTGTACATGGTAGCACAGTGCGCCGGAGCAATCTGCGGCACCGGACTCGCCAAGGGCTTCCAAACAGCATACTACGACCGGTACGGCGGCGGCGCCAACGTCGTCCAGCCCGGCTACAGCAAAGGCACCGCCTTGGGCGCCGAGATCATCGGCACCTTCGTCCTTGTCTACACCGTCTTCGCGGCCACCGATCCCAAACGAAACGCCCGTGACTCCCATGTTCCCGTATGCCCCCTCCGTTCTTTTCATTTCTTCCCCCTCTCTCACATGTTTTTTCACTCGTTGGAGGTGACTGATCTTTTTATTTCTGGTAACATGATGAAAGGTGCTGGCTCCACTTCCCATCGGATTCGCCGTCTTCATGGTTCACTTGGCTACAATTCCGGTCACCGGTACCGGTATCAACCCTGCAAGGAGTTTCGGAGCGGCTGTAATCTATAACAGTGACAAGGCCTGGGATGATCACGTAAGTATTTTTACCAATCCATCTCTTTTCATCATGCCAGAACATTAGATTTATATAAATATCTCATGATGTTAATTGATGCTTTTGATTACAGTGGATTTTCTGGGTTGGCCCAGCAATCGGAGCTTTTGCTGCCGCAGTATACCACCAGTATATTCTCAGAGCTGGGGCCATTAAAGCTCTTGGATCCTTCAGGAGCAACAATTAAATTAAGCTCATCAGTTCTGTCATGTGTTACATGGTTTGTGGAAGAAGGGGATATTAATGGGTATGGTGTTTCCCAAAAGAATAACAATTTCATATGGAGGAGTGCTACTACTGCTAGCTAGTCTGTCTTCCGAGGGTCCCTTTAATGTTTGGCATTTCCCCCCCTCTTTATTTCCTTTCTGCTCTTGGAGGTTTTAATCTGGAGAGGGAAACAAAACCGGAAAGCTAAGGACCATATGAACTGTAGATATCGCATATCATATTGCCTGAGTCCAAGGGTGTATTTTGTATCCCTTTTGTCGTTTTCTGTTTCTGTGTATTCTCCTATGTGTTTGCTTTTCTTCTTCAATTTTTCGTCTTCACCTGGTTCTTCGTATATAATAAGTGCTGTATTCATCTGTTCTTGGTTTCCATTTCCGCCCATCATTACACAAAAAGGGGAAGAAAACATCTTTGTGTATGTCTTTTGACTTTGATTTTGGGACTCGAATTGCTTCAATACATATTAAATCAAACAATGAAACATGAACATAATGATATCATAATAGATATATACAGAGTTGAATGATTCAGCAACTGTAAGAGAATGAAGACCCCTTGAGAATTTTTCAGAATGGTGTAGAGACAAACTTGAATAGATGTTTCACCTTTTTTAATTTTTTTTGGCTGCCTTGACTACTATGTTCTAGAGTATTAGGTATGTGTCATTTTCCATCAGCCGATGATGACAAGTTAAATAAATATCCTTTCCAGATAGACTTCACTGTTTGAATAAACATGGAGCTCGAAGCTCAGAAAACACCAGTTTCTTGAATCTTCGAAACCGGAGGATGCCCACAGAGTCTGTGGCTCAAATTATGGTGCTGAGTATTATATTTTTAATTCGGATCCATGTCGTTTAGTGGGCTTTCCGGTAGGATGCTTATCTTAGGGGTGATTATTGGAATATAATATCGCGGAATGGATCATGATGGGAGGATGAATTAGTACCATATTCTTTAAACCAATGTGTAGTGCTCTCGAAAAGCTCCCACTTTATCCTCATTTATATGTTGTGAGTTGGCTTTTGTGGTAGTGGTTCATATACGTGATGTGAGGATCGATTTGTCCATTTCTTGAATGTAATTTCTGCTTCAAGGATTTTAGTTTAAAATAGATTTATACTATGAATTTTTGAATTGATCCAGAATACGAAGTCTTTAATAAGCACGATAAACATAAGCTAATTATTGTGTGATTTCTTCCTTTTATTTTGAGATGTAGATAGAAAAAAAGCTTTTGCATTACGGGGGCATCAAAATTTATACGTATGGACTACAGTTTCCAGAAAGATTAAGGAATGAGATAAATCATAGTTGAACTAGGGTTTAGTTTTATCCGAAAATTTTTGCATACAAGCTATAGATGTTTGCATTTTTTTTTAATTTTATGTTGCTCCAAATTCATATTAATTATTATACTTAGTAAGCACTCGAAAAGCAAATAATAATATATTTTTATAGTAATTTCTAATTTAAAATTTTAAAATTTAGTAGTTATTTTTTTTTTTTGAGATTTCTCCTGTCATCCTACTTAAAATGATGGACATGGATCATGAAACACGTGATAAACAAATACCCAAAAAAAAAGAGGAGATAAAAGTAAATGATATTAAACCTTCATTATATAGGACGAAACAAATTCTTTTAACATACCTATTTTATATTCTATAAATCAGGATTAAAAAATAGTTTTTAAGCTACTGTGCCTAAATCAAACTCTTAGTTACTATTGAAAAATAAAAAAGTAGTAGTATTAAATTTTTCTGTACGGTAGGATAGCCATGAAAACAGACTTTATTTCATGATCACCTAGGTAAAATTATTTCTCAACTTGGTACAGGCAATGCTTTTTTTTTTTTGGAGAAAAGTTCACTTTGCTCTTCATATCTTAAGAGAGGTTAATCTCTACTCCTGACAAAAAAAAAAAATCTCTACTCCCAATTAAAAATACTCATGATGTTTCAACCCCGCGGGGTTAGGTCCACTGGCTCGGGTCGTCCTAGCTTAATCACGGATCTCGGGTTCGAGACGTGTGAACGCAGCACTCCAAGGGGTCAGGGGGCGCGTCCGTATAGATCCTTGCAAGCTCCCGAATCCGGATTAGTCTGGGGACGTTGTCACGTCTGAAAGATCCCTATTTCCCTGGGATACTGGATGGAGTAATTCAAAAAAAAAAAATACTCATGATGTTTCAGGAGAAAAAAGAATAAATATTTTTTAAATTTGAATAATTTTATGTAGGTCCCAGACTTTTCAGTTTTTTCCCAATAAACTGCATGAACCTTTTTAATTACAACACGCATTTATTTAAAATGAAATGGCTGGGTGTCCTCCTTTTCTCGCCGCGGCATGCCTTGGGGTTGATTTATGCCTGGGCCCCTTATTTGTTAATTTGCATAATATTCGTAAGAATTAGTAAGATAACCACCTTATCTTGATCCTTAATTTATGTCTACGTCTTTTCGCTTTCACTTGGATGGCATATATTAGGTACAATTCAGGCTCCAGCTGTTTCTATACTTTTTTAAATCATGATTAACCTAATCGATTTTTTTTCAATAAATTAAATATTCCGTAAAAATTAATCTCTCCGTTTGATAATTTTGGTATTTAATATATACTTCTCATAGTCTCCCTTGCAGCATACAGAGTACAAATGAGCAATATAAATCTATATGGGGGTTGGCAACAATTTAAGGGATTTGCACTTATTTAATTGAGGGATATTCGTTATTAAATTATGATTTAACGGTGTTGAGGGAGGAATTACAAAATTCTTTTTTTAAAAAATAAATTAAAGTATCTAATTATGACTTCTTCCTCATTACCATTAAGTCACAATCGAATGGCTAATAATCTTCAATTGAGGGTATCTAAATCCCAGTTTAAGAAAACATTTATTTGAAAAAAAAATTGGACAACACCAACCCATCTTGAGACATCGGAGTACTGATCCACGAAACTAAAGAAGATAAGACTTTTTATTTTTTTCCTTTGTATAAAGAAATATGCAAGGTAAGCAATACCAATGATTTTACAACTTAAGAAATATACTGAAAAGGACGTCCGGGTTTATCAGAATCAATTTCTTCTCTCACAAGAAAGAATCCCAAAAACCAGATTGAAATGAAATAAAAATGATAAAGGACGATGTAGAAAGAAAGATAAGGAAGGAATAAGAAAAAGTTGAGCTTTAGCTTTGGCCGCATATTCTTCCTGTTAAAGGGATATCCAAGTGTCCATAGCTAAGGATCAATAAGGCAAAGCATCATGAGTTTACACTTTTGGCTCCCAAAATTAGTATCAGAACTTTTTGTCGTCTTCATATAATGATATGCATCTTAGAAAAATGAAAACAAAGTGAGATCAATGGGCTGAGACTCCTCGTTAGGAACTCATTATTCTTTGAGCCCATGAGCTGGGGACCATCATTAAAGCATTCCAAGCAGTGCTCCCATTGGCTTTCCTCTGTCCTTTCTCTTTTCTGGGGCTTTTCATTCCACTGTTATCACCCACCAAGAGCAACCTATTTACAAGGCTTGAATTCAAAATCTTGTTCAATTAATTACCTTTCATTTGATCTAACTCTGATTGGTATCTGATGTCATAGTATTGCTCTTTAACCCAATGCTTGATCGTGCATATTCTATTGATAAATTATGTAGTAATACTTCAAATCTTCACTGTACAATAGGGCTTACAACCCTTCCCTAATCACAACTCTTTTCCTTCTTCTTGGGTCACAGTTATGGCTGCTAAGTTATTCCACAGTCTGCAAACATAACCCAGAAGTTATCCGCCAAAGATAATTACTTCCAAATGCAGGGCACATGAGCCAACGTTGGAGGATCTTTCCATGTAGTGTATCTGGTCTCTCCCTCCCTGGACACCCAAACACATGGTGGTCCACCTCAGTACAATTTCGTAAATCATGCTTCATACATGATGTTTGAATTTATACAGCTAAGTTATGCGGAAAGGAAAAGCATACGCATAATATTTATTTTGACACAGAGCAAACTGGGGGTAAAATCAACAACAATAAACTCGTGCTAACGGATGAGATTCCATAAATAAGGGAAATGGGTAAGTAAACGTTAATTCCTTTGTTTGAAAAGCAATTGTCATTTTGAAATGACTTGAAGAAACTCACAGAAAGCCTGATAAGTTTAGAATTAGAATTTCACTGAAAGCAATTGCATGGCTCTAGAATGATGTGTGGTGTTTGTTTTCCAGTGGGAGTGTGAACATGCTAAGCATAGGTGTGGAGGTGACAGAGGAAGTACCTTCCTTCTAAGGACTTTATGACAGAAGGGGTTTGGCATGTGACTTGCCTGGGCCACTGCACAGCTTATCTCATGTGACCCTTTTTACTTGTGCTCTCAAGTCTAACATGTGGTCCCACCTTGGACCCTCTTGATTGGGACGCTTCTTTCTGCATCCCAATCCTCCATGAATTATATCCCACTGGTTCTTTCCCTTTTGTGCAGCACAGCATCATGGACAGCCCATTTCTCAGTTCTCACATTTTGTCATCAGACACACTCACCTCCTGATTCTTCACTTGTCCTCATCAGTCCAGAGAGGAATGCAGACAAAAAGTCTTTGATCATTCATTAGAATCGTGGCTTTAAGATTTCGTTTACAAACATATTCTAAGATTTGAAACCTATAAAACAAAGATATGCCACTGTTTCTAAGCCTCTACCAAACGCAATAATCATTCCCCATCCACCCCATTTCTCCTAAATACCTCTACATTATAATCTAATTAATTCTAGAAACATAAGATTGGAATGTTACGGGATGGAACATTCAAAATATGGTTTTTAAAATGTTGCATCTGTTCATTTGGACAAAACTTGTGAAAAGTGGAAATGAAATCAAGTCCAACCGTACGATGACTCTTTCCAACGACATGTGAAACAGAGGCGTAAATTCAACATTACAACTATTCACGGTGGAAATAATGATTTGGCTGGAGGAGCCATTCTTTTCAACGGCGAATGAATTGTTTGCATTCTGCACCATCATATGTATTTGTCATCTGAGAAGTCTTTGGTTCAAAAGCCAACGCAAAGGTAGGCATGTAGTCTTTTGGAACAACAAAGATGGAATCTCCCCTGTAAGCTAGCAGAAAAGAAAAATGCTGGCATGTAAATGTACTCTCTCTCTCTCTCTCTGCTCTTCACTATATATTTCTTTAACTTTGGGCAAGTAGTTATATGGCACCACAGTTGGTGACTTTCTCTGGGAATCTGTCTCTGCATCATTAAAATTCGCTACATTCTAGTTCTGATGTACTTGCCTAGTCTATAATAACTCCAGAGACCTAAAATTCTATAGGCCTATGTTTTTTGGCTTTCGTTGCATGCCTAACACAGAATTGTCACTTGTAGTGTATCCTTTTAGAGCATCAGTACAGTAAGGTGATAATCCTGCTTTTCGCGTAAAGGTTTAGGCTTTGAATGTATTAGTATTAGATAAGCATGGGTTCTTCCAAGCAGCGGAGAGTCAGTGACACAGGGCATCTATGACTCACTTTAGCTTCTAACTTTTGTGTTTTGGAAGTAGAACAGGTTTGGTCTATGTTCTGGCAGGCATTTGGAGATTCTTTTGGAATCTTTTGGGATTTGGAGTTTTCTCTGTCAGGAGAGTTTCTCGGGTTTAAGACCTTCAAAAGAAACTAGCAAGCAACTTACCTGTCCATTTCAATAAAGATAGCCTTTTAAGAGCAAATCTGCAACTTTTTCTCCTCCTTTCTTAGCTGGAATCATTCAAGAAAATCCACCGTTTGGTTTTCGAGATGCTAGAGTTTTAGAGTCTTACTTTCAAAGTTGCAGGTGTTCTGAACTCGTATGCTCACTAGGTACTGCTTCAGCTCGTTTGTAACAAACAATGCAACTAACAACCAGAGATATTGTAAGTTCCATCCGTCTATTATTAACTTCCGGTCATCACTCTTAACATTTATTCTTTGATATTACTGGCTGTTTTTGAGAGTTCCTCGTATTTTGATGGTAAATAGGAGCTAAGTATGCTTGTTTCGAAAGAGAATTTTATGTCTTCCTTCTGATAAACCCAATTAACAATGCGGTTGATCTGTTGGCAACAGTTACCTCTACTTATGGTGATCCAACTTCTATATCCCAACAAATCCAGCTCCACATTATATGGTAATCTTTACCCTCGTGTTACTGAACAAGCTTCATACCCTTCATGCTCAATTCCTTGATATTCCAGAACCATATACTATTGATCTTGGATTATTCTGTTTATCTGCATATCTATTGCAAAACTCGCTTCCTTATTAATCTTTGAACACCATGTGTTTGAAAATAGTCACGAGTGAGTCAATGAGAAGGACACTGGCTAGTTAACATGCTTGTCTGCTAACTGCAGCTGAAGCTCTGTTCACTTTCAAGATTACGCTTGGCAGTCCACAGCAAATCTCATGTAGTATTGCAAAATACCCAGGTGCTTTTCCTTTGTAAGATCCTTTTCTCTGTCTCTGACGATTTGTAGATGTAACTGCAAGTGTATGAATTTTAAAGGAATTATCTGGCATGAAATGATGATCCATTTGACATAAGACAAAACTGAAGTGCAGATCATAGGTTATCATCAGGTTCTCCAATCAATGCACAACAGATATTTTAACAAGATAGAAATATATTGGAGCTTAACACTAAATGATAAGGCCTTAAAAAAAAAAAAAAGTCTTCCCCTCTTACTATTTGATCGGAGAATTTACAGGAAACACTCAAGGAACTTTGCTTTTAATTCTTCAGTTCTAACATACTGGAAAATGTACAGCACAACAATAATCAGTCAAAATTTGTTTTGACTTTAAGGTCTAACGGGGTACCAGCAAAGATTGATGGGACAAATGAAGTTCCAACGCTTACACCTTTGCAAGAAGCTCAAGTTAAAAGACCTGGAGGAACGAGCGTTGCTGCCATTGTTGGTGGTGTTGCTGCTGCCGTACTTGTGATTGTCATAGTAGTAATTGTTTATGCCTGTTTGATGCGTGTTAAGAGATTAATAAGGCAAACATCTGACACTGCTTCTTCTTTTCCATCTCCAACTGGTAAAGTTTGGTAGATCTAGTGGTTCAATGTAGTTGACGCAACACAAGCACAAATTCTCAGATCTTATTTCTCTGTTTTTCGGACAGTTGAATTGGGAACACGCAGTACCTCACAGGACACAAGGCGGTTCACGATCATGGAACTTGAACAGGCCACAAGAAATTTCAGTGAAAGTAACCTTGCAGGTGAAGGTAGATTTGGTTTGGTTTACAAGGGTTTACTTCAAGATGGATCTATTGTTGCTATAAAAAGGCGCCAATATGCTTTGATTCACAGTTTCATCCCTAAGGTGAAACAAGGAAGGAGATGTCTCTGTATGCCACGGAAGCAGAGTTAGCTTCAACTTTTCATTAAAATTACTGTTAAGACCCCGCAACCAATTTGATCATTCTATTTCTCTCTTCCTTTTTTATTTTTAAATGGCGGGCAGGTGATGCAAATAGCTAACATTCACCACATCCATCTTGTCAAGCTTATTGGTTATTATGAAGATGGCTATCAACAGTTACTTGTGCATGAATATCTTCCCAATGGAAATGTAGGAAATCACCTATACGGTACTTTGACAATCTATCTTTCTGTATTATTGCATTCTCTTTAGCCTTATAATCCACCTAATCCTAATCAATGTTTTTTCACACATGTTGGCAAATATTTTTCCTTCTTTACTGGTACCTATTTCTCAATAGAATTAAAGAATGACGTAGTAAGTTAGGCTTAGTTAAGAAACATTCCAATCTTTGTCCACAATGCTAATATTTCAGCTCAAATGCTTGCTATGCAGACAATGAAGGTTTACCAATTGGAAGGTTAGATATGCAGCGAAGATTGTCTATAGCTTTGGGTGCTTCCAAAGGTAATTTCATGTTCTTTGTCGTAAGTTATAACTATTCTATGTTATAGTCAAAACAACATTATTTTCAACAAAACCGCTACTTAATTTGTCCCAGGAATGGAACATCTTCACTGCTTGGCTCCTCCAATGCTGCACACAAATTTTAGAACGAGCAATGTTCTTGTGGATGAAAGCTTCACCGCCAAGGTTTCTGATTATGGACTCTGCAAGCTGCTAGCTAACTCTGACCATGCTGGCTCATCCTCAAACACAGACTTCTTTCGTGACCCGGAGTACGTAGTAATTATATCTCCTTTGAAGGAATGGGCTTTGTTTTCCATCTTTCTCCCCATTCACTCGAGGCATATGGATCTTGTTTTTCCAAAGGTTGAATCAATCAAAGGATTTCTCAAAGACGAGCGATATATACAGTTTTGGGGTCTTCTTACTTGAATTGATTAGTGGACGAGAAGTGCATAAGTCAAACTCGGCAGAGAATCTGGTATTTCAGGTATTGAAACGCTCTTCCACGTTCAAAATTAGATGGACAAATGCCACGTTCATGTATGACTTAGATCTACTCTATGTCTTGGCTTTTGAAGGTTAACAACAGCCATGGCGTTTTGGAGGAGTTTGTGGACGCAACATTAGGAGGCCATGAAAAGCAAGCTGCGAAGAAGGTGATGAAGTTGGCGACGATGTGTCTAAACGAGAGTACTACAAGACCATCAATGGCACAAATTGTGCGAGAGGTGGAGCAGATTCAAAGAGAATTCAGCTCCTTACATTCTTACAACACTGAGGTGATTGGTGGGGTCACTCTTGGGAGTGATCTCTTCAAGTAGACCTCGGCTTGTTGCGATGTCAGTTTCACTAGTACCATTGATTTTTCCCCTTAAAATTATTGATATGGTCATTACTTGCGCACAGGCTATTGTAATAATCCTGCCGAGAATGGATATTCATTTGTAAAAGCATTCTTGGATCTGACTCTCTTAATTTCAGGCGCAAAGTTTCTAGCATTATTGAATCTGATCGCCTTGACTGACTTCAGGCGCAAAATATTCAAAAACTCCATTCCTTATTGTCAACTTAGCATTTACTGTACTTTGTCTTTTTTGATGTTCTCATGTCGGTAAATATTGATTATTTTTCGTCGCTGAATGCTACTCCGGTCCTAATTATAAGACCCAATTGACTTATTTGAGGAGATTAAGGAAGTAAGTTAAGTTGGTTATTTATAATAAATAAGTGTTGTCATTCCTAAAATATCATTGCTAATTAAGTATATTGGCTAAAACTATCATTATTAGAAGGATTATCTTGGAAAAAATACATAAATATAAGAGACGAAATGGATTGGGGTCTTATAATTAGGACCAAATAAAAAGTCAAATGGAGTCTTATAATAAGGACCGGAGGAGTATAATAATTATGGAAATGCTAGAAGGAAGAAATCAAGAAAATCTGAAAATGAGAAAAACCCGGGTTACTGAAGCTGCTGTGCATCTAAACGGCAATGAATGGCGTCGTTTGAGAACCCGGGAAGTTTTCCTACTTGAAGTCCAAAACAACAAAACAAAAACTGATACTCGCGCCGTTGGTTTACCAAGTCTCTGGAAAGCTGCGCTGCAGGTTGCTGAGAGAGAGATCTTACTCTCACACAGAGAAGCTTGAACACCTCCAGAATGCTACGTCGGCGACTCGTTGCTTTTCTTTTCCTCACTTCTCTTCTTCTCTTGTCCTCCTTCTCTCTCACTTTATGCAAGACCGTCGAAAACGACAACGATGACGAAGATCTCAGCTTTCTGGAAGAAGCTGATGATAGCTCTGCCTCCCACCATTACCCAGATCCGGATCATTTCGACGATGGTTCCGTCGGTGAAGATGATTTTGAGGACTTCTCCGGCTTCGACGAGTCGGATGCCGATGCGGAGGAATACAAAGAACCCGAGGTGGATGACAAAGATGTTCTTGTATTGAAGGAGAGTAATTTCAGTGACGTTGTGAAGAAAAATCAATTTGTGATGGTGGAATTTTACGCGCCCTGGTGTGGTCACTGCCAGGCTTTGGCTCCAGAGTATGCTGCGGCCGCCACTGAGTTGAAGGGCGAGAATGTGATTTTGGCGAAGGTGGATGCCACGGAGGAGAATGAATTAGCCCAGGAGTACGAAATTCAGGGATTCCCCACAGTCTATTTCTTTGTCGATGGGGTTCACAAGCCTTATAATGGCCAGAGGACCAAGTAAGTGCGATAATTTGACTTAGATTCGGCTATTTTTGTTTTCACGATTGCCATCATTTTGGTCTGTTTGATTGTTGAGTATCGTTCAGATTGGGACTTGGGATGGAATTGAGGATTTAAAAAAAATGAATTTTTTTTACTACAATTTCATGGCCAAGAAATCGTGAAACCATGAAATTGCTCTGCGCTAACGAATGGAGACATAATTTACACTGTAAATTTCCATAATTTTTAAATCTTGAGTACCTCGGCAAGTTTGAATTGAGCTAGTCTTACAATTATTTTACTGGACCTGAATTTCTTATTAAATTGCAGAGACGCTATAGTAACCTGGATTAAGAAGAAGATAGGACCCGGTGTTTCCAATATAACTACATTGGATGATGCCGAACGCATACTGACCTCTGAAAACAAAGTTGTTTTGGGGGTTCTCAACTCTCTAGTGGTAAGTATTCGGATTTCTTGAGCAGAGTTAATTTGTTCTCGGGTCTTCTATTTTTGTTTTGATTTTGTGTCACCTTTAAAACATGTCAACACGAGTCAGGATCATGCTGTCAGAACCAATCATGAAATGATATATTTTTGTAAGTAGATCTCTCAAGATGGTTTTGTCACTTCACAATGAAATATTATCATAATGTTGAATTGCATACTCAGCCAGTGAATATCTGTTTGAGCTGACAAACTTGTGTAAGCAGTCAACTCGTCGTGGTCGATTACTTGGGTCAAATTGGTGGGTCTGAGAATTGAAATCTTTGAATTTGTTAGTGTCTTACCTTATTTTATTCCATCAAATTATGCAGGGTCCTGAGAGTGAAGAGCTAGCGGCCGCATCCCGACTTGAGGATGATGTCAGTTTTTATCAAACTGTTAATCCTGATGTGGCAAAGCTCTTCCATATTGACCCAAATGTCAAGCGCCCTGCTTTGGTCCTGCTCAAGAAAGAGGAGGAGAAATTGAACCACTTTGGTTTGTTTATTTTTTTGTTTTTATCTCTTTTGGCTGAAGATCTGGTGTTTTTCCAAGAAAATTTGATATGTATTCATCATGTCTCTGCAGATGGCCAATTTGTAAAATCTGCAATAGCAGAATTTGTGTTCTCGAACAAACTTCCTCTGGTCACAACTTTTACAAGGGAAAGTGCCCCATCAGTTTTTGACAACCCGATCAAGAAACAGGTAATTGATGAATATAATATATTGTCGTTCTAGGAAGAAACATTTATTTGTATATTTTTAATTTGTAAAGAAGGACCCAGTGATCTTACTGACAATTTCATGCGTGCGAAACTCTTTCTTTAGCTGTTGCTCTTTGTGACTTCAAATGATTCAGAGAAGTTACTCCCAGTATTCCAAGAAGCAGCAAAATTTTTCAAGGGAAAGGTATATTTGTTTAAGGCTAGCCTTTTAAGATTCTGTAGAGTTCTTTTTCCGAATTGCAAATGTATCAGGTAAAAGAGGAAATAAGAAAATAATAACTTTGAATTCCTGTAATTTTTTACGTAAAAAACATAAATTTTAATCGTTTGCCCTAAAACATATTCTTCATTTTGGACAATAATTTATTTCAAGTTAAAATTATGTATTGCAGCTGATCTTTGTACATGTGGAACTGGATAATGAAGATGTTGGAAAGCCAGTTTCCGAGTTCTTTGGAATCAGTGGGAATGCTCCAAAAGTACTATTTTTCTCTCCCCCTTCTGCATTCCATTTCTTCGAAATTTCATTTCATTTCATTTAACTTGACATTAGTATTATGAAGGATTATATCCTTTGATTTATTCGGAAGTAAATTTAACCACTGAACTGCCCAATTCAGGTACTTGCATACACTGGAAATGACGATGGAAAGAAATTTGTGCTTGATGGAGAAGTGACTGTTGACAAAATTAAGGTACTTCTCTCTCTTCCTTGTCCCACTCCAACCCTGCTGGTGGTTGTACTGACATTCTGCAACATGGTGTGGAATATGCATATATGCTCCATTCTATGTTTATGGACACCGTGGTGGTAGGACTGTGGCTAAAACCAGTGGGTGATCCTTGTCTTGTTTCAGGCATTTGGGAACGATTTCCTTGAAGACAAGCTAAAACCTTTCTACAAGTCAGATCCAGTTCCTGAAAATGTAAGCCGTTACTTTTTCTCCTAGCCATCAAGTGCGCAACCATTTTGCATATTCAATAGTTTATTGAAAATTTTGGATGATTGCGCAAATATCAAGATGATAGTGGGGTCAACCTTTCCATCGACTACCTGTTAACATCTTCTTTGACTTGATGACAGAATGAGGGGGATGTGAAAATAGTGGTCGGGGATAACTTCGACGAGATTGTCTTGGATGAGTCTAAGGATGTTCTCCTTGAGGTACAATTCTGACACTTGTCGTTGCCAAGTCATGTTTGCCTCTGCTGTCTGCACCTTATCCAGGTTAATGTAATGGTTATCTGGGAAAAAAACTAGATTTATGCACCCTGGTGCGGCCATTGCCAAGCTCTGGAACCAACATACAATAAGCTTGCTAAACATCTACGAGGCATTGAGTCTCTCGTCATAGCCAAGATGGACGGAACATCAAATGAGCATCCAAGGGCAAAGGTAAACTCCAAATTTAACATGATGTATCTAGCACACTGAATCTGCTATGGCTTTACTATTGGAATGGCATCTTCGGCCCAACTTATATGCTAAGTGCCATGTAGCTAATGCATGTTTATTTATGTGTTCTCTGCAGACTGATGGATTCCCCACCATTCTCTTCTTCCCAGCTGGAAACAAGAGTTTTGACCCTGTATGTGTGTAGTAAAATCAGTGTATTTCCTTAATTCCTTTAGTCTGGTAACATATATGTATGCTCTTATCTTTGAATAATGATTATATGTGTGGTTCACTTTTGTGCACAGATTACGGTTGATACAGATCGTACAGTGGTAGCCTTTTACAAGTTCCTAAAGAAACATGCAGCAATCCCATTCAAGCTTCAGAAACCAACCACAAGTGCCAAATCCGCCAGTTCTGGTGCCAAGGAGAGTCAGAGTCAGAGTAGCAGCAACGATGTGAAGGATGAATTGTGAGGATATTTCAGTATCTTATTTTAGATAAAATCCAAGTTCCAATTTTCCCTCTCCTCTGTCCCAATATGAAGATGAAGAACAGGGTCCGGAAGGTGGAGAAAATAGAGGCGACATAGTTATATACTCTACACTTCCTTTTTCCTTAAATAGATGCCAACTTTAAACCTTTTAGATCCTTTTCGGGTGGCTTTTTTCAAAGAAGCCTCCCTATATTGTGGTTTAACAAAATCTTTTTTGGTAAAATAAATAATCAACAATTGAATCAAACTGCACAACTACCAGCGAGTTCCGAAAATCCAAAATGATCTGCATCCTTGAACCATGGCATCGAATATCAATACAACTTCAGCTTAATAACAAACTCATCGTCATCTTTGCGTCTATGAAACTTTATCTAAGTTGTGCTGTTCGTACTCATATGACTTCTATGTAATTTACCGGCGGCGTTCACAAGTGAATAGTCAGAATATCTACTGTTACGATTTGTTCATCGGTTTTTTCAAAAAACTTTTTGTGAATAAAAATTATATTGGATTCTAAGTAATTTGGTTTGATCTTGAAGATAACACAATGTGTCTTTTTATTATATTATATTATCATTTTATTTTCATTTTTTTCTACTGTTATCCATATGTTCATGGGGTAAACTCACGGTTTTAAACAAAAAGGATGATTTTTGACTCCTCAAATGAAGGGACGTTCGAAACCATAGAAAATCATTTGGTCTGGGAGTATGACGAAAAACCCAGCTTGAATGACATGACCTGAGAGAACGAATGGCCCAAAAAAAAAAGATGCGAGAAGGAGATGGAGAAAGACAGCTATGGGGTCTGCCGCCAGGTCATCCTCGCGTATAAAATAAGTAACTGACAGTAAATAAATAAAAGAGAGAACAATTAATTAAATGCAAAGATTTTGCATACAAATAGAGCAAAAATAATGCCAATTAAACCCTTGATTTTCACGGTCATAGTCAATATCATTAATATTGATATTAATATCAATTTAATACAAATTATATTTTACTGCCCACACTTTCTTAGATTCCATGAGATATATGAAAGATCCGCCTTATAAAATGCAAATTAATTTGAATATGTATGACACATTTTAGAGTTTATTTACACCAAAAGAAATACATTTTGATATAACTATCTGGTGATATCATTGTTCTAGATTTTTATACAACTATCATGTATAACTAAAGATATCTTTCCTCATATAATTTTTACATATAAAATTCGAACCCTAGAATTTGCCTAACTAAAGTCAAACAACTATTTTCCATCCAACCTAACTATATTCTAACAAAATAGATTGAGAATTTAAGCGAAGTAAAACTAATTGTTGGCGAAGAAGAGGGACTATAATTGTCAAAATCACTGTCCCTTCATGTTTAAACATTCTTCATAAAGTAATGACAGAAGAAGTTGACAGAGCAACAACGTGAAATCTCTCGGATTTGTGGCGTATTTAAAGCTCTGAGAGGCTCTTTTAATTTCATGAATTGATAATTCATAATCTTTCGCTACTCCCCATTCATTCACATTTCACATGCAACTTATATTTTGTTAGCTTGTTTTTCAAACCAGCATCTTATCTCTTTCGACGTGTCAAGATCTGAGTGGCCTGATATCCTAGCGTACCCCTCAATTTAGGCCCTCCGATATATGCCCCTCCCGCCTCCCCGAAGTCCTGCCTCTCCCTAACCGTCTTCTTAACCTGCGCGTTTACATTATATATATATATATATATATATATATATGATAGATAGATTCCAATTTCCCAGATCTACCTTCCGTCCTTCTCCTTCCAGTTTTGTTCTTCAATTACCAGATCTACATTCGTACTCTTGCTTCTGATTTTCAATTTTCTTCTGCAATGGCAGTTCCTGCTCGATTTTCTTTTCCTATGCTCTTTCTGCTTTCTTCGTTACTTCACATCAGCGTCTCCGCCGGTCCACCTCAGATCTCCCCCAGCCCTTCCCCCTCTTTGCCCGCCGTCTCTGCGTCTTCGTCTCTGGCTCCGTCTCCGTCTCCTCTCGTTTCCTCTTCTGCTCCTTCCCCTGCTCCTGCCAGTTCACCCTTGGGTTTCTCGCCTCCCGCACCTTCTCCCGACAATCAAAGTCCTACTCCCTCTCCCTCGCTCTCTCCCTCCCTGTCTCCGTCCCCGTCCCCGTCTCCGTCTCCTGCGCCGGAGCCTGCTGATGGTGATGTAGTTAGCCACACTGGTGTAGCCGACGAAGAAGGTCTAGTGGACAGTTCATCGGGAGGAATGAATGCTGGCAAGAAGGCCGGTGTAGCACTTGGAGTTATCGCGGCGGCCGGTGTGGTTGTGTTGGCGGCTTTGGTATACAGGAAGCGCCAGCAGAATATCCGGCGATCTCAGTACGGACACGCGGCTAGGAGAGAGATTCTGTAGGATGCTTTATACAATTGTATCTCATTGCTTTTGCCCGGAGGTTATGCTCTTCCAGCCGTCTCTATATTGTTACAATAGGTTCTTTTTTATACTCTTCTCCATGTTATATTCATCACATTGGCCCTACCTGATGATAGGAATTCATATTCATTCGAGATTCTTTATGTCGGTGATTTTGTGACTATTGAAACATTTGTTTCCGATCTCAAACTATCACTTTCTGATTTTTCGTTGGTACCGATTGTAATGGATGTGATGAAAATTCATTATGTTACGATCAATACGATTCCTCCATGGTCTCTACCGCAACTATGCTTTTTATTCACTCCTGGCAGTTTTATAGGACTCCTTATGTATCCTTTTATTATTGGAATCGAGCATTGAAAGAAATTGAAGTTGGTAGTACGAGCAACAGTGGCTCTCGGTTGGTTGATTGTAATTCTAAAATCTCACATCTCATTTTCATTTCATAGTTGAATTGGTTAATACATTCTCTGTGAAGTCGTCAATATGTTATGGATAGCAGCTGTAGGCGGCACGAATTTTAATGGCGGGGGTGAGAATTGGCACTCGCCAATTGGGGCCCCCTGCAGGCTGTATGCCTGGGTCATGGCCCACGGGTGATGCTGGAAACGATTCAGCCGAACTCTATGACGGTATTTACTATTCACGCTTTAGCGACATTTGTTTGGCGGGCAAAATCATAATCACCAGATATTTAAACTACAGTTTTCCCATAATAAAATTTATAGAGTAATTTATTATTCATTGTTGTCAATAAAAATAATCATTCTGTACTTGATATATGTTGTTTTTTAATTTATATTTTTAATAATTTTTTCCAATTGCTTTTGCTTTTGGGAGAATTTTCATCCTTTTATCATTTTGTATATTTTTTCTCGGTAGCTGGGTTTGTTCGTACTTAGAGAGTGACAAAAAAATTTAAAAAAAGAGACGCGTTGGACAAGTGAAATGAAAACTTTACGCATTAATTTTACATTCAATTTGATTTTAAATATAAAATTTTAATTCATTTTATTTTTTATATTTTTTCTCAAGTTAATTATTATAATAATTGCATGTGTTAAATGTTTCATTAAACGATATTTTTAACTGATACACATGATTAATAAAAGTATTTTGTAAAAAACAAAATATATTTACTACAAATAACTCATTTTTTTAATATACTTAAATCAATCAAGGGATAGCAATATCTAGTTGTATTTTATTAAAAGGTAAACAGCAATCTGCAACCGAAAGAAGAAACATATTCATCAACGAATCAAAATTCCCCAACGACTATATGAACATTAGCATTCTGTTTGGAAATGTGATTGAAAAAGTATCTGAAAACACGCAGTGCGATTCAGTGTTCCATGGCAAGCATGTGACGACACCTAAGATGTAAAGCCCCCAAGGCACGCCAATAGACCCGAGGCGCACAAAGGGCACCAGACTATATTTCAACATATATATGTAGTGTTTGTTTTGTGGGCCTCGCGCTCTTGAGGGACGTGTTGCCCTTCAGTGTTTTTTCCTACCGGTAGTTGACTCCCTGGTAGCTTGTTATTTTCAAGGGATCGTGTTCACCTTTACTTCTCCTTTAATTAATGTTGATAGCTTAACTATGATTTTATTTGACAAAAAGAAACTAGGTTCCTAAGGCATAAAGGCGCAGATCCAAGACCGCATATAAAAAAATCTGAATTATTGGAATGCATCCTAATTTATATATGTGAAGGTCGCACGTTCGTAGGATTCCAGGAATCAACATCAATAATGAGAGACCTGTATAACATGGAAACCTCTCATCGCTGTTCAGCTCAGCCTCAATTGGGAATGGGGAATCAATGGAAACTCCTCATTCTACTCCTATGTCGCTACTGCGTTTAACTCCAGACTTTTATGGCTCCAACTGGAAATGGGTACCACCCAATTGAGGTAGTCCAAAAAAAAAACAAAAGAAAAAAAAACGGATCTTATGAACTAAGAATCTCACTGTTTAATTTCCCATCAGCAAATCACTACCGTCGGTGTCTATGAGTTCAGTACTTTTACTCCTCTGCGGGTGGGTCCACCCAACGACCATGCTCTTTTATTAGATCGATCAGTGCATCGGTTGCTCCCTCCATTGCAATCCCACGCTTCACCACAGTCTGTATCAAGTTACGCTACGTCAATATCATCATTTAGCATGGATTTTAAGGTTTTACAACCTAAAAATAGCTCTCGTATCCGTCAAATTCTCAAATCAAGCTAAAATTTTAGAGACCTGAAATTGATGTATATAGAGTTTCAAAACCAAAGATCCAACGTGTTACCTTCCCAACATAAAGGTCAATCTTTCCAGGAGCACCTCCCACGTACCCGAAGTCTGCATCTGCCATCTCTCCAGGTCCATTCACAATGCAACCCATAATTGCAATCTGAAGAAGGAGAAATTTAAATTATGCAACATAGTATTTCCGTAACTTATCTTCTTCCCTATTATTCTAAGAGAATTGGAAAGAAGCTGTTTCTTGTTTTGTGCATAAGCAAGCAATTCACATTGTGTGGCGTAGTGCGTAGTCTAGTTACAGGAGACTCAAATATCAGCGCGGGTCCTCCAAGGACCAGATAAATAAGTAATTACCGAAACACCGGGCAGGTGTGATGTCTTCTCCCGAATTTCCGCACTTATTTCTTGAAGATCAAACAAAGTTCTCCCACAGGATGGGCATGACACATATTCCTGCAACACAGGTTAGGCAAATAATTTAAAATCAAGAGTCCTGCTTCTATAATCCAAAATAGGTCTTGTTTATGATGAAATACATACTGCCCTTTTTAGATAAAAAAAAACTTACCGTCTTAGTGTTCCTCATTCTGCAACCTTGCAGCAAGTTAAAAGACGTATCTCTCAGAAAATCTAAATCTTTGTCTGGAGCTTCCAAGAGAACACCATCTCCAAGACCATCAACCAGAAGGGCTCCGGCATTTGCACCGGCACCAATCACTAAGTCATCCCTGTAAGTAGAAAGGATAAAGTTTTACCATGACTATGTATTTCCGCATCTCAACTCAGAAGGCCACAATGCAAGTCTTAAAATATACCGGTGAATCCCGATGGGATAATTAATGTGATGAATGACTGGGAAGTTCAGAGAATTGTCTGCTAGGTACTCAAATAACCTGATGTCAATAGAAATGCCACTAATGAGAACTAGCATATGAGAAAAGAAAATATAATGATACAAAATCACAATGTAGAACAGAAGAATTGCCACATAGAACACTTGTTTGGATCTCTCAGTCTGTCAATAAGAAACTAACACATACAGTCCCAGGACAAAGGAGAAAAATTTGGCATTGATTTTGCCTATGTGCAATCATGTGATAACTTGGTCTGGACACTCCTGCATGTTCTTTACACACATTGATTTCTGCTGTATGAAAAAGGATTTTCAGCCAATGAGAAGCATATCAAGGACAGAAAGGCTTTGTGTGATCTGTAAAACCAAAACTGAGTCCTGTTTTCTTGCAGATTGGATCCATGTAAGTTACTCACTAATCAATATAATTGACTATTTAGAGTCTAGCACTTAAGTCATATGCAAGGAAGGCCCTCAAGAGATCGATTTTGTTCATGTTGCCAGATTTCTTCAACTAAATGAAGGACATTCTCACCTCCTTGCTGCATGCACTCTGCTAATTTTGTCTTCAGCATAAGGTAGGTCATGGAGAAGCATAGTAACATCAACACCTTTGAGGATTTCCAGCTCTTCATAAGACTCATCACCACGTACTGACACAACCAGACGTGTTCCTAAGAGGTCGTAAATGGCCAAAACATATTAGATGCATGCTTTGAAATGGGTGAGAACGATGTTAGAATAAATGTCACTTGTTACTACCCTAAGAAAATCAAGTTATAAAATTACATGGCCTCGCACATTTTAAATTTTAACTTGGTTTAGATCTCCCCTTTATTTTATGTTAAAATTCAAAATAAGGAGTGCACGCAAAAAAATCAAGGAGATCTATACTGTTTTCAAGACAAGGTCCAAGTTTTCTTATCAGAAAGTCCATGTCAATTAGTTAGACGTAATGATAATAATAATTAATTAGAAACTTAGGCTGAAGAACACCTTGTGGCAAAAGCTTGTGAGCACCAGTAGATAGTTCCTTCAGATTCACCAGAGCCATGGCATTGGGCAATGGCTTTGTTAACTGCTCTGACAAAGGAGTTATAACGCCCATACTTATATCTATCAGCCTTTCGAGAGCTAGTCGCTGATCACAATGCCATATGGAGGAAAAACAAAGGGAAATATATCACTCAAACTGTCATGATAAACTGACAGTGCAGCGAATTGTTTGAAAGGTAACGAGGCAAACTGGTATAGTCAGTGCTGCTCTTGCTAGTTGCTACCATAGCGAAGATTCTTACCGCTTCAGCATCATCTGCTGGAGGAAGTTCTCGCAACAAGATTGAATCTACTGTAGCCAGATCCTTAAAAAAAGTGCCAAATTTATCAATACCTTCCCATGTCACTCAAAAAAGCTAACATACCATATTTTTTTCATTTACAGAATAGTGGGAAAAAAACCTTAAATGGCATGCCAACAACGAGTTTGGCTGCAAGGGACTTGTAGAGGAGCTCTGGCATCTGCAGAAACCAGGGAATACATGCTTACCTCCTGAGAAAGAAGGAATAAAATAACATGCACCGCCATAGAAAGATGGACTGCCAGAGAGATAAGAGAGTAACAAGGGAAATGTAATGCAAATTTTACCTTTAACTGATCCAAGGAGACTGACATGAGAACAGAACCATCCCGGTGCAGCACGCCTCTGTAATCCACCTCCTCACCCTGTATCAGGATACAGAGACAATTACCTATTATAAACATATGGGAAGTGCAGTAATGAAACAATGATGTTAAAACAATTTCAGCAAGCTTAGAATCTAACCTCTTTTTGCGTTGGCAATTGACCAGATCGGCGCTGGAAGTCAAAATAATGTCTGTGCTTTTCTTCGAAAGGTTCCTGCTGGATGTAGCACCACACCATTAAGAGTTTGTTAGCTTTTCCAGAGTGACAGATTTTTGACTACTTAAACATGTTAAACTGAAGCATTATTTTGAATCATACCACCCCTTTCTGGAGTTCAGAAGCTTTCATTCCAAGATTTGCCAACCTTCTGCAAGGATCTATCTCCTTTTCTGGTGGTTCTGTGAGAGAAACCCTGATTGTATCACCCAATCCATCCTGCACATACAACGGTAGCGAATGGTATAACTTCATGCATATGATGCTCCTGAAAATGTCAAACTATGAAGAATAATGTTCCATAGAAGGGACAGGTCATGAATATGTTGTAAACCTCGTATCTACTGCAAATACCTTATTTCTGCAGAGGCTTCATGAACAGAATATTATCAAAACACACTATAATGGATGCTAAACAACATGGAGAAGGGAATCATACATCAGCACATATTTCTTCCTGAATATCCTTTTAATATTCAAGCATACCTGAAGAAGAGTTCCAATTCCAATAGCAGACTTCATCCGCCCATCCTCACCTTCACCAGCTTCGGTAACTCCCAAGTGCAATGGATAGTTCCAGCCTTGAACATGCATCTCAGCTACGAGTAAACGGTATGCCTGGACCATGACAACAGGGTTGCTTGCTTTCATAGAAAAGACAAAATTGTGAAAGTCCAATTTCTGGCATATCCTCGCAAATTCAAAAGCAGATTCAACCTGTCCAATGACTGTTTGGTAAGAAGGAAGCTTCTGTACAATGTTCTGTATAAAGAGAGAGGAAATAACTCTCACCATTCCCCTAGGAGAATCACCATAGTAGCTCATTATACGATCAGAAAGACTGCCATGGTTTGTCCCAATGCGCATTGCTCTCCCATATTTCTTACATTTCTCAACTAATGGTGTGAAAACCTGGCATTTAAAGTTTTTAATAGGTCAAAAAGCCGATATTTCATTTGCAGCGTAATCAATTTAAGTATCATATCGAGAGAGGACTTCAAAAAATTCAAGGTAACTACAGGCACACCGGTCACTCCTTAGCTTATATGTACTTCAACAGTATGAGCATTAACTCCCTGGAAAATTATAACTACTAGTTCTAACAGCTCACACACCTTCACAGCAAGGATGAATCATGAATGGAAGAACAAGGGCTCATAAAATAGCATACTGTAGCACTTCATCATAGAATGGGAAAGAAAACAACGAAAGATTAATTTTTACCCGTTCAATATGTTCAAGTTCTTTCTCGTAGTCTTCTTCTGTGTACTCAAGTTTTTCAAATTGAGCCCTTCTATCAGCTGCAGAAGACCACCATCATGAATTTAGAGCGCCTTAAAAGATGGGGGAAACTAAGACTAACAAACAAAGAAATAGAGGCATACCAAAATTTCCAGGGTTAACACGAATCTTGTCAAAGCATTCAGCAACACGCATAGCAACAGAAGGAGCAAAATGTATATCCGCCACCAAAGGAATATTATAGCTGGACATGGTTAAATAAAGACAATGTTGGACACTTACACAGTAAAGACTTGATAAATTGACATCCAAATAGCTAACACTAGTTCATACTTTTTCTGCACAAGTGAGTTTTTGATCTCAAAACATGCATCTGCTTCTTTCTTCCCCTGAACAGTTATTCGTACAAGATCAGCCCCTTGGTCTGCTATTTTCATCACCTAACAAGAATAAATAGAAGATTAATATACAACCCTGCTGTATCTAAGTGCAAGTTAAATTTTGGAAACATAAAAGAAAGGGATAGCCGTGCTAGAACAGAAACTTGTCTTGTAAGCATAAGACCTGCTCAACGGTTGCAGCAACATCCTTAGTGTCAGTTGTAGTCATTGTTTGAACTCTGATGGGATGCTGACTTCCGATGGCCACATTTCCAACCATCACCGTGCTTGTTTTCCTTCTGACAGTTTTGTGTAACGATTCGCAATACTTTTGCCTAGGAACTACATTCGAATCATGATCCATAGTCAGTTGAAGGTAAAATGAATAACCACTGAGAAGAAACACCTAAATGGCAACTAGAGATGTCAATATCTAATATCCCATGCAGAGGAATGAAAGTTTTAGGAGCAACACCATGTGGGAACTGAGGAATGAAAGTCCGAAGATTACAAAACATAAGGAAGGCGGTTATATTAGCGCCAAAACCCATTTAACGAAAATCCATGAAATAACAAGGACGGATTTCAAGTTAATATTAGTTAACTGCATTTTCGTAAGGTTTAATCTGTAAAGACAATGGAAATAGGTTTGCAGCCGTCACACGTCAACCTGTGGAGCAAGTCATCAACAATTGGATAGATTACTCAAAGACTGATTGACAGCGTTCGGTACAAATGAATCGGAAGTAAAAATTAAAAGCAAACCATTCTCCAATGCTGTAACCACGTTTGCAGAGAAATTGCAAGGGAAGATAATAGGTGAAGAGCGATGATTGCCGTTCAAACAAATTATCAGGTGAAGAGCAAAAAGCAGAAAAGCATCAAGAACAGTATACCTATGAGGCGAGTTCCTGGTGATGCGGATTGAAGTTCAGCAATATCCTGGCCAGGATTTGAGTTACGTATAACTGAGACCTTTGTCCTTCCAGATTTCATAATTTTCAAATCGGATATTCTTGCAAAATCCATGCCTTTTGCAAATCCTAAACTCGAATCTCTGCCCTTGAGGGTAGAAAACGAAGTTGGCGCAACTCCAGTAGCCATTTTTCAAGCGCAACACCTTACCTGCATCAAGATTAGAAAGAAGAGAAAACAGTAATTAATTGAACAATGAATAACTCTTTAGAATCTCGAAACCAATCTTCCATTGCTTTAGAGCATAAAACTTCAGAACAACTCACTATTCATATGTTCCAACTCGTTTGATAAAGTTCAACGTCACATGGCACAATAGATTAAACAAGAACGAGAGGGGAAAAAATCAGTCAACACTGAACAGGCATTTCATCTAAAAAACCAAAGACATGCATGATGAAGACTTCACCCAACACCTCTCAAATTGAAAATGAATACGTTAAAAAAGAATCAAACAAGAAAGGCAAAAAAAGGTGATCAAAAGCATTTCATGGGATTGCTTTACCGGAACTAACGGTATCGAGCCTTAAGATGCTAGTAGGGAGATATCGGTGATCGGGAGTGAAGAGGAGGATCTAAAGTGAGGAAGGAGAGTCAGAGGCCCCTGATCGCAACCATTTTCATCAAAATTATACAGCAATAAGAATGGAGGCAAACGGGACGAGTGGTGGAAGATGACAAAAACGTGGTCAGCGAGTCATAGCTTCACCTAAATTGCATTCAGCAGTCGCCATACGAAGATTGGGCGCGTGGAATTTTTTTTTCCCGCTTTAGGTCCTTGCATTTTCATTAATTTCTTCTGAAACCAACTAATCATTTATTTTTCGATCATTTTCACCCTTCGTCCTTATGAATACAATCTCATAATTTTTGGTACATAAGCCCACAGGCCACAGCCCCACATGTGGGAAACCAAACTAATTTATTTTACATTTAAATGATTTTAATGTGATACGTTGTTTGCATTACCTGAGTGTCTAAGAACATAAATGTTTTAAATAGATTAACAAAAAAATCACTGTATCCAAAATTAAAGCAAGTAATGAGCAAAATACTAAAATTGGATAATTCAACTTGGAGTAAGAATAATAGCTGTCAGTGAATACAACTGGAATTTCAAAATTAAATGTATAGAAGGTGGGATATGATTTCATACATGAACCCAGTATTATTGGGATGATTTGGTGCAATGAATCATAAACAAGGGAGTTGGGCAAAATAAATGAAGGGGGAGGGCTCAAAGCAGAAATAAGGAAAGTGAAAGGATGAGGGGCGCGAAAGAGTGAAGAAAGAGAAAACTTAAGCCGCCACCTTCTTCATGTGAGAAAAAAGTAAGAACGAAATATGTTTAAAAAAATGGAACGGTCAAGGGAAGATTTGGATTTGGAAAATAAGTAATCAGTGGAAATGGTATGAATCAACTATCAACGAAGAATAATTGATAATCGATCCGTAGGGTAATATGGAAAAACTCGAGGATTATGATAGGGTGGATGTGTTGGCCCAATGAAAAAAGGGGTGGGGGGAGATCATCGGATGACACGTGGAACACGAGATATTTAGGAAACAGAGGGACGCACGAGATTCACGACTATTAAACAATACATAATACTCCTCCAGTCCTTAATATAGGACATAATTTCTGAGTTGGTTTTGGTTCTAAATATAAGACCCATTTATCATATTTATTAATTTTTTCTAAATTACCTCTATGGATATTCTATCAACCATAATCAAGTAAAAGATAGAGAGGGGTATTAAAAAAGATGATTATAGTATTTTAAGAAAAACGTGTCACAATTTTTATAATTAACTAACTTATCTAACTTCCTTAATCTAGTTCTATATTAAGTACAGAGAGAGTACTAAATAGGCATAATATTCAACGAGTGATGGAGCCCACATGCCCACAGGCACATTGTTAACAAGTATTGGTGAGTACTGTTTATTTATTGGTATTATTTTAGTGATTTAGTCCGCAGTCAAGGATTGGACCTTGACTCGTACTCATCCCTTAAACCCGTCAAACTTTACCCGAGTCTATAAATTGATGAGTTGACAATCCGTGTTTTCTTTTATTTTTTATTTTTCCCTTAGCCCAAGCCCCTGTTATTCTGTTTTATTACGTACAAAAATCGTGGACGCAGTTTTTTTCTATTTCATTCTCTCTCCACTTCCGCTTTACTTTTCAGCTTAACCATGGAATTAAATTTTGAATAGTTGATATTTAATAGTAGTATTTTATGAAATAAAGTTGTTCAAATTCTTTTACTGCAACCTAAACCCATCAAATCAAATTTTAATGGTTTGACATCTCATCAGGCCAAGGCAGGGCGTTGAACTATTTTTTGTCATTATTAGTTTTATTCGCACTAACTTGATAAATAGAGTAAATCAGTTTTCCTCCTAATTTAATCTCCCAAAAATGATTTCTTCATGGAATAACCTCTAAGTTCGCTAAGAGATCATTTACAAGATGAATGGCACCCACCTAATGAGATGAATTATATGACCATCAGAAGGTAGTCATTTTTTAATTTCCCTCCGATCCCCTGAGTTGCTCGAAGCTTTGCGGAGGAGGGTACATGCCAGTGAGTCTATCGTAGCCTCTTATAATTATTTGGTGAAGTTATATTAAAAGTAGGCAAAGGCATAGTTTAAATAGTCACATAAACAATCAATAATAAAACACTCAATCATATGCTAACACTATGGTTGTGCTCAAACAACCCATCATTTATGTTGTAAAATTTTTTTAAAAAAACCATCATTTTAAAGATTAAACTCAAACATTTTTCACTGGCTGGATGGAAGGGAAAAGACCAAAAGGTAAATATCTGGAGAATAAAGGTACACTTTCCACGGGTTCATTTCTGGTAATGTAAAATGCGATTTAGCTAAAGGAAATGTGTGAATCACTACGTATCTCATGATGGAAGCACTCCACATCAATCACCGCTCATTTACTTCTTCAACCAGAAAATGCTTCTCCAAGATGGCCACTGTCTCTTCCTTTGCACTACACCAGAGTAAAATGAACATGGTTAAAGACGCTTGAATGTAACGCAACCCTCTTTCATAAGCATTTAACAGACTGCTTCCAAAGCTCAAGTTTTAATAACAAAATTAGCATGAAACCATGAGTCAAGTGTTACTTATTTTTCTTATCCCATCCTCAAACACACCAACATGTAAATCCCACCAATTCTATCCCGAATTTGACAGTGAAGCGTAAACACCGTCTAACTAAAATCCTATCTTTGGTATCATTACTATCTGACATTGAACATCCATTCTCTGGGGGGTAAAAAAAAAAAAAATGAACATCCATTCTGAAAGCACATTGACAAACTTGAAAGACAAGAAAAGAACTGTTCAATTATCCCAACAGAATGTACCTTCCAGCTCTGAGTATCTTGTACTTGGATGGTACGGTGAGGTCCACGATAGTGGAACCTGCGCGTCCTGATGGAAGCAAACCAGCATCATAGACGTAGGCACAGTGTCGCCAAAGGTCCTCAAAATCCTTGATGCAAACACTACTTGACTGTCCGCTTAGGTTTGCACTGGTAAGGGCCAAGGCAGTACCTGAACTACGAGCAATGAGCCGAATGAAATTGCTGTCAGGCACTCTGACCCCTATGCTATAAAATCCTGGGTTCAAAGATCGTTCAAGAAGGCTTGATTCTCCTGGAAGAAGTCCCCACTATACTATTAGACAAATACTTAGAATAAGATACAAACTAATTGCTGTTTCAAGGTCCAAATTCACCACTTGAACCGATCTAGTCTGGTTAAACAAATACGTGAAGCACTTGAAAAATAATGTTAGTGCCATATTCTTTTTTTAGTGTATGTATCGTGGCATGTGACTTCGCACCTCGTTTCAGTACAACAGTTACAGGACCTGGAAGGAGGGAATCAAGCAGATCGCGAGGCAAATAGTCAGTCACTGCAAAACGCTCTATGTCTGATACGTCCCCCAAACAAATTGCCAAGGGGCTTGTATGTTTACGTCCTTTAATCTCATAAATTCGGTTAACTGCTTCCAACGAGCTGCAAAATGTTCCGATAAAAGAAGTTCATTACCCATACAACAAAATCCAATTTTATGCAAAGAATTGAGATGTGCAGAAACTTATGAAATGCATATGATTTTTGTTCTTTAAAGAAGACTTTAAAAAGCAGTCAGAATAATGGAAATCATGTGGAGCCAACTTTTATAGCATCTGAGATATAAATAAGGAAATGATACAAGCACAACGTAAAACAATGACTTATAGCCTCTTGCTTTGATGGGGGATAAGGGAGTTTCACAAGGTACAACAAGAAGTCTGTCACTATTGTTCATCTTCCTTATTTATCTCTCATATATACAAATAGCTAGAACAGTAACTCAATAGTCTAAGTGCTTTAGAAACGTAACTTAAGGTTACCTTTATTTCCAAGAGTATAATTAATACGTTATGTTTCTTACAACGGGAAGAGGAAAGGGGGAGGGGAAATAAAACACAAGCACTCCATCAGCAACACATTAAAAGATCTGGCGGCCAGAATAAGAATAATAACAATGCTCGGAGTATTTTAAACAGACAGATTATGGGCAGAAGGAGGAAACATGAACTCAAATAGCATACCAAGCATCACAAGCAAACCCATAGAGTGTATCAGTGGGTACAGCAATAACCTTGCCAGCTTTCAAAGCTTCAACTGCTTCTGCAGCAAAAGCATCCTCTGCTGGACGAACGGCTTCAATCTTGCTTTCAACTTGTACCTCAGAATTCTCAACACTCCAAGCCATATTTATGGGCAATTTTCTGTTCAGCCTCCAACTCTGTTTTAACTGGGGCACAAACCCCAACTTGCGGACACCTAAAGCACAATTACAGTTTCCTCAGTCAGCCATTTCAACATCCAGTGCAGTGTTCGCTTAAAATATCTGAATGAAATGGACTACCACAAAAAAGTGATTTCTTAGGCCAATATTTGAGTGAAGTTGAATAAAAGCAAAAGCAAGAAGCAACAAAATCCGCAGAGGCAGAGAGAAAGAGAAAGATGGAGATGGGAAGAAAGGGAGTGAGTGACGACGGTAAGGAAAGGACACCTCGGAAAGAGAAGATGGGAACGGGACGAGCGCAGAGAAGGGGCGGTGCTTGTGCAGCTGTTCTGGTCGCAATATTCATTCTAGTTAGACCCTAGTCCTTCGTCAAACGACGGAGCCATTTCCAATGATAAGCGCGGTAATAAGATCACATGCTTCACCCTTTTTGGCTGCAACATGCGATGCAAGTAGCGCAATGGATGCTACGGTTCAATTCCCCCGAAATGTTGGAGGTGTGTTCGGAATCCATCGGTTCTTAGTCAGCGGAAGGAAAAGCTCCAACGATAAATTTCTGCTGAACGCTGATATTCAATATTTTTTGGATTTTTTTTTTTGCCGACGAATATTTTCTGGATATATGTATGTATGAAAAATAATTTAAATAGTTGAAAATTAAATACTTCTTTGCCACAAAAAAAAAAAAAGTCTATGCTGAAAGTAAATTATAACAACTCATGACCCCGTTTGGCATTGGGCTTATAACCATCGTTGCCAATTATTTTTTGGGCCTAAAGCCTTTTATATATTGGATGTAAGTAAAAAGAAGCTGCAACAAAACAAATTGGGCCTGCCAATAGTGTCTCAGCATTTTTTTATCATTTTATTATACATTGGACAAAAAAAATGCTCAGAACAGAACCATTTCTTTCTTTCTATTTTCCCAATATATTAATGTTTCCGTGCAACCCAAGAGGATATTTTCTAGTTTGAGATTAAGGTCAATGATATCCTTTGAAGTTTACATAGCGCTCAAATAAAGGAGAGTTGCAAAAAAGTAGAATTATACATTCAGTTTATATCTCCTCTCTTTTAAGTCCTAACTTAACTTCTATTGTATATTTATTTCTCTCTTCTAAACTTTTAAATTCCAGACCTACATATTCCTCTTTTTTTCATCTGAATTTATCAGTACCTAAAGAATTTAAAACTATTTATTTTCGGAAGAGTGAACTCTTAATTTTAATTGTCATCCCCCCATTAAATTATGAAGTTACTATAAACTTCTGAACTCTCAATTGTTTTCAATTATAGATGCACAAACATTAATGATTTAAAGTTATAACTGAGATTGAACATATGACTTTTTATTTATAAAGGCTTTCATACCAGTTGATCAAAATATTATTGAACTTGGTTGGTTCTTTTTTTGGCCGGAATATTGAACTTGGTTGTTAAATAATACTTGGCGTTAAATTTTTTTTCACCATGGATTAATTCCCTGTATATTTGGAATGCTTCACCAAATCTGGCATTAGCACATCATCATGCTATTCAAGTATGCCTCAATTCTTCTGTTGTCTTCTCCCCTAAGATTACAAAAAGACGGTCACAGGCCTCTTGATTTAACAAAGCCCAAAAGAAATGCTTACCAGCGATAACCACTATCCTGAGCCATTCTTTTCTCTGACAACACTACATTATCATTATCATTATCATTATGAGCTGTACAATCAAAGTCATGTGTAGTTGTTTCCGAAATACTGAGGGATGAACACAAATTTTTTATCTGCTCTATTAGCTTATGAAGAAGCATTCTCATTATTAGCTTGTGTCGGTATCTGACTCGAGTTTTGGTGATTCTGCGTCCTGGCTGTGGAAGAACCTGAATGAGGAGCCATCACTTGAGGACCAGTATTATTCTGCTCTGATGAAGCCTGCCATCTTCTTCTCCATCTGAAGAACTCCGCAAGAATTGAACTTCCACTCATTACCACACCAAACCCTGCGAAGGTTGCAAGAAGTATCGACATGATTGCCTGCACATGGATCTGCAAGTCAAACACAAATTAAAGTCATTCTTCCAGTAGGGTTCTCAGTTCCCAACAGTCTACATTTTGTTTCAACATATGGATATTGTCACTACTTGTTGAGGAAGAAACTACGGTCCTTTGAGCTTAACAAATAAAAGACCAAAAGAACTTAACATTATGGTCGAAGCGTACATCTTTCGCAATTACCAAGGAGTAAAATATATGAGCAAACAGAACCACCAGAGCAAACTGTGCTGATGCATAAATCCAGACGAACCTGCTCTTCACTGAACAACAATTTATGGTCAGGGTTTTGTAAAAATTTATAGCACAATTAACTATCATGAACTAAGCACCAAAAAAAGGGGGGGGAGCAAGTATTCATTATTAAAAACAATCTAATGACACTATCAATAGCCATATGATTTCAGATTATTACATAATGTAAAATGATGGTGTCAACCTCATGCAGCATGATGAAATTTCTCCAGACTATGTGCAAACCTACCCATTGTGGATGATGTCATGGAAGAGAGAACACCCAATACACATGAAAACGGAAGAGATATGGCAATTGCCTTAGTACCCATTTTCCCAACCTGCGCAGAGTCAAATAACTCAGAACACACTAAAAGTTTATAATTTCGACAGATCTAACTGCGCTGTTCTTACCAATAGCTGCTCAAGAAAACAGAAATAGGCAAGCATGCTGACAATGACTAGAACAGGTACTTCTTGCCAAACCCTACCAAAAAAAAGGCAGACAAAATGAAAACATCAATAAAGGTATTACTAGAACAATCAGCTTCAGATCTATGACAGGGCTCCAGTATTAGCTGCAGCGTTCAAAGGAAAATACTGACTTCGTTGCTTTCTAGGTTAGTTTAAGTGTGTAAGCCATGAGAATGAAGCTTCAAACATGGTTTTAATGGAATGAACTGTCATCACAGGCAACTCATACTTGATAGTTGTGGTGGCGTCTAAGTTTGATGTTGCAAATTCATGACTGGAAGTCCAAAACATATGATAAATTGACAAAAAGTCTATTGTATCCAGAGACTCCACAGTATCCATTTACTTCAAAATTGAAACATGTCATCTCACAGAGAGAATTGACCTATCATTAGCATACCTATATTCATTCACATCGTCCATCTGAGACCTGCTTGCTCCAGTATGTCGAGCCCGGACACTTTGGATCCGCAAAAGAGTGACAGGTAGGTTCCGAACCTCCTCTTTGCACACATCACATGTTTTGTTTCCTTTGATGCTAAACCACTTAATAGCACATTCTTGGTGTGCTAGAGCAAGTTCACCTTTGCAGCTGCATTCCAGCTTGAAAGTTTCACCCCCTTCACATAGATCAACCATACAAATTCTGCATACAGCCTCTTCTTCAGCTATGTCTTCACCATCATCAATATCGTTTTCTGAACCAAGACAAATATTTGAAGTTACTAACTGCATGTAGAATTTACAGACAATCTGCTTCACTGTTCATATTATTAATGCTTGGCATGTCATAATATGTCAATCGATGGATCTCAATATATATCTATGATATATAAAATTCTATTTACTTTTGAAGATCACATGACAGTGCTCATTATAAGATATACCAGAATCCTTTGTGGGGGATGCTGTCGATAATTCAACTCCATCCTTCACTCGTGGGGTGGAAGGAATAACACGGAAAAATGAATCCATTCTCCTTAAGCTTTTCTCTTTATTGTTGACAGGCACCGAAAGAGAGCGAACTATCTGCCTCTGAGCAGAGCTCCTCTGCAAAGTGCAAAAGACACTTAAAAGCTTTACAGCCAAGGGTAACTGGCCTCATGACATGGCTCAGGAATAACTGAATATAAAGAGGGTGCACTAGATAAAGACGGTTCATGATGAATTGGGTCTAAAGTACAGAAAAAACATTGAAATTTCTAAAACCTGAGGTTCCTTCATTCTTCAACCTATTGGCATATTCAAGACCAGGTGATAGTGGAAGAAGTCCATAAAAATTTAGAAATCATGTTCTAATCATTTGTCGATATGGATAAAAGCAAAACATTTTTCTTCCTAATCATATTGGTGAAAAGCCAAGATGACAATTCATCGTACATTGAAACAATCAAATTGAACTTAAGACTATACTGGTTGAAATGTTACCGGCAAAGGAGTGCCAACAGTTCCAGCGTGAGCAGATTCTGAATTTGAATGTGCAAATTCATCCACTGGCAATGATGAGGTCCTCTTAATCCTGGGAGTAAATATTTTAGTAAGGGACAAGGTTCTTGAGATTGAAGGCTTTTCTCGAGTGCCTGAAGAGGAACCTTCTGAAGCTACAGTAGAACCCTTTTCAACATCTGATGACGCCCGGGAAATGAAGTTCAGTTTTGGTAAGAAACTTCTTATGGATGGTCTTCCTCTTGATGTTAAAGGTCCCGGAGATTTATTAACGGAGGTATCAACAGAGAGAGAAGTCACCAGGAAATTCACTCTCTTGGGAGTTGGAGAAGGACTTGGAGTCTGGGGCATCTTGATTGTTACAAAATCTTGAGAAGACTCTTCTGATGTTCTTGAGGGTATTTGTAGTGAAAGATTATCTCGCTTCCAGCGACGAGTATGTGTGGACTCTTCACTTATTGCCATTGTATCATCAACCTATCGATCAAATTGTGATTTGATATTTATACGCAACGCAGCCCATGCATGCTAAAATTTTAACCATGAAATGTAATGAAATACGAAAAAGCAATGCAGAAATTATTATTGGAAAAAAAAAGATATTATGACTCATAAAAGCAAATGAATTACGACATGTAAACAAACAACCATTTATCATGCCAGAAGAATGGACCAACGTCACTTCAGATTATTAGCAATATAGCAAGCTACACATATTTTGCCACTCAGATTTTATGTAAATATAGAAAGACCCCGTGAATCTTGTTCGTTACAGAGAAGAAAAACATAAACACAAACACGCACGTGAAACAACTTTATTACGGTGAAATTCATCAATCTCACCCTGGGCAAATCCATCAGAATGAAAGTTAACAAGACTGTAAATAAGACAGCAAAGTGAATTCAAAATACAGAAGAAATTCAAGCACTTTTGATTAGGGAGAAAGGAGTGACTCTGGTTTTCATAAATTTGAGGCCCATGTTCTAGAAAAGTGTTTCAGGACTCCCAAATTCAAAGCAAATGGAAGGTAAAAAGACAGCTTGACCTACCTGCGCCTAGTTTGATCCACAAGCATTAGAAAGCAGGACAAACTTACCTACTGACGATTAAACGAAAAGGAAGATTCATGAAAAGAAAAATGTTATCACATTTTATCGTAGCGCATCCCACATACTCAGTTGACGAAATTCAAATTTACCTAGCCACGCTTATCATGAAGTAAGGGCGAGAAGGGCAATATCTTTCGGCATAAAAGCACTGTAGTATCAAAAACAATGTTTGTGAAAAAGGATAGCTGTACGATCATCGGGATTGTTTCGAGTGTTCAGACCTCAGACGAGGACCCATAGTAGAATTCGTTCAAATATGTCGACCATGGCTGTTAAATTACGAGACAATATTTGAAAGTTTTGATCGGAAAGAACAACTAAAACACGTAAAAGAGCATCAAACACATACATAACAAAGAAGAAAAGAAACTATTGGAGTCACAGATGGAACATGGAATACTATTCTGATCTCATGCCCTGGCATCACAACCTGAAATTAAGAAGAAGAAGAAGAGGAAGAAGGAGTTGAAAGAGCAGAGCTACCTTGTGAACTGGAAGAGAAGCTGTTCTCTGACAAGAAACCGCATCATGTACTTCACTCACAGGCTTTTTCTCTGTACTCATATTCTCGTAACAAATCACAAACACAACTCGGATATCACAGACCAACCAAAACACGAATAACGAATAAAGTTCAGTCCTTGCAGGCACGAAGCTTGACCATATCTTACTTGCTTACTGCTCAGCGCATTGCTTTAACCCCCCAAATAGAGAGGGACTGACACAGGCAGAGGGAAAGGGCTAAAAAAGGGATCTTGGGACGTCAGGAAGTGGATATGATGAAGACGACGACGACGACGAAACTTAGCATTTATGACAGAGGATGGTGGGAAGCCTGGCCTACTTACGCATACACAAAACCTCAGTCTCCCCCAGTGCGCACGCACTGTTTTTACACTGATCTGAGTTTTGCTAAAAGTACTAACTCTACTCAAATCTCAAACATGCGTCTCGTTCTGGAAGTTCCTTCATCGTCCCAATTTCTGCCCCACAATAATAAAAGGAAGGCCAGGATAAAGAGCAGTTAATCAAGTACGGATAAGGGTAATAAAACGCGGATTTGAAATTCTTGACAAATATAGTAATGTTTAATTTAATTATTATTTATGAATATGAATTTTGAGAAACAGTACACTTGAGTAAGCTCTCCACAAGATCATGTTAAAAGAAAATTCAAAGCGGCATACTTTCCCTTATTTTCTGCCACTTTTTGGGGTTTATTTCCTTTAAATCACTTTCGTTTCACGCAATTATGTGATTGTTAGTTTCCCAGCCAAATAGGGAATGGCCACAAATGAAATGATAAATTCTAAAATTAGGGAGAAGGACCTAAAAAAATTAGTATTTATTAAGATGGATCTTAAAAATTGTAATTAATTTGAAAGACCAAAAATTAAAATAAAATTTTACAATTACCAAATTATCCCTTATCAAATCCCTACATTATCTCCAACGCCCTCCTATTTCAATTTAACAGTTAATTATCAATTGAACTTGATTTCTCTATCTCTCTCTCTCTTTATCTCTTTTTGATGCACCTAAAGTTTTTACTAACAGCAATTATCTTCTTGTAAATCCAAAACAAAGAAGACAAATTAAAAGGAATCAACTAGCAGACTATTTATTGGACGGTATGTATATTTTGAACATTATTTTCTCTCCTTTAGTTTATTTGTACCGAATGTTTTCTAATTTTCTCATGGCCTCTATATAAAGACTTTTTGAATGAAAATAAAAGTATATATTTGTACCTTCATTCAATCCCAACCATACATACATATAAACACAATCACACTACCTATACAAAGCTTCTTAGATGAATATAAATATATTTCTTTGTGTTAACCAAAATATGAAAATCAAGTAAATAGTACCCCTTTGTAACCTAAGCTTCACTAATAATTTTTCCAACCACATCGGAATGAGGGGCAAAATCACAGTTGCGCAAGCTGGAAATTTTTCCAGCCATATTGGAATGAAAGGCTAGTAGATGCAGATATGAATGACTGAAAAATAGGACTCTAATTTTAGTTAATTGCTGTATTTAGTTTTTAATTTTAAGGGGGGGCAATTTAGTAATTATAAATTTATATTTCAATTGATAACTGATAGTCAAATATTGAGATGGGTCTTGGAGATAATGTAGGGATTTGGCTAGGGATAATTTCGTAATTATAAATTCATATTTTAATTTTTGGTCCTTCAAATTAATTACGATTTTTAAGATCCCTCTCCATAAATACTAATTTTTTTAGGTCCTTCTCCTCAATTTTCCCTAAATTCTTTTCATTATATTCAATCATTAAGAATCTCCACATTTCGTTACGCATCCGAACGGAATAAATTTATAGCCTTGTTTGGCGAATTTTTATCTCGATGGGGAATATTCATGGTTATTAACATTATTCTTATACTCTTCTGGTCATAAACATAATATCTCTTTTGTAGCGTGATTTTACACTATAAAAATGATTTTATATTTAAAACTAAAAAAGTATATAAAAAACTGAAATATTCGATTAAGAGATTTTAGTTCCAGTGAGACGTAACATATATTGGAAATAACTTGGGTTTTACTCCTGCAAATTTTCCAAAGAGAGAGTAAAGATTGTTAACTAGTGATTGTACGCATCGAAATTACTCATCTCACAAGAAGGTCAAAAGAACAAGATATTTGACTTGGTTTGACGAAGCTTTTGTGCACCCCCTGTCACGATACAGACGTAGATAATTGGGATTAGCGTAAGCATCAGGGGTGAACAACGCCAGATGTCCCCAGAAATTAAAAAAAGTGATAAACAACACAAAGACATATCAACTTCATGACCCCGCTTCTTTGATTTGAGTTTGTATTTTTGCACTGTCAAAAAAGCAAGTGTCAAGTGCCAGCAGCAGGAAACAGAGGGAAAAAGTGGGAAAAGGAAATCAACTTCAGATCTTTTACTTTAAAGGGGGGGAAAAAAAGAAAAGCAATTTGTGTCGAACGCCACACTGTGCTCACAGAGTTACAGTGAATATATAAAATTTGAATTATGATATGTGTGATTTAACTTGGCCACCACTATTAATCCAAAAAGGGCCGTACTTTGCTATAACCACTCGCCTTTTCTCTTTTATTCTTTCTTTATATTATATGCATGTCTGGTCGGATCAAATTCCAGTAGATCGTGCTGGTACATGCAGTTTTAGATTTACTGTCACTTCTTTTGGGGCGGCGAGGGGTTTAGCTTATTTGACGTGGATTTAATTTAAATATAGTTGTATTTCTGATAGATTAGGAACCGAGAGTTTTTCTTCCTTCACCTGAGCTTAAGAACTGAGATGAGGCAAAGTGACCGAAATGGCAGACATTTACATGAAGATTACAATATCCAGGAAAATTGATTAGAGACAGGCTCGATAGAAAAAAGACAGACCAGACCATACACAATGATTTATTTGAAAGCAGGCATTGACATTGACATTAACTTGGGTTGAGAAATTGGATTTTTTTTTTTTATCCTTCATTTGTTGAAAAAACCTCATGCATACCTGTTGAAAGGCTAAACCTGCAATGTCACATTTAAGATTTAAAAAAGAGTACTTAAGGTCATTGAGTTAAGAAAATTAAAACTGGACAGTATAAACATGCAAATGAACAAGCTTCAACTCTCACACATACACACAAATTTAAAAAAACAAGTCACATCAAGCAATAATAGATCATCAGGAACTTTTGTTTTACTTTTTTGAATGATAATAATAATTTTTTGTTGGGTGTGGATACATTACTCCATTCTCCATATGATACCCATATATAGGGAGTCAAATTGAAGAGGGGAACCAAAAGGAGATTTTATTTTCTTGTTCATCATTATGAAAGATGCTTGAGGAGGAGTTGAGGGAAAAGTTGTATCCTTTTTGTCTTGTCGCATACAGTTTTGAATTCAAGTATGGAATACCAGGCTGTGCAGCAAGCATCGAAAGTAGATAGCCAAACATGATCATGCAGAAAGTTAAAATCAAATATTACTCCTAGTCATACTACTTTGGGCGTCTTGCTAGGCAAGCCACAAGTCCACAACGCTTCCTATGTGGACATCTCATGAATGAATCATGGGGCCACACGATGAGGTGAGGATGGCGTATAGTAGTTGAGATTTCATGGAGATGGAGGGTCGCCATTAATGCTAAATGTTAAGAATTCAGTAGCAGATAAGCCTGTGCATGGATATTAACGGGATACAGTGGGAAGAGAGAAGTAGTAGCAGTAATGAATTAAAGAAGAGAAAGAGGGAGCAAAATAATGAGAACGAAGATCGAAAAATTAAAAGAAGGAATAGCCTTTTACACTCCCAAGGTGGTGGAGAAGCGGACCGATGAAATAAAGTTAGGAGTAGTAAATGATGAAAATATGGATCAATAACTCCAAACAGAAGTCAGAGATGGGTAGCCGCACAAAATGCATCGTTTCTTTGCTGCCAAAAAGTAGTACTATTTCTATATACTATGAAGCGCCACTAAATTTAGAATACGACCTTTCCTTCCACACCAGTCAAGGGACATCCTAAAACAAACTCCGACTGAAAAGAAAATCGTACAAGTTTTTCACTTTTTGATTCAATTGAGAGGAAGAAACACAGAATGGATAATTAAAATTTAAGGGTATTGTACATGCCGTCTAGTTAGCGTTTTGTTTCCTCAACAGTAGAATTATTGAAGACCAGAAAAAACACCGAAGGATTACCGTGCGTATTACTTCTCGTAGGAACCGATAAGAGTTACTGGGTAAATAAATATAATAAAGAGTAAATAATACTCCATCCGTCCTTTGTTATAAGATTTTTTTAAACTAAATTTCACAGTTTAAGAAAACAATTAAAATTAGTTAAAAAAAATTAATATGTAATAAATATAATTTTTTTTTCAAATATACCCTTTTATATAAATAACTAAATGTAAGAGAGTAATAATAAGATAAATGAAAAAAGAGAATGTATTAAATACATTAAATTAAAAATAAAATAGATAATAATGTATTAAATATTTAGACAAACTCAAAGAGGATTTTATAAAAAACAAAAAAATCCATCTAAAAAATTAGATTTTATAAGAAAAGACTGAGAGGGTATACCTAACCTCCACACTGAGGATAGAAGCAGGGAAACTGACTGGAAAAATGATGAGCCAAGGATATTTTTGATTATTCTACGACGAGCACTGCACCACCCAACTTTGATGTGGCTGCAATAAATTCGGGACACACCCTATGCAGCAACAACCCTCCCTCTACTTGTGCCACTTGTTATTTTTTAACAAGTCCAACCCTTCTTATCTTCCTGCCTAAAACCCTTTAAAGGGCCTTTTTTTTATGATTAAAAAACCCTTCTACCCCCCACCCCCCCCCCCCAAACCAGAGGAATGTCATAAGCAGGTTGAAAATTTTTGAGAAGGCAAAGAACTTCGAAATTAAATTTAAAAAAATTAGTCCAACAAATTATTTATCAAAAATACATATTTTTTAAATATCATTTTTAATCAATTGCATTAAAACTACTATTATTCAAAATGCAAATTAGTTTTTAAAAAAAGGTGAACCAAGATTACTTATTTAAAATCAAAATAAAGCCCATAACTAACTTTTATATCCAGAAACCGAGGTAGTAATAATAAAAGACGAATGGATTATACATATTTAGCATGGAGCCACATACATACTAAATTATTTTAGAGGGAATATATAAATTTAGTTTAAACCTGTCGGTAAATAAAATTGTGCGAAAAATGAGGTGGAAGCAGGTGTTCTTTTCATATCTAAATAAAATAGAGGTCCACCAACTACAGTTAGGTAAAGCGAGTTGGATGACTCGGTCTCCAACAAGGACTTGGTGAGGCATTATAGTTTGACAAAACATCCATGTTGACAGTGATATGCTAGAACTAAAACCACACATTGTGATACCCATCAATCACTACTGCTCCAAAGCCAAAGAAAACGTATCATCAATCAAACTATAAATATTTCCCATACAGTAGTCATTAATAAAATTAACCATTGAAAAAAGGCAGCAATCTCGATACTGATAAAACTTGATGCAGTGCGCTGCAAATATTATATGGCGGCTGAATCTTTTCAAGGTCATTTTACAGAATAACTCAACGTGCAAGATCAAAAGATCATTAGCAGCAATATCCATCAGTGACGAGTAGAAAGCAGCTAAAAAGGAACAAGGGGGTCCGCCACAAAAGTTTGAGATCCCACAAGATAAGAAGCCAGAAAATCTCAACCTGGCCGACGGACCAATCACCAATCAGCACCTTCTTGCTTCCTACCTCTCGAGGAGCATCACCAGTTCACAGTGGTCAGTATGTGGGAATAGATCAACAGCCATGGCTTTTATGGGCTGGAAGGCCTCCGAGATAGGCATGGACTTGGCCCTACGCCTTGCAAGGCCAGCACTGCTCATGTTTCTCCATCCTCTGTTGTCTATATTTCCTTTTTCCATTTTCACGGGAGATGGCGTGCAAAGCTCAATAGCATTTGCCAGCAAACTTTCGGGATTACAAGATATGTAGCTGCATATAAAAGCCTATCATTAGATCTCAAAGAATTGAAATTACCATAAACAGTGTATTGCGTTTCAGAACAAGGACTAACACAAGTCGCCGCAGTCCTTGATTAGTCCTCAGAGCTTTGATTACCTGCAATCTCAAATTTTTGATTTTCAGGAAAAGAAGGAGAAAGGAAAAATACAAACAGCAACTGAGCGGACAGGCGGATAAGTTAAGATAAGGTTCCAAAAGATGTGTAATATACTAATATAGCACTCGAGTCTGCGTATAATAGATATAACTAACCAAATCAAATTTCAACCGGGACGAGTATAATATAACACTAGTGCATTCATACTCACTGCGTCAGACACCTTGTCTTATTTTTTTCCAGATGTAATGAGAAAAATGATTCTTACAGTTGGATGGAGTCCAGCACGTGGAGGGTCAACAATAGCAACAACATTTTTAAATCGTTGCATCAAAGAATTCCCGTTTTCAGAATCGCTCCCTTTCTGAACCTCAATTTCATCTTCTTGCCTGCCATTTTCAGAACACCGAGATTCTCGTTCACCATTTTCAGTTTCGTGGCGTGTGCTCCCCTCAGAAATTTCGTCAACGTCAGTTCCACAGATACTGGGAACATTAACTTGCTCCTTCGGTTTATTTAGGTACTCCTTTAACAAAGATCCCATCACATCCTCCGCCTGTTGCCTCGTATAAATAGTCACCATGCAAAAGTTTGATTATCATAACCTGAGTCAACTAATAAACTAATTAAGTCGAATTAAACAACTTTACACCAGAGATAAGTTCTCTTGGTGTCATAAATTATGATACTATTACATTCTATTAATTTCTGACGACTTCTTGCCTGACGCCATAGCATAACTCAAATAGGAAGTAAACCAAAAAGTTGATCTCACCTTTGCACATATAAATCTACAATTCTTTATACCGTTAATCTCAGCATTCCTTTGAGCATCAGATACTGCAGAAGCATTCATTTCAACGCCAATCACCTAATAAAACCCACAAACAAATCAGGATAAGCCATTTCAAATCATAAAATTTTGGAAAATAAGCTAAGGCCATGCTTTATATGCAAATTGAACAATCAATCAATTCTCAGATAGTATTTGGAAAACTGAGTCATGTTCTATGCATTCATTTAATCTCACCGGGAGAAACCTTTACACACATAATCACTTCCAACAAGCTGCGATCTTAATTAATTGAGTCCATAGCATATTCAAAGATGATTATTACCATACCAACACGATGTGCTAAGGTCAGCCCAATTGTTCCTGTCCCACAGCAAATATCGAATAGCAATGTATCAGGACCTAAGCATGCCCAATCTCCAGCAAGTGAGTACAGCTTCTCAGCAGCTAGAGTGTTGACCTGCAGTAGAAATATATTCAATATTTTAACTACTGGGAAAACATGATTTTGCCGCTCTACGTACAACATCAGATGCCATCCTCACCTGGAAAAATGCAGTCGGAGATATAGAAAACTGGAGGTTACTAATATAATCATGGATCCGGACATCCATGGTACCATTTTTTTCATTTATTTGATCACCAACTGCCTTAGGAGTGAGAAGCGACCGCAGGGGGGCATCAGCTGGTGCTACATTGGATATTCCCTGGTGATCCTACATGTGAAGTCAAATTTCAGAATAGCAATCATTTAGAAAATTAAAGGGCAGATTAACTTGCGTTAAACATTGAAAACAGCATCACAACCTTCCAAATTCCAGGTATCTTTGCATGGGTACGCACACATAAGGCATTTAAGAGTTTAATGCATCAATCTGACCCAAAACATTAACTATAGACTAAAAAGATTCCTACCTGTACAACCAGAGCTGTGAGAGGCAATGGTGGAGAACATGCATTAGCTCCTGCAACAAATGCTTGAGCGAGTTTCTCAAGTTCACCAGTTACTAGCTCATTATCAAAGCCCATCGTAGAAACCTACATAATCAGTGTGGAAAAAAAAACCATGAATTTTAACAAAAGAATGACACATAAGCATGAGACATGATGCATAATCTATATATAATTAGGTCTTGTCTCCCTTTATAAATCATGTTCAATAAATAACACCACCATGAACCAGGCATTTCAATCCATTGAAGGTAGTTCTAAACATGATTACTCCTAAAAAGTAACCTGCACAATAAGCATGACCTCTGCAATACCATCAAAATCTTCAGCTTCAGCAACCTTTCCATTTGTCCTTCCTTCTCGAACCTTTAAGGAAAAGTTCAACAACCAATTAACGGCTGAACAGTTCTCTCACCAATGCCAATACAAACTTTTAGCAACATTCAATTCAAAAAATAGCAAAGTCATACCGTCAATTGACGCCAAAACCCTCTATTCTTGAATCTATTCCAAACCGGTAACTGTGAATGCTGCAGAAATTCCTGAAAGATAGAAGCATACCGGAGTGCAATTGTTGAAACATTGGGACAGTTCACAGCTTCCTCAACTGCTGTTACACCCTCCCTGCCGCAATACATTAGTAAACAGTTTACATGCCAAGAGCTTTATAAACAGAGTGAATGTAGTTTACCTGAAATTTCCAAGCATGAATCCTACTGTTATTTTTCCTTCTACAGAATGTCCAACAGAAAATTCACACTTGTTGCGATATCCATTGACCCTTGGTGATCCAATAATACCTTCTAGTTTGCAAGGAAGACCACCTGCGGATTTTTTTTTGGGGGGGGGGGGGGAGACAATCATATGAAACATTAAAATTACCATCTTGTGTTAGAATAAAACTAAAGAAACAGAACATCGGTAGTGAGGTAAATTATGGAGAAAAATACCACCGTATTAGGCAGTTTCTAAATAAGCCCCTCATAAGTCTTGAAAACCAAAATTACAGTTTTCCTGGGCATTAGGTTTAAACTTTCGAACATATATACACTACCTATGTCACTAGACTTGAGAATCCACTCAGGAAGAGAAACACCGCTTGGACAAGCTTTGCGAGCATTTCTAGTCTGCAACAAAATGCCTCATAGTTAATTTTCTGAAAAATCACTCTATACAAAATTAAGACATAGAATGCGGAGGTCTAACCCCAAAAAATTTACTAGAAAAGGCAGAATAGGAAACAGGTAAAACATACAAGTCTCTTGAGAATCTGCGTAAGATTGCCCTTTTTGTGCTCTAACTGATCAGCATAGGCCATATGAGCAAGAGGAGTCACCACATCGCGGAGGCTTCTTGTCTTTGACATGGAATCACCAACTGCCAAATTTGCACTATTTGTCTCACTATCTACATTCCCAACTGTATTCACTTTAGCTAATGCAGAATCTGCATTTTGGGCAGATTCTGCACAAAGAGTGAAACTTGAGTTACCTTTCTTATCAAATGATCGAGGAATAACATCTGCAACTTTTAAACTTTTGCTGCCAATTAATTTGCCTTCCAGCTCCTATTACAATGGCAGTCTGATCAATCACTAATTCCATTGCAGGTGAATTAAACAATGGATAACGGGATCATAATTACCTTTGTTGAGCTCTCCAACTGTTCTTGATCTTCAAAAGTGACAAATCCTACCAGCATGCCTATCTTTTTCTTTGCAGATTTAAAAGGTATACCCTGTATAGTACAAGAAGAATAAGAACCAAATATATCATAGTCTGTACATGCTACATAAATCATACCTCTGCCACCCTAAGCATAAGAAACCTTGATCACTGAACTAGCTTCTTTCTATATCTTTTTTTATATATTTTCAATTGAATAACATAAGTTTTGATCTCAGCAAAAAAGAGTCGGACACCTCTACAATATGGAATTTAAAAAAGGAAAATGAAAAAAAAGTAAATAATTATGAGTATTTATTAAGTTAGTTCAGAGTTTAGATCCTCATCCCCTCTGAAAGTTAACGATTTTATCACCAAAGTTACAACCATCAAGTCATGTTTGGAGTAGCTCAAATTAGCCAAGTACCTTATCTAGAGTTCAATTCAACAGACGCACATATACTACATTCAGTTTGTTCTTTGTACATTCCAACTACTTTCTCAAAATCGAAATCCAGAGAAATCTGGTACTGGTACAACTACAACTTCAGAACAGGTTTTAAACGAAGCTTGCCTCTTGATTGAGAAATTCCCTCAAGTTGTCCGAAGCCCACTTCCTCGGCAAATGCACCAAGCATTTGCTAAGAGCGTGATTGGAATCATCATTATCATCGCCATCAGCATCATCGTCCACAGCTTCAGTCATCATTACGCCCAATGAAACTGTACATTTCTCGCCCGTATCGGATTTCATCGCCTTCTTCGCCCGCTCTGACGTTGGGTCCCAGGTGTTATCGGGCCGAGGCCGAAGCTCCCCTTCGCCGTGGGCATAGCGGCACTCACTACCGTGGCTGCAGGAGCCATCATGTCGCCGGAAATAAGAACAGAGGCTGGTTTTCCACAAGGGGTTAAGGGAAGGATCTGAGACCCCAAAGTCTGAGTCCTCGCGCCTCCGTTTCTCGCCCGAGACGACATCGTCGGAAGGCTGGGCAGGGGGAGACGAAGATTCCTGATGGATTTGAGCGCTTTTAGCAGGCGATAGAGATGAATGAGGACCGTTGATTGGATCAGAAGGGTTTAGGGTTTTAGAGGTTGAAAGTGAGAGGTCAGTATTTCCAGGTTCCGCCATTGAGGGCCTCGTCTACTTTTGGGTTGTGCTTGTTGTTGTTACGGCTACTTAGCTATTCCCAAATATGATAACCAATTCCCGATTTTCCTTTTATGATCCTCTTCGTTAACCGCCTCCAAGGCCACGTCCCTCAAAATATAACCTAAATACCTCCCTCCCGAGCAAATCTGCTGATTGCATTGTACCAACCCTTTATATATGTATAGGGGGGCGTGTGCGTGCGTGCGCGCGAGCGACAAGGAAGGAGTGTTCCTTTTTTTGCTTCCAGAAGTAAGTTTATGGGAATTGACTTGAGGAGTACTATGTAAAGAAAATTGACATTTGACTTTTCATTGTGGTTAAAATTTCTTTTAATGGGAAGACCAGCGCCAAAGAGAGGAACAAGCATCTTACTCCCACATGCTCACTGGCATGCAAAATCCAGGCATTCATATTTTCGAAAACTCTAGTGTGTTCCCATCCCTTCATATTCCTACGTTGTCATGCAGTGAAAGTCAATCGTTCGTATGGAAGACTAAGCAAGAGATTGTGTATGATAAAGTGGATGCAGCATGAAAGTTTCTGTCCGCACGAATAGGCAACCAGCAAACTGCAGAGTCATAGACCACTGCGCCATAACGAGTTAGGTAAAGAGAAAAAGAAAAGAAAGGGTTCCATCCCGTATATAATCATATTATTTTACGAGTTTCTCTCTTTTATCGTATTCTCGATCTATAGTTAATTTACGAGTAGAGGGAAAAACGAATATATTAACTGGATGGGGTTAAACGTGTTTGGAAAATGGAAGACTTGATACATTGAGGGAGATTTACAGAGGTGGGGTGTGCTTTGAAGTTTGAACTGTATTCATATGATTTCAAAATCACATATCGTTCCCGTGAAGTATTCATATTTAGTGTATAATAATACTTCGAACAGCATTGTTTTTAATAGAAAGATGTTTGTGCTTAGTAAAAAAAAAAAATCACATATTGTCATATTGAGATAACAACCAAAATCACGTTGGGACACTCTCGAAACGTGCTTCCAATAATGTGCAAAAATAATCGTTTCTCTTGAACCTCTTTCTTTGTTAATTCGACAAGGTAGGGAAAGAAGAACAGCTTCTCTTTGAGCTAGGTTTAGGGATTTATTGGGCAGATGTCCTGGGCTAAGAGGCCCACAGTACACTGAACCTAGAAAGCCCAGATACCACAAGATAACCATAACCCATCCAAGTATAACATTCGTGATACATAATTGAGCCAACCATCCTCTAAGGTGCCCTGAAAAATTATCTTAAAAAGTTGAAAGTCTTTATTTGGACCTGCAGAGATCATGCTCTCTCTCATCCATCCACCCGTACTTTAAAAGTCTATCTTCTTATTGATTTATATAGGCACAGATCGAAAACATTCCTTTTTTTTTGTTTGCCTGAACAGGCCGAAAATATTCAGACATGTGAAATAAGCATGTTTTTCTTAAATTAAAATTCATTTAATTCAACGCAATACGTTTTGGATTGTATTTTTTCTAAAGTATTTTTAATTTAATGTAGGCTTAGAACGTTTTGTGCGTTTTGTATTATGCATTTCTCATTATTTTTAATAAATCAACAGATATAGGTGAAATATTTAATGGTTTGTGTACGTGTATAACATTAAAATGAATACACTAAACGCCTTCTACATATTTTCAAACGTAAAATTATAAGTTCAAACTCCCAAATATCATAAATACGTAAATTATGACTGAAAAAACTGTTTTCTCGTCCATCTTCAAATCAAAATATATTAGCTTCACACGCATGCGGAGTGCGTTGAATAGGAATACTTTACCCATCCCCGATGCATTATCTTGAAGAGCTGACATTTCTTGTTCCGTAGAGACAACAAAAACGAAGCAAAAAGGGTCATATTCTGATCAATGAGGCCCGCTGATCTTAAGAGACACGTATTCTGTACATTTGAAATAATTTTTTATGTTAATAATAAAAAATTATATTAATTTTCCGGGTTCTTTTTGGTGAACTAATATTCCGGTTTTTTTATTTTGAGAAGAATGTCAAGAATAAAAATGACTAAAAAAAAAAAAGATGAAATATTTCCGAATCCACGGGCAATCTCGAAAATCCAAGTTATATAGGTGGGGGTGAGGTAAATAAAAAGAAGTCCGATCCAATTCTAAAAGAGACCAACAGGAATAGTGCTGTCCCAGAACCAGGCACAGGTGGACCTATCATTTCAGCAGACAGAAAGGATCTTATTCCCACTCAATGTCTTTCTGGGAAAGCGTGAATCAATGTCACGGCACAAGCACCACAATCTCTCCAAGGAATCACACAACTAGGCACACTTATAAAAGCAGTTTACACCATGGAAGTAAAAAGGAGCAAGTAAGCCCAGTTTTGAACAGTTTCGATAAAGCTAGAATCAATCAAACAATAAACAACCAACATTGCTTGGATGTTTTCCTACGGAATTATGTTTTTTCGGTGGCAAATCCTTCGCCAATCCCCGCAGGTTCGATTGGTATGTATTTCATTCCCGAGCAAAGAATCGATGCATGAACAGTGTGCGGCACAAAATGGAACCCAAATCACAAACTGGAAACGGAAAGCAAAGTATTCCGTATTCCCTTCAAAACCTCCTGGACCTGGTTCTCCACTTACAGAAATAGTAGGCGAAGTGCAGTATCCATTATGATCTGAAAGTTACAGCTGGGTAACATACCTAAGTGATCGAGTACTGTTGTACAAATGAGTAAAGTGAGCTTTGCATTTGCACCTAACCTCCCCAATGATTCAATTCCTTATAATATTGATATGGGTAATTATCCTTGGTAGTAAAAATATGATTATTAAATGCGCCTAAACTTTGAGTTAAATGCGATGCCACCACAGTACCATTCACCAAACTCATTGGAGTAAAGCACAGAACAGAAAAAATAAAAAAGGGAACCTGCTAGGGATGATTAAGAGTGGTCCCCAACCTTGTTTAATCTTTCTTGATTAAAGGACAGAGAGCTTTTTATAGGTCTAAGTGCCAATAAAGCTTATATAACACACAATCAGAAAGAGAAAAACAAGATCTTAATCAAGGAAGTGCAGCTGGAAGCGTAGGCAAAGCCTATTAACACAACAAAGTTCCTGAGGGGACCTTAATTTCATAAATATCAGAGTATATCAGGAAGAAAACGACCTCTTAGGCTCCGCATACAAACATCTAAACTTTTAAGAAGTGCAAGGTCGACTTGGAAGTTCAAATTACCGACAGTGAGCTCATATGAGAAGTAATCTTTGTCATCATTTCACTCACCGCATGCATCAACAATATTATTATATAGAAACTCGACTGTGAAAGTTTCCAACCGGAGGACCAAATCATGAACAACCAAGAGTTCATTGGGTGCATTGGCAAGCCTAACTTAACTCTGAGGCTCTATAGTCTACGGAGTAATATACGGACACCGTCCTCATTATGACTTGAGCTTAAACTGTGGCTCCAACAAATCAAACAAAGATACATAATATCGGGAAATGGAACCTACAGAACAGACCCCCATTACATGGGAGTACTAGCATTTAGCATAGTATCATACCATTTGAATATTTCTCTCCGCATGAACAGTGGACATAAATTTTGACAAAGGCACAGAAACAGATCGGCAAACCATGAGCACCAAAATCATTAAACAATGAAAATCCTTGATTTATTGGTTTACATAGTTGGCTATTATGAAGAGAGAGAAAAAACATGACAGAAATATCTGTGTGAGCCTACTTAGTAATTTTAAAAACAAATGACAACCATCATAAAAAAGGGAGAAACACATCCAAATAAACCATGTTAAAAAGAAAGAAACCAAATTCTCCGCTAGAGCAAGCTCTCCCAGAGCGAAATGCACAGGGAAGCACCCTTGTAGGCTAAGTCAGACTGTAGATACCATCACCTTCTGTTGAGTCAATCTACAAACATCTCAACAACCCATAACAGCACAATTGTACACGAACACCCCAACATGCTCCTTCACAGCAAGAACTTGCCAATCTAAGGTGCCATTTTTTACCCCTGATGCAGGGCACCAGGAATTCAGCACAACAGCTTCACCTTCAGGACCTCTCTGACCACCCACGACCAGAAGGTGCTTCCCACAAGCCTTGAAAGCCAGACCCCATCCATTAGAAGAATCAGCCCGGACTGGAAGCCTTCCCAATTCATCCCAGACATTCTTTACCTTGTTATACTTCTTCACCATGTTGGTTAGATGCTCCACAGCAAATAACTGGTTATCCACAACTGCCACGAGTGGGGGTGCCTGAGCAGCCCCATTAACAAATGGATACATATCCTCTATTTTCCGCCAACTTCTTGTCTCAAGATTATACTCCTCTCCACAGGTCAATGAAACTGTAGGACCTGACATTCCACCAATCACATAGAATTTGCCATCCATGAAAAAACCAGAGCACAATCTACGTGGTGTGTGCATGTTTGGTAATTGTTCCCATCTACCAGACGAAGAGTCATACAACTCAGCTGATTTTAGAACATTTCCATTTTTATCACTTCCACCTGCAACAATGGCAATGGAGCCAAGACTACCAGATCCAAACAAACAACGCGGCCGATTCATCCCCTGGCATTTAACCCAACCATGAAGAATCAAGCTATACTTCCAAATAGCAAAATCCAACAATTCCCGACCAAATACCAATAGTTCACTGCCCACAGCCAAGGACTCCTTGTCTGCATGGTTGAAACATTCATCACACGGTATCTTAGGTAATGACATCCATTTCTTTTTCATGGTGTCAAATGCCTCCCACCCCCTTGGATCACACACCAAATAAACCCAATGCTCCACGAGTCCCAATTGTTTCCTCAACCCATATAAATACCCATTTTTAATCAGCTTATTGTATCTTTTATTTATACAAGATAGTGAAGCATAATCCGATCTACTAACCCAAGCAAGACAATTCAGGGCAACATCATCAATAAGACCAGGGAGAAGAGAATCATTTGGTTCAATTCTAGTTCGACCATCATTCACTCCTTCCCTTGAATTCATTTTCAAAAACTTTTTCACTTTCTCTTCATCTTCCTGCATAGAACAAGACAAACATATTTCCTTTGTCATACCAAAAGATCCCTAGTTCATCCCAACAAAACCATAGCAGATTAAAAGCAAGCTTCGACAGCAGTATCCAATATCCTATTATTGCCACAATTTTCTACTATGCGGCCTATGCCCAGAAAGTAAATTGCAGTATAAGCATACGACCGATTTCTAACTAGGTACTTTTTTCCAACAATTGAGAAACTTCTGTTAGGAGTCTCTACTTGTATTATCCTATTAATCAAATCCTCGCGGAACTTCTTCCAATTTGCATGTTACTATATTTACACACAAAACAGGATCTCGGAAAAAAAAAATAAAACAAAAAACGAGCACAAGATGAAATGAATCAGCATGAAAGCTTTAAATTCCAGTAGTACCAGCCAATTAGCGAGAACTCCCAGAAGTTTCCCTCGACCAAATTCCAGGTGTCGAGACAGAATAAACTGCAAATCCATGAGAACAAGAAATTAACATGAATTAAAAGAGTAAATGAAAGAAATATGCATGCAGCTGTAAAATATAAAATAATCCGATACTAGCAAAAGGGTATGTGATGATCCAATTCAAGAAAGAGAAGCCGGATACGGATCCAAATCGAAAGAATCAAATTCGCTTTTCAGAAGCGGAGATGAGAGTAAAAATGAATGCAGACATACCAGGAAGGAAGAAAAACGTTCGGATCTCAGACACAGAACCGCCGCATGATTGGACGAGAATAATGGTGGCGTCAGAGCATGATGCCGGTGACCGGCGATTGTAGGGAAGGGTGAAGGTGGGCTTTAAGATAACTTGGAACAGGGAAACACTCAAGTACTATATGGGTATATTTTGCCATCAAATTTGTTTAATTTGCACTGACGACCCCATGTTTGGGCGTATTTCTTGTTTTCCCCTTTGAATAGAATGATCATCAACAGTTAAGGTAATAGTGTGGTTTTCCCCGCTTTTCCTCATGAATTAGCACTCGGATTAGCAAGATTCAAATTCCCTTGATATTAGTAAAAACATACTACTCTCTTATTCTTAATATAAGACTTATTTAATTAATTTAATTAGATTAAAGAAGTTAAATAAGTTAGTTAATTATAAGAAATATGATATGTTTCTCCTAAAACACCACGATCGTTTTTCTAAATATCCTCCCTCCTTCACTTATTCGATTATGATTGAGAGAGTATTCATAGAGATGGTTTAGAAAATATTAATAAATATAAAAAATAAGTATTATATTTAGAACCAAATTAACTTAATAATTAGATCATATATTAAGAGGAAGAGGAGTATCATCTTGAAATTTTAAATTGCTAACATTAAATTGATATAAATAAAATTTCTTCTCTCTTTCTTTTTTTTTTTTTTAATTTGGCCGCCGTCTTCTTCCCGCTTGTCGCTGCTGTATTATAGCGCGTACATATTCTCTTTTCCCATGTGAAATTTCGTTGGGGCCAAAAGCAAATATTTCTTTCAAAAGTTCCTGTGCCTCAGACAAAATTATTTTAATACGGAATCTTATTAAACTATTTTTAAAAAATATAAATTTGCTTTGAAAATGTTCCAAGTGAGATTACGGGAGTGTTTGGATAGAAACCAAACCATGGTTTCAGAAGTGCTTTTAATTACGGATTACGAAATAAAATATGTGAAAGAGATTATCTCGTTTTGCGGAAAAGTGCTTCTAAAACCTAGTTTTGGTTTTGCTAAATTTCACCCCCCTACATATAAGGGTCTCATTGGCGTTTTTTCCCGATGGGTAGACGTAATTTTAATTCCTTATTTTTTAAACTATAACAACGAGACAGCATTCTATTTTGGATAGAATTTTTGATGGCGCGAGTAATGTCATAGACTGAGAGTGCTTGTTGTTGTCATTTCAGTGCCAGTTCTTGTACTTGCACAATTCATCCATGGGTTCTCAATTTTTCCATGGAAGTTTAGAAAATAATATTATATATTTTATTGGGCACAAGATAAATTTAAATATTAGGTAATAGCTGGTCGAAGATGACCCCCGACTTGTAAACGGGCAATGTTGATGGTCAAACTCCTTTTTCCTCTTGCTTGAAATGACAGTCAAACTTCTTAAAAATTATTACCTCCGGTTCTAATTATAAGAGTCAGTTGACTAATTTAAAGAGATTAAAGAAGTAAGTTAGTTAATTATTTGTCCTAAATAGATGTTGTCTTTTTTAAAATATCTTTACTAATTAAATGTATTGACTGGAACTATTGTTGTTAGAAAGACTACTGTGGAAAAAAATATATAAATATGAGACACAAAATAGATTGGAATCTTATCTTTGAGACCAAAATAAAAGTCAAACAGGGTCATATATTAAGGACATGAGGTAGTATATATATATTAACAGTATCGAATACGTAAGTTTTCTTCTTGAAATCATAGGTGAGCAAAATTGCGTCAGAGCTACAGAGGAGGACGCTAGAAAATTTAATGATGAAATTAATGACGATGATGGTAATCTTACAATTCAATCGTAATTTTATGCTCCTTGAGAACCAACTATGTCCTATTACTTCAATTGGTTTTTGGCCAAAAAGACAGATTATAAGCGAACATTTAATTACCGCCGTATTTTATAAATAAAATAATAAATAAAATACTTAGTATTATCGGGTCAAACAAAACTCCGGACGACCTTTGTTTAATTGTAAAGGTTCGTAGAAAATAATCACTTCACCATTTTTAATTAAATACAGACCATCACCGTCATCAATTCAATGAAGTATACAATTATATATGCATTATTTCTTTGGTCTGCATGATTATATGCCATTTGATTAATCAATAACGCAAAGAAGCAGGGATAAGTTTTGTTGCTCGACTCACATCACGTATTTTTTTAATTTTCTAAAAATACAAGATTGTCGATTTTAATATTTAATAGAAAAAACAAGATAGATGCGAGAGACAACCGAAGCATAGGGAGCATGCGGAGAGAGGGGGGAGAGACACGCAATAGAAAGGGTACTTAAATTAACTTTTTGAAAATATTTTTGAAGTAATTTTAAGAGTCCAACTGTCCAAGCTCTTTCAACCAGGCTTTTTACTGAGTGACCGTATCCGTTGATTGGCGTGGGCAGGTCATTAATCTGTCCGCCACATAAAATAGTAATAGGGTCACACCTATTACTAATTTATATTAAACAAGGTGACCATTTATGTGATGGGACTTGACACCGGACCGTTCTTATTAAATGCTTGAGGTTTTGCGGCTTTGATCCATCTTCATCAGAACTACCCAAGCTAACCTCATTAGGTTAATTTATTCGGAGTTACTCTAAGTACCAGCGTTGATTAATTAAATTAAAATTAATTTTTTTTAATTATTATGAGTTTTAAAAGTGAAATCCAGTCTCTTAATTCATTATAGAAAAAATTAAGGCTTGTTTGGGTCTCTGTTTAAAACGGACTTTTAAACGGATTCATGTAAATCGAGACAAAATTTTCTTTATATTTACCTCGTATTCTATAAATCATGTTTAAAAAACTACTTACAAGTCAGTCTAAACAAGCCCTAAATGTATGGAGAATTAAGAGTGAGTAGAAAATGCACATAACTTTGTCTTCGCACGAGTTACTCCCTCTTATTGTATATATAAAATAAAAATAATCAAGTTCCATAAATGTAAAAGTTGATTAAAAAAATTTTTATTTATAGAGAGTGGATGAGATACAGAGAGAACGAACAAGGAAAAAAATTAATTAAGACATTCATATAACAGGTAATTAATGAAAAAAGCTGGTTAAAATTTCAAATATCGTTTAAATGAAATTTGTGAGTATGATCATGACGACCTAAAAATTGTATTCATTGTATGTATAGGAGCAGAAAAGGGACACAAATAGTGGGAAAAGGGGAGGGTATTCACCGAGGGAATAAGGAAGCGGGAGGCAACCAATTGCGAAAGCGGACAAAAGAGAAAACTTGGTGGGGAGGAAAGAGCGAAGAAGGCGCCCAACTTGGGGGTGTAATTGTCACAATCGTTTTTGGCGCCGCGGAGAACAAAGGGCGTACTGCTCTTCAAACACGTGGGAATGGGAAGGCCCTTTTCTTTACGAAACACTGCGTATTAATTGGCGATCAACTCCATTTAATCAGCCAAACCTATGGCTTATCTTTCTCATTTTTTTTTATTTGGCCCTTGCTTCCTGCTGACGTGTTGACTTTGTCTTCGAGTGCGATTCCATCTCCACGCGTTTTGACTACGTGTCAGCTCTTCCCTCTACATCCGACCAAACCCAAGCTATTAGCCGCATCTAATTTCAGCTTACCCTTGCCTTCCCATCCACACAGGACAAATCTCTTTGACGGAAATTTCCTCAATTAATTCTTATTTATTAATTTTATCATAATAATAATGCTTGCTTAACTGTAACTCGTTATATGTTAATCTCTTACTTAAAACTTCATTTAACATGACAAATTTCAATTGAAACATATTAATGAGTTACTACTATTTATTGGTTCTGATAAATTAATTAAAATGACTTATAGAAAGTAATGTATTTTTATGTTTTTTTTCTCATAACTTACTTGCTCATCACTGCTTCTATTAAGAAATTAAACTCAAAACCGCATGTATGAAAATTGAAAATGATTTTAAGAAGCATATTTAGAAAGTATTTAAATACAAATCAAAAATAATTTAAAAAATAATTTTATGATATACAAAATAAATATATAAAAATTTATCTCAATTTGTAAAAAAAATTTTAGAAAGTACTTCTCCTAATTTCCAATCAACTTTTCATCGAGTTAGACTACAAAACCTAAATATATTATATATGTTTTCCAAGTTGATTTAGCCACTGTTTTCCTTTTAACTTGCTGTAGAATCAAGTGGTGTATGATGGTACCGAGTAACATTTATGGGATGGGAAGAAGGGTTTAACAAAATTGAGAATGGAGAGGAGGAGGGAGGAAGAGAGAGCTTTAGGCAATAAATGCAAATCTGAGAGGGGTGGATGCGTCAGGGTCTGCTTTCCTTTTTCCTTTTCAATCGACGGCACTCGCATGCAAAATAAGAAAGCAGCAATCATTTTATTATTAGAAAAAGAAGCAGAAGAAGAAGACGAAAAGAGACAGAGAGATGAAACAATATATAGAGTACATATACACACACACACATGAGCAGTTGAGAGAGGGAGAAGTACAAAGAAAAGGAGATACCAATGCTAACGAACAAGTACATGTACTCACCACGCGGTGCCTACCATCATCCCTCCTCTGACTGATTCCTCCCCCGCCCCGGCGCTTTTTTCTTTATTTATTTCACCTTTTCATGCCTCCTTTTTTCTTTTTGTGTTTTATTTTCCTTACATATGACGTCCCCTTCACTCCCAGTGCCATATAACTATGAATACATTTAATTGATTGATTTTAAAAAAAAAAAAAATTACTAAACTATTTAATAATAACATTTATTACATAATATTTTCAAAATATTTAGGTGTATGATTAAATTATCCAGTAATTTATAAAAGCGACAAATTAATTTAAAAAAATAATAAATATAAATATTTTAAGATAATTTATTAATTTTGTTAATCTTCTCAAATAATTAAGTTAACTTGATCTTATATTAATGAGCAGATGTAGTATAATTTAAAACCCTTTTTTTTTTTTTACTTTCTCTTCATTCAAAATAATAAATAGCTTTCATAATATTAAGGACAGAAACAAGCATGATGCCGTAGGCTCAAATGGGTATTGTAATAAATAACAAAAATTTTTAGTTAAAAGGGGGGGGGGGGAACCCTTTCAACAACCTTTCAGTGAAACTACATGCCTGGCAAAGGCTTGAAATCGACTCAAGGCCACCCTTTAGTAGTCCTAAAGCTTAACAGCTGAGTTATGTGTTCGTTGATGATAACCTTCATCTTCAACTTGCGCCTTTTTCTTTTTCTTTTTTTTTCCTTTTGGAAAATTAAAACACCATTTCTTCAGTTACTTATTAAACCATTATCTTGCTTAAATCACATTTTACATGATTTTAAAACTGGCTCTTCAACGGGCACCCAAAAAAATCAAACTTCTTGCCAGGTTTAAAAAAAAAAAAACTTAAACTTTAAGGTTTCGCAATCCATTGCGTTTAAGATACTATTTTTCTGATTCTAAATATAAAATCTATTTTATAATATAAATTATATTATAAAATGGATCTGATATATTTGGAACCGGAGTAGCATTGTCTTTTGGTTAAAACCTTAACGATCCTGCAACACTCTCACAGAATCAGCAAAGCTGTCTGGTAATTAATTAATCAAGGGCACACAGATATATATATATATATATATATATTTATACATAAAACAAGAGAGAAAATGGAAGAGAATCTAGTTCGCTTTTTTTATTCGATTAAAGTTAGACACGCATGTGAAACCAACCGATCAAAGAGATACCAGCGACCTGGTTATGCCACCTGTCCAGCTAAAAGAAAACTCCGACCTTTCTTTAGGGGCTATATTGTCATTTAAATTTACCTACAATATTACACATTTTTTAACACGCAGTTTTCAAAAACAAAGTTCCTTTTTAATTACTTGTCCGTCAGGACTTATGCGCGCAGACATAAATGCTGTGTCAATATGGTCTGGGGAGTGGGGATGCCTTTGATTTGGCATTTCAAAAATTGAAAAACACACACGCGCGCACACGCACACGCACGCGCGACTCTCCATATACGCCACCAAGACTGCCTTTTAGAGTGATATAAAAAAAAGTAAGTGAGCAGAGACCAAAATTGGTAGATGTCAGTTTTAGAAATGCTGACTAACCTTATCTTTTTGTAACCCAAGCTATGCTTGCCTTTCCACTCGAAAAAAAAAAAAAGTAAGTGAGCATAATTTTTATTTTAAATGCAGAATTTATAACATCAGGACGTATCAGTGAGGGAGGGAGAGAAACGATAACATGAAAGTGGTCAAATTCATTTAAGAAGGCGATAAGGACGAACAATATCACGGCTTGGAAAAAAGGTGCGGAACTTTTGAATATATATATAGAGAGAGAGAGAGATGAGATGAAATGAATAAATCAAATGTTTGTTTCATTCAAACTTTAGTTCGTAAAAGATACATTGTACCACGATGGATATATAGGCTGCGTGTTGAATTGTTAGGGTTGTCTCGCCACCCTTTATAGACCATCTAACCCCTAATATTAGCCACTCACGCCATCAATCCAACCCATTTTCACGTCTCAATACTGACATGTACATGGGACATAATTATTAAAACATTCAATGACAAAGTAATTTGCCAAATGCCAATAAGAATTAGTTTAATTGGTAAGAAATCATTATAATTTAGAAAATCATGAGTTTAAATTTCGCTACTTATATAAAAACTTTATTTATGGACAAAATCTGTAAGTAACTCTATAAATACTCTTTGATTTTAATAAACTTTTAAAACTCAACTCATCAAACTTTTTTATATAAAAATAGTTTTTTTTTTTAGGAATCTATGCTTCCCATTTTTTATTTGGGATAGTTTGGGTGAGGCAGAAACAGGAAAATCTACTGGGGTTTATATATATATCAGTATCAGGTGTCAGAAGACGAATTGTGTGGGAGCATCGTGCTCAGAGTTTTTCTTTTAGGTGTTTATGTCAGTGACTCACTGTTTGGCCTGCTCCGTCCTTCTTTTTTATGTACTTTCATTTCACCTCGCAGCCTAACAGCAACATGTTCAGTCAGATCCTGTCCATCCACTTTTATTCTCAATTACTCTCATCCTGGGTTTGTCAGAAAACCCCGTCTTCTGATCTCGACAATAAAATATAAGGGCCAAAAAAGAAACCGAAGGGATAAACATGAGGATCCATCTGCAACTACGTACTGTACAAATTGATGGGTGTGTGAGTCACGCAGGGATTGGTGCCGTATGAATCTTGAATAGACCAAAGTTCGGTTCTTGACCTAGTGGTTGCTGTGAAAAGAATTCAACTTTTTACAAATTTTCAACAAAGTGCCAATTCCTTCGCATGCCTTATCTACAGGGAAGGAGAGAGGGAGAGACGTGAGGAATTAGATGATGATTTGGGCAAAGAAACAGCTTCGAAATCGATGGGTCAAATATTATACCAAAAGAACAAGGTTAATATAATTTTATCCCAAAAATTTGAGTCTTTTTTATTTTAGTTACATAAATTTTAAATTCGTGATTTTAGTATCTGAAATTTTATCAATCTTAAAATATTAGTTCCTAAGATGCAATGGTATTAAAATCTGCTGTAGTATCATTATTGACGTTAAAAGTGATGACGTGGACTCACCAGATATCTAATTGGATCTTGTGTGAATAATAGAGTAGCGTATTGAATAACCATTGAAAATAAACAGTGAGGGAAAAAAAAGTTAAAGAACTGTGTTTTTAGAACCTGTTCTTGCTTTTTTTCTTTTCTTTTATCTATACAAGATCCTGCTAAGTACCATCTAATAAGTTTATATCACTACTTTAACGTTATTTATGACACTTAAATAGATTTTAATACTGTTACATATCTGAAGACTAAGGTTTGAAGATGGACTAAATTCTAGTGATTAAAATCATGAGTTTAAAATTTGATGAACTAAAATCAAAATAGTTCTAAATTTCAAAAACAAAAAATTATATTAATCCAAAAAATTAAAAAGAAACGGATATATGTTGTGCGGATGAACAAAGAAGGCTTTGGGAGGGTTTTTAACTTTTACGTTTACCACAGAAGACGCAACAAAGTGATGCAGACCAACACCCACTTTACGCCATCTATGCGTAACGAATTAGGATGTGTTTGGATTAGCGGTAGAAAAGTAACTTTTTTTTTTCAATCTGACTTTTATAGAAGTCAGATTGGATAAAAGTCAGATAGTATAATGTGATTTATGTTTGGATTGGATTTTATAAAAAAGTCAGTTTGAAAAGCTGAAACTTGTTTGGATGATTAATAAAAAAGTAAATTTGGATATAAAATGACTGAAAAGGATATAAATTTTATTATATGCAACAAATAAATATGGATAGTATGGTCATTTTCTATACAAATAGCATTTCTTTTGAAGTAAGAGAGAGTGTATCCCATTTTCATAAAGTTTATTTTTTCTCACCCCAACATGATACATCCCACAAGCAACAAAATATGACTTCATCCAAAAGCTACTTATTTTCATGAAGTTCATTTTGTTCCATGGTGATTCCAAACAAAAATTATAACCAGAAACTAGTTTTACTAGGGAAAAGTCAGTTTGGGATCACAAAACGTGATCCCAAACACACTCTTAGGGGGTGTTTGGGAAACCCAAAATCATGATTTTAGAAGTGGTCGGCATGTGCTGTTTCAGCTGGAGTCTCTCGCACCACCAAAAGCAGATTAAAGGCAAGCTGGTTATTTGGGGGAAAAGAAAGAAGAAAAAAGCTGGTAATACTCATTACCAGGCTCCAGTTTCCCATGTTAAAAAAGGTAGAACAACGACAATGGAAAGTTTCAGATGTGCGATAAAGGGAAGGAGTGGAGGAACAAGGCGGCATTCAATACAAAACAACTTATATTTCTTGCCATAACGAAAACACATAAATTCAGGGAAAAAAGGTCTAAACATCAGATAGAGATCTTTGTTGTAATTTTTTGTCACTCTTTCTGAATAAATAAATATAGTTGATTCACACATCCAAACAAACCACTTCCAAAACAGGGGCTGCAACGCACCAGCTTAACCTTCATAATTTGCGTCTTACACAGTATGACTGTGACGAAGGCAAATGCAAACATCAGTAATGACTCCTCATCTTGTTGGAAATGACAGTTAAATTGTGCTCATGAAAATTCACTAAACATATTGTTAACCACCACTAATAATAATACTGTAACTTGTCCTTTTGAGCAAATGGAAATGCGTAATTAGGGGGGCATATAACACAAGATAAAATCAATATTTCGCTCGGATACAGATAGTACTCGGAAAGTTTCAGATGTGCGATAAAGGGAAGGAGAGTGGAGGAACAAGGCGGCATTCAATACAAAACAACTTATATTTTTGCCATAACGAAAACACATAAATTCAGGGAAAAAGGTCTAAACATCAGATAGAGATCTTAGTTGTAATTTTTTGTCACTCTTTCTGAATATATATAAATATAGTTGATTCACACATCCAAACAAACCACTTCAAAACGCACCAGCTTAACCTTCATAATTTGCGTCTTACACAGTATGACTGTGACGAAGGCAAATGCAAACATCAGTGACTCCTCATCTTGGGGAATGACAGTTAAATTGTGCTCATGAAAATTCACTAAACATATTGTTAACCAACCACTAATAATAATACTGTAACTTGTCCTTTTGAGCAAATGGAAATGCGTAACTAGGGGGGCATATAACACAAGATAAAATCAATATTTCGCTCGGATACAGATAGTACTCGAACTCAAAACTTGACAAATGCAACAATAGAATCATGAAGTCTCTTATATACAAATTTCATAACAAAAACGAACAATCATTTCTCCCGTTCCTTCCTTGCCATTGCCAGCCAGAATGAGTCATATGAAGAGTTCCTGGAAGTCTGTCCCTCCAACCATAAAAGACTCCATAGAGTAAGAGGGCAAGTCCAGGCTTTTTCAATGTACATAAACGAGATAAAAAGTCAGTATAGGTCAGGCAAATATGTTGCTGCTATTTCAAGTCTTCTGCTCCTAATCTCTTGCGTTTGCACCAACACAAATATTCAGGAATTGGCCCATCATCTCCAATAACCCAACTATGCTGTGCAACATCATCCAATGTCATCCGATGATTTGGATCTGCAAAACACAAATTTCAATTGATACCCTATAAGAAGGTGAACCTCAGTTTTGGGGGGAAAAAATAGAATAACTACATCTTTAGAGCAGGAAACAACTGAAATTAGAATTTAAATTATACCTTTGCAAAGTAATCCTTCCAGTAAGTTCCTTATTTGGGGATTCAAATCATCGGGGAGCACTAAAGGATTATTGACAATCTGGATGAGAAAAGGCAACAGAAATGTAAGCTGAGGTTTCTATGACAGGAAAAGATAAATGAACCATGGAGACTGTGGGTTATTCACATATGAATACATGCATTGCATACTTTGTCATAAGTGTCTTGAAGTGTGTCTCCAAGAAATGGGTATTCACCCAAAATCATGCAGTACAAAGTAACTCCAACTGCCCAAGTGTCCGCAGCTTTACCATTATAGGTAAGGCCTATAAGGATATCAACCGACAAAACTGCAGTCAGAACATGTACTTTCATATATTAAGGTACATAAAGGAGTTTGGAAAAGAGAACTCTAACCTAAGCAACATTCTGGAGCAGTGAAAACAGGTGTCCCAGGTGACCGGCGAAGCTCATCATTGTCATCCTACATATGAAATCAATTAAAGCCTCCATACCCATCACTTACCTGTGTCTACCAACATACTAAAATTTCTCACAGAGAACCACCTGTGGGGAGGTGGGATATGTACAAAACATTACAGAGAAGCACCTGTGGGGAGGTGGGATATGTAGAAAACATTACAGAAGTCATAATACCATATAATTGATAGCTCCTTTTAAAGGGACATAGTATAACCTCCTGATCTTAAGTTCTCCTAGTCTTAAGTGGGCAGGGAGCCCTTCCCCCAGCCCCTTTAGAGGGGACAATTAGGATATAGTCCCAAGTTAGCACTTCAGCTGAAGTAAATGTCCAAGGAAGAAAATGTAGCGCATATACTTCTAGTAGCTAATAGCTATCAAAGAATACCCTCACACTGGATTACAGCAGAGATAGAAAGCCATGGACAGAATGAAGGATTGTTACGAGGGAGAGACATAACAATGGCTCTCAAGATTTAAAAAAGAAATTAATGGCAGAACCGCAGAATATATTCATTAGCTTTCACATCTTTTTGGTTTTTTGACAGCATCAACTTTCAGAAGGTATATCCTGTTTACACTAAAAGCTCAGTAATTAAAGTCACCTCAAAAGCCTGGCTGACACTGAAATCCCCAATCTTTACCGTACCATGACGTGTAACCAACAGATTATCAGGTTTAATATCCCCGTGCACTATATTCTGCATTTTAAACAATCCATGAAATAATGATCATCACATAACAAAGACAATCGATTTTAAAGCACATAACATAAACGTGAAAACAATTCTTACAGATAACTTTAGCCTTACACATCCATAATAATAATACCAAGGAAGGCATTAGTGAGAGTGCACGGGAGAGTTAGGAGTCAACAATAAGCACAAAAGGATTGGGTAAGAGATAATACATGAGCATGAAGGTATCTTAATCCTGAAACTATATCACGCAAGTATTTCCTAGCAGTCTCCTCACCCAAGCTACAAGAAGGACCTGAACCCTCACAAACCCATTTGCCTTCTACATATTCAAGTACTGTAGAAGAAGAAAATCAGCTGTCAGCCACAGAACTGGTAAAGGTTATTATCAATTCAGACTCGAGGAAACAATGCAGAGTGAGAATATTCAGCAACCGTTAATCATTTATTAACAAAACCAAAATGAAGAAGAAACAAGCTGTTATTACCCATGTAGAAGTGATCTGATTCTGGGTCATCAATCACCTCAATGAGATTGACTATGTTAGGATGTTCCAGCATTTTCATGATGAGTACCTGGAAAGAAGGAATTTATGTCTTTTAATCTACTGTAGGAAAAATAAGGAAAAAAGGCCCCCTTAAACAATTGAGTTAGCACAAATAATATATAATTTTTTTTGCGCAAAATAAGGAAGCAAATTGACACTCAAAACTATGCATAATTCCCAAAACTGGTCAATGTGCATGCTAGCGTACAATCAAACCCATAAAAAGGTGAATGTGATACAAGGGGAAATACATGCCTGGCTAGGAGCAGCAAAATAAATAGCAATGTCACAGGTGTCAGGAAGTTCTTATCTAACGGTGGGTTCGTTAGCATGGAGGAAAAGTCATAAGCAGGTAGGAGGTGGAATGAAGAACTCCCAATATACTGGTGAATAGAGATGAATGAAGTCATTTTCTAGTTTTCCTTCTATCCAAGTAATGTCCATAAGATTTATGCTTTAACAAACTCACATTTAGCTGTTACCAATAGAAAATAAGCAAGACACTTGGTCAAACTGGAAATCTTTACATTTGGTGTCTAATTTATCTGCATAGAATGTAAAAAAAGGGACAAAAATATATAGAGAAGAAATATACCTCCCGCAGAACATCAGTCATGGCAGTCTCTGAGGGTGCGACTCGAAGCTTCTGTAAATGAGACTTATGAAAGGCCTGCAGATCAAAAAATTTGAGCTCATTAAATGACTGACTGCAGCCTTAGCTAAAGAATGCCATTGTGCACGACTCTGCTAATGGTTTTTGGGGACTAGTACCATGATCATTTATCTTTGTTTTCTTTCTATTTCGACCTTTATACTTTTCACATATAACCATCAAGGCCACATTCTTTTCAACCTATCAATAGCAAACGAAGTCTATAAATTTTTATCCGCCACAGGATATTTCAATCCAGCTGCGTAGGTTACATTACACGTCCAAACTATAAAAATCAGAAGTAGCATCTTTTCAATCAGCTTCTATATTACAGAAACTGTGCCCAAATTCACTGCTATGCATTAAACTAGTATCCTCCCACACGAGAAAAAAGCCTCATACCTTGATTGCATAATGCCTTCCATCTACACGGCTTCGGTATAAAACCTATCATGCACGTAAAAGATGCTTTCAAAAACTAAACACAGTGATGACCGAGATAACACAATAGCACAAACAAAATGCTTACCACTTTCCCATAACTACCAGAACCAATCTTGTACTCCCGAACATATTCATTTACCATCTTGTTACCATTTTCATCCTGAAACACCAATAGAATTCACATAAAGCTTCTGACAGGAGATATGAAACACAGCAGAAGAGCTTCTCCTGAGACGACGTACGCAAATTAATACTGACAACCATTCAGGTGACCTCGAGTACACTGAATTTGACATTATCTAAAGCAAGCCCTAAGTCAAACTACTTCATGTCTAGCCATCAGATTGGTAAAGATAGTAACTAAGGGGGAAAGCTAAAACTATTTCAAAGTTCACCTGCAACTTCAGGGTGTTTCGATTAGCTTTTTGGAAGTGATTTTTTGGTCTCGAGATAAATGTGAGATGAGTTTTGCCACAACTTGTGTGAAAGCACTTTTTTTTAATTGCTTCTAAGGGTTCCCAAACTCCCCGAAAGTTGGTCACCAGATCGGTGAGAACAGTAACTTAGAGATCTATGAGTCGAACTATCAATATTAAAACTATCCCCAACACTATCTAGCAAGTTCTACGTCAAAGAAAAACAGATATCTTAATACTATTAATAATATATATATAAATACATAATCTCAGTTCATATACGGCATCATCAATACTGGTGTGATAGTCATCAGCAAATATGATGCCAGTTGCCATCATTAAAAGAAGATTTCTAAAGCAGCTGTTTTACATGATATACCATATATAGGACAGTTCCTAAGACACAACTATTGCAGTTTTGACAATAATGCCATCATGATAACCTCACTTTAAAAATCACTAATAGCTTAGCTAGTCTTGATTTTTCCCTTTTTATCAAAAATAAGCGTAGCACAACAGAAAACTACAAGACTAATATACCGATTACCTCTGCGCGAACAACTTTGTGAGTTTCCTTAACAGGAAACTGCCTACAAATCATATCTTTCTCTTCTCTCATCATCAAAATTTCCTCAGAACGTTTGGCACAAATTGGAACTTCACTATCGTCTCCACTGATGGTGTCAGTAACATCACCGTTATAGGATCCATCATCATCTCTGTCTTCAGTTTCATCCAACAATGGCTCCTGAGAGAGACTACTCTTATTGCCAGACTGATTTCTGCGCTGTTTGAATTTTCTTATGAAACCAAAGCAACCACAGCAGCCCATCGCTGTTGCAATAGAGAAACCCTTTTTGAACATTCAGACCTAAACACTCAGCCGTATATATGTCCTACAATTGGGGGGGGGAATTATTGAGAATCTTTAAACATCACGTCAAGAAGTAAATAAAGTGTCTCAAATTAAAGTGTCAATATCTAACTCACCTCAAACGCCCAAAGAAAACACCTAACAGCTATATTCTCTGCTGACCCTGCGATGGATTTCACAGCAAGAGTTTCATTACAGGGGTGAAAGCAAGCTTGATTTTCTGGACTTCGCGTGCATTACAAAATGAATGATGTTTCGCATGCTTCATGATGGAAAGATGCTTACCTGATTTCAGAGGGAGGAGAGGGCTTCAAGCCCTGTTAAGCGACGCTATTCTAAAGGATGCCATTCAGCTAGGTGGAAAAAAGGGCTAGATATGTTAACCCGACTATGATTCACATCCAACATTGTGAAAACTCCAGTTTATAACAATAGGTGCCGGCTGAACCCCCAATCTCCAAACAACAATTCGTTGACCTTTTCCATTATCAGGCATAGGGAAATTATTAAAAAAAATAAAACAAACAAAACCAACAAAAAAAAGTTATCCACTCGTTGAACAGATTGCATCGCTGAGCTTTAGCCAGGAGAATTGCATAGAACCTTCAGACGGCGTCAGGAAGGAACGGCAAGGGCAAATAATCTCTATTTGCTTTAAAAACATCTTTATAATTAATGTCCGTCAAGTTACCTCGTTTTTCTGGGCGAGGATGAGAAACTGAAACAACTAAACACGAGTCTTCCCGCCTCCAAAAGGCCTAAAATTCCAACACGGTCGGCGGCCTTTGGAGCGAAATTCAAAATCCCGACTCCAGGTGCAATCGCAAGCCTCCGGTCAATCCAACAATTAAAGAGCATCCACAATCAAAAAATTAAAAACCCTGTCCTCAACCAAATGGTTTTTTTATTTCCAACTTACATATAGTTTAATTTTCCTTCCATTTAAGGTCAAGAATGTAAGGTGAATTAACATGTTTTAAAAACCTTGTTTTCTAAATAATGGCTGATTAACGTTGTTTTTGCTCAGCGGCCCTCAAACTCCTCGCCTCGGGATTTGCTTTGACGGTTTTCGAGTTTGCAGTGATTAAAGATTAAAAGATATGCCTGAGGCGAACATTAGCAGTTCATTCACATGCCTATCCGATGGTTTGCGTTGGCTCCGACCATCATCTGTTTGACTTGCCATTGACAGTATCACCAGAGAAAAATGATCTCATTTTTGCCCAAGCCGCGCGCTTTTTCTTCTAACTGCGACAGTTAAGCCTCTTTTAGTAAATGCCCTGGGCCTTGTCATTAGCCCGTCGAATTTAGAGTTTACGGGCTTTCTAAGTACTCAAACACGGTGGTGGCCCAAACGGTAAATATTGCTTTTTGCAGGACCGGCATATAGTCGGACAGGGATATATTGTTTTTGCCGGAATCACAGGTGTAAAAATAAAATAACTTGGGCTACGCTTCGATTAGATCAATCCTATATATTCCAGGTCCAAAATTTGAAACTGCCCTGTAGGCCTATGTGACGTGTTTTATTTAGGCTCAGGGCCTGAATCTTTTAAAAATTCAGTACATAATTGAATAAAAAATAAAAAAGTTATGTTATGCGTGTAAGTGCATATACATGTATATAAACAGATTGGCTTAACATGTTCAAAACTGAACCTTATATGAATAGTCAGGAAAGAGATTGAGCTCGATGCAGTCGAGTTTTTGTGCAGATGTTTTTCAAATGAATAAGTTGTGGTTGAATTGATGGCATGACAGCAACATCTTAGCACAGCATGATTTCAGATGTAAAGAACATAACTGGAGTAAATTTTAATAGGCGTATATAACACTATACAGCTATATTTTTTGTATTAGAGTCTGTAAAAAAAACCCATGTTTATGAGATTTTATTCAAAGAGGCCAAAAAAAGTAATACATTCTCTGAACACAGTGCTTTTTTTGGTTAAATATATTTATTCTGTCTTGAAATGAAAAGAGGGCTTCGACCCTCGTTTGGTAGGCTCGAAAAATACTATCACATGGTTCTAAGCAGTTTGAAATCTCTTCTCTTTTTTTTTTTTTTTTTTAAAATTCTCTGTCTTCCTTTTAACTATTGAATTAATATATTTCAACAGTTCAAATTTTTATTTTTATAAATTATCTATAATTTAAAAATTTGATAATAGTTTAAAAACATTAATCTTAACCATTAAAATATTAATTAATAATTAGAAAAAAAGGACGGAAAGAGAAGAAGAGAGGAGCTCAGAGACTCTGGCCAATTTTTGTTTGGCAACGAAGAAAACAAGATTGATTTGTAAGGTCATTTGAAACGAGAGGACCAACTCCTTCAACGTATCGCGTCTCCTTGGTGTGTGTCGTGTTGGCGCGGTTTGGTTTTGGTGGCTCGTTTGGAGGAGTTGTGTTGTGGCGAGAATATGGCAATCGTTGGCGTCCTCGCGCTACAGGGGTCTTTCAACGAGCATATCACCGGCATGTTTTTTCTCCTCCTCCTCCACTTTCACTATATTTGGATGCCTTTAGTCACCTTTGATTCTTTCGCTCATTTTCTTTTTGGTGCTTATGGCAGCCCTTAGGAGATTAGGTGTGAAAGGCGTAGAGATCAGGAAGCCAGAACAGCTTCGCGATGTCACTTCCCTCATCATCCCTGGAGGAGAGAGCACCACCATGGCTAAGCTTGCCGAGTCCCACAATCTGGTCTCTCTTTCTCTTTCAAATAATTTTTTTGGTTGTCTTCCATGTTCAGTTACTTCTGCTCTTGCCCCTCATTGGGATGGTTATGTCCTTATAATCTGATAGGAGCTAAAAATAATTACATGGAGCTGATCAAGATTTATAAATCCGTCAATTGGTTGAGAAGTACATTGTATAATCTACGTTGTATTTTGCAATCTATCAGTTTCCTGCTCTGCAAGAGTTTGTTAAAATGGGGAGGCCTGTTTGGGTACTTGTGCTGGGCTAATACTATTGGCAAATAATGCCATTGGTGAGCTGTTTCTCTCCTCCACTTTTCATCACTGATGTTGAGTTCTAGGCTGCGTGGTAATTTGCTTTTCAACATAAGCATTTAAAAGAATGAATTCGTTTCAGGGCAGAAGACTGGTGGACAAAAATTAATTGGGGGACTTGATTGTACTGTCCATAGGAATTTATTCGGAAGCCAGGTAATGTCTGCACATATTATGTTGAACTATAGCCAATCAAATACATATAAAAGGAAGCCACTTTCAACATGGTACATGTTGAAACACTAAACATGAAATTTTATGCTTAGTGCATATTTTCAGCGAGAATGAAGGTGTATGCCCTCCTTCCGGTGATTGAGGATTCAAATAATCTCTAAGCACCAACTGTTTTAAAGTTCATGATTTTTAATATGACTTGCTTTAATTAAATTCTTTTCTCGTTCTAAAACATTCAATACTCCAGGTCCGTTACTTGATTAGACTCGGTTTTGTCTATAAATATCAATACATGATACCCGATGCAGATTCATCTGTTTAGAGAGTAATAAGTTATGGGTCATGGAAATGCGATAAATTTGGATGCCATCTCATACTTTTGGTCGTGCTTGTGTAATTAACCAAAGCTTTTAAATAGCTTCAAAGCTTTGAAGCAGAGCTATCAGTGCCAGAGATTGCTTCAAGTGAAGGGGTCCTGAAACATTTCGCGGAGTTTTTATCCGTGCCCCGGCAATCCTTGAAGTTGAAAAGAAGTTCAAGTGCTAGCTGATTATCCTGCCCCATCTAATGGCATATTAGAGGTTAGTATTTATTTCTATATGTAAAGAAAGCTTTCAGCTTTCAGTGTTATGGATGTATAATTTTGGGTTTGATAATGGTCGTAATTTATTTACTTGTTTATCTTGTTTTTTCTTTGAATTCAATATCTTGTGGAAGCAACTTTTTCAATGAAGGGATTTACATATTAACTGACAAATTTTTTTGAAAAAGCAAGATAGACTAGCTCTTGTGGAGGATCTAGATCCCCGCGACCAGATTTCCCCCTATGATTTTGCCACAAGCCTTTTACCCAGCCAACTCATACAATCCCCGCAGCCTCCTGCCTTCAGTGGCCCTCTTCTTTTTCTAACGCTGCTTTTAGTTTTACTTGATTTTAGGGTCTACCAATATCGGAAGCTATGTCAGTAGAAGATGGCGTGGCTGGTTTAGAGAATGTTAGAAAATGGTGGTGTCTGACGAACAGGATTATTAAAATAGACAGGATCATGAAATATCAACTCAGTCAATCTAGCAGTTTAGCTGGTTTAACATTGTATAGTTCTAAAAACGGGCCCTTTCTTATGAGGTTATTTGCTGGATTAAAGAATATATATATGCATATAGAGAGAGAGAGAGAGGAGAGAGAGGTGGAAAGGGAATACCTTTGTACATTTCTGTTGATGGAGGTGCTGTCCTGAGGATTGATGTCAGAATCGTGGTTGGGGTGGGAACTTTGTTATGGATGCTTAAGGCCATGGGAGCCATTGCTTCTTAGTTTCCTCTGTTTAACTTTCGTAGCCTGGGTTGGGACTATCGACAATCTAATGAATACAAGTTGAAACTTTTTGATGCAGGATATAAGATGAGAATTCCCATATTAATATTTAGGACAACTTATAAATTTTGCTATTCGTTATACCAAATATCTTATTAAATTTCCGATGTGCCAAAGACCGCCTCAGGTATTAGCATGACAGTTCATGATCATTGGAGCCTCTAATTTAGCTGATTTACTGGTAATATAAAGCATAGGTACTTCCATTCCACCTATTCCTTAAAGAATGTCTCTGAATACAATCCAACAACCAACTCAACATTTAATGATAATGATACAAACTCCACATGCTTCCAGAAATGATGACACCTCATCAATGTGTTGGTTTTTCCTTTATTATCTTTATTCTGAGAGGAAATGGTCACATCAGGAGAACGTTGAGGAGGAAAGGAAAGTTGTAGTTGCTGTGAGACAAGGGAACATACTTGCGACTGCTTTTCATCCTGAGTTAACGGCAGATACTAGATGGTGAGTATCAATTCTCTACTTGGCCAATTATTTCTACGGTTCTTTGTGAATTGAAGTACTAATAGTTTGATTTTGCAGGCATAGTTATTTCTTGAAGATGGCAGAGTATACTGGTGAAGAAGCCTTAAGTAGCCCTGGTCCAATCCAAGTTGATCTGAGTTGTGAACAACAACCTCGGAATGACCTCCCTATCTTTCAATAGGGTTAGAGGATGGCCCTCCCTGTCCCAGTTGATCATAGCTATTTTGTTTTCTTTTACTTCATCTTGTAAATTTAATGATATACAGCTTTACTGGTTAAATTTTAAAAGGTGTTCATAAGTAAGCATGTTACTAGGAACTGGTGTTAAACATTTGAGGCCACAACTTAAGGTTCCATTTGATATATAGAATGAAAAAAAAGGTTATGCCTACTATAGAAAATGGTTTTTAATAGGATGCCTAGTTCGCATTGGTGAGGAAGGGAGAGAGAGAGAAATGGAATAGTAGGATTAATAATAACTTATTTATCACTAAAAAAAAAACCAAGAAGACAACTACCAAAGAAGAATCATCTATCTCTCACCACTCCATTCCCCACCTTTTCTCTACCGGGTGGGAATGATGACGAAAATCAAAGCTTAAGCTACTCTATGGTGGGATTGTAGGCCTTGTTTATTAAAGTATAAATCCCACAAAAATGGAGGCGTTACTTTATTGCTATTTTTCTCTACTTCATCCCATCAAGTATCTAGAGGAATTCAAATTGCAATAATAGAATATAGAAAATGTTGAATAATAACTTTGAGGATGCAGAAAATATTATGAAATTTAAAACTACACATTACAGTAATTCTACAATATCAACTTATTTTAACTTTAAATGGCAAAATGGACAATTTTATCTTCTTAAAGGCACGCTTTTCTGTATATTATATAAAATTTGGAAAATATACCGAATTATTTATGTCTTAGAAATGATGAAATTGTTTTACATATTTTATTACATATGCTGGTTTATATATAATTAATTATGTTTTAGAGTAATATAACTTTTGGTCCATAAATTTTTTTTCAGTGACTGATTTAGTTCTTTAAGAAATTATGTGAACTGAGTTATATCAAAATCAACAAATTACAAGAATTGAGTTGCTTTAAGTCAATAAATAATGTTGGCAATAAAAAGGTCAACAAATTTTAAAGAATGGCTTGTTCCGAATCAAAGTACGAAGAATAAATCAATAATTGAAAAAAGTTCAGCAACCAAAAGTTATATTTTTCTCACGTTCTTATTTATTTCAATACCCTTTTAAGTAGAACTATAACTGCTTATTATTACTATTAACAAAGAAACTAAATAATGAGTTATTAACTTTTGAGAAATCAACTTATGTGCTAAAATATGATCGATAAAGGCATGTATGAAGGAAAATAATATACTTCCTTTGATAATGAATTAATGATGTTGGCATGAATTATTAACGGAGGTGGGTCGAAAAGAAACCTTTTTCTTTTTTGCTGGGGGGGGGGGGGTGTTGGGGGCGGGGGGTCGGGGATGAACCCGGAGAACAAAAAAGTTACGCAAGGGGCAGGACCTTGTCTTTCAGAGGATGAAGGAAGGGGAATATGCCAGTTGCCGTCGTCGCAAGGTCCGGCGGCATCTACGTTGCGGTTGAACGACTTGCGTTTTAAGTCATTGTCGTGTTGTAAATGAATGAATCCTCCTTCTGATACAAAGCCTCACGTGCCTTCCAATGCTTTGGGGTTCAACCACATTAACACGGCATACATTTTATGTGACAGCAACGTTTCCGTTATCTTTTCCAACACAAACATGGGACTCAGCTCTCTAATCCACATGGGAAAAAGAAAATGTGTAAACTGCAAATTTAAGTCCCCTTTCTATCTTCATCATAGAGCCAAAACCACAAAAGCCGGAAGGCTTTATTAGTTATGCATAAAGAGAATCAATTGCGTTCAACTGAATGTGTGGTGCTGTTTCTTGCCAGTACATTTAACACCATGATAGAAACAAAGCTTAAGGGTGTGTTTGGTATGAGGGATTTGGAAGGGAGGGGAGGGAGGGGAGGGATTTTAATCATTTCCCTTGTTTGGCAACACACAAATTTTAGGAGGGGAGGGAAAATTTTCAAAATTTCCCCTCCCCTCCCCTCCTCAACCTCCCCTCCAAAATTGGGAGGATTTGGAGGGAAAAGGTAATATTTTGTCATATTATGACCATTATGTTCATATTTTGTCATGTTGTGACCATTATGTTTATATTTGTCATGTTGTGACTATTATGCCCATGCCTTAAATAAAATAAGAGCAAAATTGTCCATATTAAAATATTTTTCCCTCCCCTCCCCTCTTTTTTTATAAATCCAAACAAGGTGATATTAAAATCCTTCCACTCCCCTCCCCTCCCCTTCCCTCCATTAAAATCCCTCCCCTCCCCTTCCTCTCATTGAGCCAAACATACCCTAAGGCGAACTTTTAGGCCTTTTGATACCCCGAACTTGCTCTATAAATACTCCCTTTCATTCTCATGCTTCCCATCTCGCCTCTGTCATTGATATTGAAGCAGTCTGAAATCATCAATAGCAGAGGAAGAGAACAGAGGTCAAAGGCTTACTTAATTAGCATTACAGATATTCAAAGATATGGCTAAACTCAAAGTCATAATCTTGGCTACCTTCTTCATCTTGCTCATCACCATGGAAGTGGCCATTGCTGCTAGTGAAGGCGAGGGCAATGGCAAAGGCAAGGGGGAGGAGAATGGAAAAGGCAAAGGCAAAGAGGACGACAGTGGAAAAGGCAAGGGCAAAGAGGAGGACAATGGAAAAGCCAAGGGGAAGAAGGACAAGGAGAAAGAAAAGGAAAAAGAGAAGAAGCCAAAGAAATCAAAAGATGAAGCATCAAACTATAAGAAGCTTTCGCCTCTGCCATCAGGACAAGAACGAGCTTTCTGCCAGGCACAAGGATCTTGTTATTACAAGACCCTTACTTGTCCGGCCGAGTGCCCACATAGAAAGCCTAAGAAGAACAAGATGCAAAAGGGATGCTTCATTGACTGCAGCAGCAAATGCGAAGCCACCTGCAAGTGTAAGTTCTATCTGTTCATCAGCTTTTGGGTTCCATGCAATTAAAATTATGAGCGTTGAACTAAAATATGAGATTCTTTTTGGTTGGCAGATAGAAAAACCAACTGTGATGGCTATGGATCTCTCTGCTACGACCCTCGATTTGTTGGTGGCGACGGTGTCATGTTCTACTTCCATGGAGCCAAAGGTGGCGACTTTGCCATCGTCTCTGACGACAATCTCCAAATCAATGCCCATTTCATCGGATCTAGACCCCAGGGAAGGACCCGTGACTTCACATGGGTCCAAGCCATTTCTGTCATGTTCGACTCACACAATCTCGTTCTGGCAGCGAACCGAGTATCTAACTGGGACGATAACGTCGACTCTTTGATGGTACAGTGGGATGGAGAAGCAGTGAGCATTCCTACTGGTGATGATGCTGAATGGAAGGCTAACAGTGAAGAGAGAGAAGTGGAAGTGGAAAGAACAGATGAAGTCAATAGTGTAAGAGTGAAGGTTTCAGGCTTGTTAGAGATGGACATTAAGGTGAGACCTATTGGAGAAGAAGAAAACAGAGTGCACAATTATCAGTTGCCCGCAGGTGATGCTTTTGCCCATTTGGAGACACAATTCAGATTCAAAAACCTCACAGATTTTGTTGAAGGAGTTTTGGGTAAGACTTACAGGCCAGACTACGTGAGCCCGGTGAAGAGAGGCGTTCCTATGCCAATGATGGGCGGCGAGGACAAATACAGAACTCCTTCTCTGTTTTCACCTTTCTGCAGAGTCTGCAGGTTCCAGAGATCATCTGGATTTGCTTCTGATGAAGGACTTCTCGCTCAATACTGAAAATCTTTTGAAGTTTAAAGATGAAGATATATTCTTTGCCAGGAAAATAAGGGCGCTAAACGTTGTCCATCGTCACCGTTATCTTAATTATTGAGATTTTATCTACTAAATATATGTAATAACCATCTATTGATCTTCGGCAATTCTTATTGTCATTGTTGTATTTATTCTTCCCAGTAATGATATGTTTAATTATCCCAAATTAAAATAACCCACCGCTTTTGAGAAGTAATTATAATTATAATATACCCATATATTTGAACCATGTCATTTATAAGGTATAAATAAATAACTAAGGGAAAACAAGACTGCAGATCAACAGTTTCAGGCCACAAAAAAAAAAAAAAAAACCGAATTCAGTTCAACGGACGAAAGCCTGACGCTAACTACAACTGTGCAAGAGCGCAGGTATACATATACGGTCGGATTAAGAAAGAAAAAGAAAACATCGAATAATCACTTCTTTTTGGGATTGAATATTCGAATAATCAATTTGAATCACATAGCTTTCCAACACAAATGGAATTAAGGCACATCGAGCAAGAGTCCTGTTTATCCAGCTTGGCCATACTAGTTGATGAAGACAACTTACCAGCTTGAAACTACCACTTCGAGTAGGGTTACTGAGTTGTATTTTATAACCCATCTGTTAAAATCTTTTCTTCGTCCTTGCCTTTATTTTAGGCAAGTAAGATTAAACTGTTCTACACGACTTTTCTTTTTCTTTGTTGAATTCCATTTCTAATTTGGCTATGCTTAAAGAAGCACATTAAACTAGATACTTGTGGCCAGCGAAGTGCGGGAGCTGCGTGATTATGTACAAGCAGCCTCAACTGCCAAACTCTTTGCCACATCACTGCATGGATTGCCGAATGTATCGATTGACACCCCAATACTGCAGCTTCTTGATCCGACGCAGGCCTGTTGGAGTTCATTCGAGTTAGTCTAAAACTGAAACTAAATAGGTATCAATACCAACTTGTGAAGTGATATGAAGATTCTGACCTTCTGTAAAATGGAGAGTGCTCTTTTGCTGGTGCAGCGGCCATGGTTGAAGTTCCCACAAGTGCCACGAGGGGTTCCGAAGCTAGCAAATTTAATGGAAGAGATAACCTGATCAGGATTAGGGCACTCGAGTGAAAGTACAGGCCCTAGTTTTCTTCCTGATTCGGTTTCTGTATTCCATGAGTCTACAGGTGGTGGGTGGGATTCTGAAACATGTGCGCACAGGCTTTCTATCTGCCTTGTAGCAAAAGTTATTTGAGTTGGATCCCCTCCGATTTCCTCAAACAACACGAGTATGTTACCACTTGGACGCAACCACGAGCGAGGTACATGGTATCTGCAGCATTGGTGTCTCCAATGAGAAATAGTATCATCGTTTTGAGTTATCTCATCTAGAATCTCTAAAACTTACATTGATTGTGATGGCTTTCCACAATTTTTGAGACATTTGTTGGAATTATAAGTCCCTCTGTAATTGCATGCCTCATTGCAACCACTCTTTGGAGCAATATATGTGGGCCAGAATCGACCGATGCTTTGTCCATTTACCCAAGCCTCACCTTTCCCCATACCCGTGAAGTCAATAGCTACTGGGTTAGAGCCAGAAGGAGCAGCGAAGTTTGTCTGGTCCAACATGTATTGCCATTAGTCAGAACAAAAAGGGTGTCGTAAAGAACAGTGAAAAGAAAGTTGAAGCAATTTAATGCTGGTTATTGTGAGATAATCACTGCATTGTCTAGCTACTAGAGAATCAAGTCCAAAACTCCAAAATACTTCTTTCCAATCAAACATGTGTACTAGACAATAAGGCTACGAGTTTTTCAGTATCATGGATTCATATTTGCTGAAGTTCTAAAGAATGAGCGATAGTGAAAGAAGAAGAATGCAAGTGGAAGATTGGCTAAGACTCGAAATTTTGTTTCCTTTTCTTTTCTGGCATCATTGGTTAAGAATCAATATTAATCTTATGCCTGAACTTCTAATGTTTCCTTTGTAAATGAAATACGTTAGGATCACATACTTAATCGTTTCACTCAAACAAAACTACGCTGTAGGGCATGTTTTCATGCTCTAACCCAAAGTAAGAGTGAACCAAACAGGTCCTGAAGGACCTTGTATGCTTAAGCTATAAAAGGAATTAGCTTATGAATATGACAACTTAACAATATATATCAATAGACACACATTATTGGTTGTATATAAAATGCAGGCTAGTCTCTGTATCTGGAAATGCAGGAAATAATCTGTGGCCCAATGTAAAGCACAGCCAGTCATACGAGGAAGACCATGTCTTTTTGTTCCAACACCAGGCAAGTAAGATTACCTTGTACCACGTCAATGGTTGATTCTTAGGTAAGGTGGACCCCGAGTTCCATTTTCCAGAACTTCCGTCAGAATAACCTAATTCTTCACCTTGAAGACCAACCTGTATCCACGAGGGGCGACAAAAAAGTGCATTCTCAGGCATTGATGAAAGAGAAGGGGAAAAACTAGAGTTAAGTTTCAAACTATTCAAATCAGGCTCTTAAATTGGTAACATTTTGTGGCGGGTTTTTTGTAGCATATCAATTGAATCAATCAGTTTAATGGAACTCGGTTCTTAATTATAATTACTCCAAATAAGCAAGAGTGGGGATCGAAAATGAATGTTGTTCCAGGACAAGCTTCTGGAGAGGTTTTATCTTTCTCAGTCTCTTCCTGCATCTTTCTCTTCTTTCCTCCTTAGAAATATGCTCCCACATGCATCACCAACCACAAACTTTTCGAAAGCTAAACTGGTCATTTTTAAGGGAATAAAGTGGGAGTAATCTTGCCAAGTTAAAAGGACTGTCAAGATTTTTATTCCCCAATGAAGCATGAATGTTATGTCACCATTTCAGCCTAAAGAGGAAGAAAGGAACAGGTTTTTGGTTAAGCTGAGAGAAACCTGATATGTCCACTGCTGGGAGGAGAGATCAAGAGTGCTCGCATTTTTCAAACCGTTCAATCTAACTGGGCCAGTTATCCCAGCACCCCATGTGTCAAAGAAGGCTCCATAGTTCTGTCGCACGCAAGTAAGATTCACATTAGCTTATGCAGCGTTAAGAAATGACTTCATCATAACGCCAGATCAGATGGGACATGAAAAATAACAGGCCAATGCATGTTGCAAAAGATAAGTTTTCTCTTAGGAGAGAAGTATAATCAGGAAATCTCAACCTGAAGTCCCACGGTGAGACTCAAGAGATCAATCGTGTTCTTCCCAGCCGCAAGAGTGACAGGAACGTCCAACTTTTTGGCAGCATCATGGACTCCACTCCCTGGAAAGTCAGAGGTTGGTATTTCCATATAATACGTGAAAAGTTTAATTGAAGAAAATCTCTACAAAATTACTGCCATGTCAGTTCTCATTTCTTTCAAATTTTATTTACCTGCAAGCTTCCCATTAATAAATGCATGAACGGCATGGCCAAGTGATTCGATGTGAAGGACAGTTTGAGGGCCGCCACCATCATCAAGATCAATGCTAAAAGAAGTAACCAAAAAAAAAAAAAGGAGAGAAATATCATCATGGAGATGATTATTACTGGTTAGAAGATAGCGGCGTGAACCAGAGGTCAGTGTACCTCAATGAGTACCACAAGTAGTCACTTCTATCTGCTGTTGTATTTATTTGCTCCAGTAATCCAGCTTGTGAGAATGCATTGGCTTTTGAAATACCTACTGGTTCACCTATCCAGCTCCATCCAGAGCTAGAACCTTCTAAAGAATTACCGTCTTCTTTGAAAATTTCTCTTGTGAAGCTTGAAATGGTAGATGGAGAATTAACCTGTCATGGGGAGAGTTGGAACTTTATTTCATGCCCTCCTTGTACTGGGAAAGAACATAAATTATCTCGACTGTAGACAGATTAATAGCAAAATAAACATTGAATGCAATTTTTAAAATACATTCAGCCAGGTGGGCCCTCTATTTCAATCAGGGAATAATCATTACCATCACATTTTTAGCCACAGGATCAGCCATCAATAAGGATTAAGACCAAGTGGCCATGAAACTGAAGTCGATGAGGCTAACCTTTGCAGTATTAAGCACTACATTCTTGCAGTCTGGTAAGATGCTCACAGACCAAGCGGGCAAGTGATAGGAATTGCCATTGAAATTTACTGTTGCGTCAGATGAGGTGCCCACATTGGCAAGAAAGGCAGCACATGTAGATCCTGCCTGGTAAACTGCAGCCTGGATTTAAATAATAACAATTGTATATTAACATAGAAACAAAAGATTAACCCTTTCTAAATCATACAAGAAGTGGAAGTGCAGAAAAAAAAAATGGCGGGAAAACAACATGTTGCTGCAATCACTAAACTCTCAAGAACTTGTGAAGGAATGGGATCTGTAGAAAATTATGAAAACAACTCACCACATATATAGATAATTATGCCAAAACTTTAAAGTCCAAACATAGCATTGCCAAAGGTAGAAACTAATAAATTAGATTAAAATTAAAATACGAAAAGTTTGAGCCAGTTTATCCAGAAACTCTATTGGCATACATGAGGCATGAGTGAGCTTTTTTAACAGGACCAATAATTATAGTGAAGATCACATATACCTCTAGATTTGGACCAAGTGATTTAATTTGGGGATCAGTGGCTATCAACGCTTCTTCACAAAGCATTATGGCCTTATGCACATCTTTGAGGTGCCCCCACTTAGGCTGTCTAATAATTCCTGCATCATGCAATTAAGATACTTTTTTGTTATCACTAATAAGACCTGTTAATCTAATTGTCTTCTATGAAAATAAGAAGCACATTTCATGTATACACCAAGCGGTTTCTTTTTGGTACTATAAAAATGTGATGTCTCAACTGTCAATGATAACAAGGCCAAAGGTTGACCATGGAAACTAGAAAGTCTGCATACCATACTCATCAATTGGTGCATCATAATCATAGCTTGTAGAAATGAACGGTCCGCCAGAAGTTCGGTCAAAGTTCGTCCCACCATGGTACTGTTCCAGAGCAACAAGAAAATTATGGCAAAAAATCACTACCATCTTCAGTTCAGCCCGTTTTATCTTGAAATGTCATACATGAACATAACTCCATGTAAGAACGTATTACCATATAATAATTCTGTAATGTTCCACCTCGCTGGAAAAATCGTGCCACAGCAAATGCAAGATCTTCTACAGGTCTGTAGGGAACCGCACCACCAAATGATCGAAACCTAGAAATCCATAGAATTCAGACACGGAAGCAATAGAAATAAAAAGTAAAATTCGGAAGAGAATACACGACCCTTCTGATCATATTTGGGAAAAAATGCTCACCATCCACTCCAATTCTCAGTCCAAAGTTTTGGTTTCGAGTTAGAGTTTGGTGTGAATTGATCACAGTAAAATCCATTGCAAGTATTAATCTGCAAGCAATGAATATGACAATTAAGTAACACGGAGGCAGAATCACAGAATAAGAAGATAGCTCCATTCAGGAGGAAATGCAATCTGCTAAAACATAGGCTTCAAAGCAGTTGAAGAGAATGGACGAAAGGAAACTTACAATGGGGTCCGGAGCATCTGCTTGCTGGCACATGACCCAGGGAACTCCCGTATTGAGTGATGTGGCCATTGCGGCCGCCCACTTGACGTAAGGTTTAGCAGCAGGACCATAGCGAGGCTCAATGTCACCGTTACCATATTCATTTTCAATCTAGCATTACAGAATACTCATTATTCTTGTATTCACTAGTACGCAGAGGGTTGCAGAGATTATCCATAAATCATAATAGAAGTATGTGCTTATATTGAACCACATAATTACCTGAGATAAAATAATAGGTCCTCCCTGAGCCGCATAGAGTTTCTCTTGCTTCATCAAGTCCACAATTTTAGCAGTAAATCGCTGCATTTCTCTCTGAAAGCAGAGTATGTGGCGCGGCGGTGAACACCAATATAACCAATCAGTGGGATGAAAGGAAAGAAAAATGAATTACCTTGAATGGTTCATTATCAGTACGGAACTGAATTCCAGGAATAAAATGCAACCAGAGAGGGAAACCACTGTCCAAAAGTTAAAATATTTATGAAATTATGAAGTAATAGACTGCGAAAAAGTATGCAAAGGAAGAAAGATTAGCAATTTACCCATAGTTCCATTCAGCGCATACGTACGGGCCAATCCGTAGATGCACGTATAAGCCCGCTGCTCCTACTAACCTCACAAATTTCACAAGATCGTTCCCACCTTCAAAATTATACTGCAATACATCTAATTCATTGTTACTTTGCTAGAACAATGTCTTCCTATAATTTTCATTTTTCCACAGAAAGAAAAGGTCAATGCTTTCAACTACGATGTTTATAAAAACCAATTAATTAAAAGATAAAATTGAGTGGAGGAACATCTCTTCCTTTTATTTTTGTCTACTGGCAAGTAGTTGAACAAACACACAAGTGTCAGAATTCAGATATATGAAGCAAGTGAAAAATATGAGAATGGTGACCAAACCTGGCCTCGCACTGGTTCGTGCTTGTTCCAGAAGACGTAGGTTTCAATCACATTCAGTCCTCCATCTTTGGATTTCTGAATAAGGTCCGGCCACATCTGAAACGACCAATTCACGATAGTTAAGCTCCAGAGTCAAGAAACAGAAAGATAAGACAGGCATTTCAAAGAGACAGAGAGATACACCTCGGGGGTACTGCGAGGGTAATGAATGGAACCAGAGATGAGGATACGGCGCTTGCCGTCGATGACCAATGCACGGTGGTCGTACGTGACATTGGCGCAAAAGGACCTGTAGGCCAGAACGCCCAGGAACCAAAAGAAAAGAAATAGTATCTGTGTCGTTCTCATGTCCTTTTCCGAGTTTCCCAGAGAACCAAATACCAAAACCCACAGAGGAGGGAAGAACAACGATTCCCTTTTGCTTCTTGTATTTAAAAGCCCGGATCTTTGTCAAAAACACACTTTCGATTCCGTCAAGTAAATGGCAAAAAGACAATGGCTTTAGAAAACAGTTACAGTGGATTGCTTTCCCAAAAGAATGCTTGGCTTAATCTGCTACTGGCTTTTCCTTTAAATAAGTGTAAATAATGTTGCTTAGTCGCTAAAGGGAATCATAAGAAGAAGGAGTAGAGGCAAGTGCTTGTAGAGCAGGAAGGGCACGCCACCTCAATTAATATCTTATAATATGGGAAAGCATGTCAGCGTCATTATCGTCTTCCTCAGCTGGTTTCTTGTCTTGTTACAGCAGAGTTTACAAATTTGTGATCTCACCCAGTTACCGCTTTGGCTTATCTTCGAGTAGCGAGTGCTTGTCCTTGCAAGGCATTTGGTTTTTTTTTTTTCACTTTATTGAAGAAAAGCACACAAAAACGGTGGCCTTCCTAATCTTTGTCAGCAATTGCGGTGGTATGAGGTGTGAACTCAGAAATTTGAGAAAGGAAAATTTGTAAGTGTAAACTGGAGAGATAGATTTACTCACGCTTAAGAGTAGGCTTAGCGAAGAAGATGGAAAATTTTGAAAATAGAGGGAAAGCTAAATGACGTTGCATAATATTAATCATGCAGGAGACAGGTTCAACGTATTGAGAGCCAATAAGAATGCTTAATGGTTGCGTACTTGCGTTTAGTGCTTGTGCTTGTCAAAAGTGAAAGTGACTCTGGCGAGAAGAAAGCTGTGGTAATTTTACTCTTGTGAGAGAGAGAGAAGAAACACAACATCACGGAACCAGTATTTCTTTTTTATTATTATTATTATTCAAAATATTTATTTTAATATGTATAAAATCTAAAATAAAAATAACCTATAGACTGTCATTGTTTAAAAAAATAATTATTTTTATTTAAAAATAATTAATTAAAAATTTTACATCTAAACCATTCAAATCATATTTAGATAATCCTATCTGATGAGTTTAGGCATTAAAACTAGTTCTCAACGTGACCGCCAATTGGTAAATTAAATGGAAATTTTTTTTGTTGGGAGGTTAACTGTTAGATTATGTTTAAAATTCGTTAATACGGCAGAAGAAATATTATCCATAGAAATTTAGAAGACTAAATTATTAATAAGATTAATAATGAGAAAATTGGGTGATAAAGAAAAAAGGACGTGGTTCCTTCATAAACATGTAGGGAGGATTTGATTAACATTAATAAAAGAAAGAAAAGGAACGTGGCAGTACGTAGGAGAGCCAGGATCAGGTGTGATCGACAAACAACCACTGAATATGAGGTCGGTGCAAATGTGCGCGTGCCCCGTAGCTCGACTCGTACCAGTCTCCTTCTCATCATTAGGCATCGCACTTGCTCGTCTTAATTTTTTTCCCTTATTTTTTTGGTCTCTGAAGGTTTTTTTTTTTAATATAAGAACTTATTAACAGTCTTAGAAAAAATTAAGCAGTTATTATTTCTAACATGGACGTGACTACTATTATCATCCGGATTGAGAGATGCAAGAGCCAAAAAGTTTGAAAATATTATTAATACTTTGATTAGTTAATGAATTAAAAAGTTGTATGATTAATTAGTGATATTAGGTTAAAAAAATAATACTTTGCATAAAAGATCCTCTTTTCATGATAAGGAAATGGAGGGTGTACCGACTAAATTACTATGTCTTGATAATTAAGTTGATGAATGAGACAACCTGTACGGTAATTTAAATGTCACGAGCCAAGTCAAATATGTCATGGGGGAGAAGTGAAATCTCAATAGTTGGCCCAAAAAACTAAATTAAAAAAATGAAATCTCAATTTTTATTAATTAGTGAATTATTATATTTAGTGGGAGGGGTGGGTTGGGGTGTGGGGGAGATAAATATTCATTATTCAAGTCATGCATGTGAGCAAAAGGTGAATTGGTTTTCAGATCTGTTGGTTCCAGAACCAAAATGACAAAAAGGCATGCGTGTCGTTTCTTGTGTTTCTCATCCCAAAGGAAACACTACTTTGTAATTTCACATTATTATATTATTCGTTGGTCCTTAATTCATTTCCATCGGCTTTCTTTTCCCCCGTCCCAAACTCGGCTTGCTGCTGACTGGGGCGTCCATAGTCCATTGATTATTGTGATTATGGTTAACAGGCTGCCATGTGATTGGGCCACTCCAAAGGATAGTACTAATCTTTTAATGTCAAGATGATGCGACGGAGCGAAAATCCTATTGAAAATTCAGAGATATTAGAGATTAGGGATAATGGTTGTTGGTTCTGGTTGTCTTCCACAACTAAACCATCCTGACCTAATTCCCAACCATTACTTTCTGGCCACGCAGGTTTGATCCACTAGGTCCCAAAAGGCTTATCGGGTGAGGGCATAATAGCCGGTTAAAAATAAATGTTGACATATTTAAAGGAGGATTTTCCCGATCTTATACTTGCCGTAGCTGAGTACAGCGTCAAGGTGAGAGGCGACTTTTATTTTAAGAATTGGTTGGGTGCTGGTAGACATTGAATGTGAGGAGGATCACAATCACAGGACTCTATATAAATGGGTGGGCCTTGCCCCCACCAAATGGCATACCATTCTCAGGCACACATTTGCATTAATCGATCTCATAATATCACACCGAAGTACATGAAACATTTCATTCATTCAGCTCTCGCGCGCGCCCATATATATTGTTATAATTTGTCACGCATTATCAACGGGAGTTGCTCTAAGTAGTAAGCGGTTTGGTTTCGCTTAAACGAGGCCTCGAGTTTGAGCCTTAGTGTATGCAGAAATTTCCGTTGAGAAAATCATCCGCCACAATCAGGTACGCGATATGAGTCGGATCCAAATATAGTCAAAATAAAGTTCCGATGAACTGGGTGGACAACAACAACAAAATTTGTCACGCATTCACACTTGCTCGATTGCTGACACATTTTGGTTCCTAGGCACTACAGATCAGATATGGACGAGATAGTGTCAGTCCGAATCACACATACTTCTATTATTTTCTTGCACACAATCATATTGTATCCCAGACTCCCTGAATCCGTACCTGTATCCTACTTCAAGTTCAAGATCTGCCACTGAACTACTTGGAGATGCCGTGCAAAACAAGATCCAATCGTAGAAACATGCATTACTATTGCGCATACTCATCGAATATATTATATATATTTATATATATTGAAGATATTCTGATCTGTCCAGTGATTAAGCGGCCCAAGTTTCTCACACACACACACACACACACACGCTCCTATATCGCTAGTGGAAACAGTCACGTGGAGTAAGGACAATTATTGAGCTATATTTTATCGCTCATTTTTCTGAAAAGTGCTGCGTTGGTTTTTAACTAGAGTCAAGGCAATAAATTCAGGACTCATAACAGATTTATCTCCCTCTAATTTCAATTGATGGAGATAGGTACCGCAGAAGATCCAAATTCGAGCATGGCTACGAAAAGCAACAAGTATCCAAAACGACACAACGGCCCGTTCTGCAATATCTCAAAGCCGTCGGCTCCAACAGCGGCCCAAATTTGTTTTTGTAAAAAAAAGCGGAGTCCAAGGGGCCCAAAATACTGAAATGTTTTTGCTCCGGAAATTAAAAAAGGGGAAAAAAGAAAATAAGCAGAGAGACTCGAACTGGAGCGAACGCTCCAAACGGAAAAACTGAAAAAGCGAAAACCCTTGAGCAAGCAGCAAACTCAATGGCTTCTTCCAAAAATTCGAAGACAGAACAGAAGAGCGAAGCTGCGGACAGCTCCAAAACAGTGAAGAAAGCCGCTAAGCCCAGAAAAGAGAAGCACTTGGACAAGAAAAACAAGAGTCGTAATAAGAAGAAAAAACTTAAGAATTCTGATGTGAATAAGGGAGATAAAGAGATCGTTGTTCCGTCTTCCAGCACCGAGTCCCATGAAAAATCCGAAGACGAAGGGCGCCAGGAAGACAAGACTGAGATCACAAATGGGCGAACCAGTGCAACGAAACCTGGAAAAGACAAAGTCAAAGGAATGAAATATGATGACGACGATGAAGCTGAAGGGAAAGGAGACGCCAGAGGCAATGTATTTCCCATGAATCGTATCCGGACGATAATTAGGGGCCAAGATCTTGACTTGCGTATTTCGCAGGAAGCCATATTTGTCATTAACAAAGCCACGGTTTCCCCCTCCCTCTGATTCCCCCCCCCCCCCCACTATATACCTTATTTGTTCATATTTCAAGTCTCACCTCTGATTTTAAATCTCATGACTTTGAACTCGTGAATTTGTGATCAACATTTTATGAGGCTGCCCTAACTGCCAATTTTGGTTGCAGGAGACGTTCCTTGAACAATTTACGCGGGACACTCACGCTTCCTGTGTTCGGGATCGGAAAAAATCTCTTGCTTACAAACACCTATGTAATCTCCCTCTCTTGCTAATTATTCATAGCTGTTAACTTGTTATGTTCCAAAGACCTTCTTTTCCCCATTCCGAAGATCATAGTATAGTTATCATTTGTATATCTTTTAGCAAAAAGGGCATCTAGATGGTTTTAAATTATTCACAAAATTAAACAAAAATAAAAAACTTGTTTAGGAATTACTATACATGCAATTTTACCTTCTTCATGCCTACTTTGAAGCTGGACTACCCCGGTAACGTTCCTTGTTCAGGGATGATCTTCTTTTTTTTTTGGGGGGGGGGGGGGATGGGAGGAGAGGGATGATCGATACTTGTATTCATTTTCATACTTTTGAGTTTTGAGCCTAAGGTTGGATGATTCTGTCTACCAAGGTCTCTTGAAATAGTTGGCAAAATCTGATTCTGTTATGCTATAATTAAGGATATTGTACCGATAGTCAATCTTGTGCAAGAGATCACAGGCAAGCAACATGTCATATCAAATCCATCAATAGTAGATAGGGGAAGCTCTCTCCAGAGAATGTCGATTCATGCGTCTGAAAAATGGAAGCATTTAGTTAGATCAATCTTTCTGAACGTTTATTCTTCCATACAGTAATTAAATAACATCTGCTTTCCATCTGTTGCCTGCATTCTATATTGGTATCTTCAACAGAACCAATTTCACCATGGAGAACCGTATCTGGCCATGGCCATGGATTCATCACCAATTCACCATCCTTTGGTTCCAGAAAACAGAAAATTGAAACTGATTTAGGCTAGGTCTAAATGGTGCGATGTTTAGTGAAATCATTCAACTTCCATCTGTTTTGAAGGAACAACTGCTCTTCTTCTGGACTTCTTTGTCACTTGAAGCTGTAACAGTGATTGCCAACTCCTACTGAGGGGAATATTGACAGCATTTTTATGGGGCCAAGAAAGAAAAATAAAAAGAAAAAAGGCCAACAGGGGTTCTAGAGAAAGAGAAGCACAATTTTCATTCATGATTCGATGGATCTGGAGCCATCTTTCAATGGCTGCAAGCCTTTAGTTTTATTAATTGTTCATTGGAGCCTACTGGTAGGAGATAAACTGAGATGGAGTGTGAGGTCAGAAACTCAACGTACCAGACCTAAAATTGTTTTCGGTTGTTCTGAAGCCTAAAACATTCACCATAAATCCTCATAATGTCATAACTTATTAGACGAAAAACTACCACAGAAATTTTTTTTTTTATTGGTGCTTGCATTTATGTCATTAACCATTGTCAGTTTTTAAGACGCCTGTATTTGTTTTCAGCATCTGTTGTTAGTAAGCAGAGCAGATACGACTTTCTATCAGGTAATTTTTATTCACATCCCAGTGCCATTCTTACCGTAACATACGATCATCTGAAGTTTTAAGTTCTCAATGCTTACTTTTGCTTTCATTGACGCGGTTTCCTACATTGCTTTTGCTTGTTCAGATTTCGTCCCAGAGAAAATAAAAGCCGAGGACGCTTTAAGGGAGAGAAATTCCAGTGTGAATGGTGGTTAGAACTCAGAAATAGTGTAGCATGTAAATGAAGAACCCAAGCGTGTAATTTATGCAATCTTCTCACGTCGTTCTATATCACGGAGTGGATTCATTATTTAATAGGATTCATGTTAGTTCTTACATCTCTTTCAAGCTCCCAGGGGCATTTTTGTTTTTTGTATTCTTTTTCCAGTGACTAGGGGTACTTGTGATCATAGTGATGGGCGGTTTAGATGTATATTTCATTGAAGGCGAAGTCTATTCACACGGTCGCTCGTCGGTTAAACTCTCATAGTAGTTGTGTTATAATATATTTAATCGGTGCTCTCACTGTTCATACACAGGTTTGAGTTTATATCTGTCTTGGTGTTGTCTTTATTGAAATGTACCGCTTAACAGCTTTTTGCACTTGTTATGAAAACAAGACGGTGCTATTCGCCCATTGAATTGGTAAATAGCCTTGGACTGGAACGGCAATGGAGAATGTGAACAAGGTCAAGTCCAAAAGAGCCAGTGTCAATTTCGTTTCAGTCCACGCATCTTGCATCTAATAGTAATTTTTAACTATTTGGCATTTTTTCCTCCAGACTTTGGCGAATCCAATTTGACCTTATTTAACAATGAAATCGAAACGGATGGATTCTGACGAAATCGACTGCATTTTTATATTGGAATTATATATTATTCTAGGCCTCATTTTTTTAATATCTTAGTTCATAAATGAGTTGTTAATTATATATAATATATGATGATTAATACCTAACGCTAATTCTCAGTTAGGAATAGTAAATATTTAATGTCGAGAGTTATTTTGTTGATAAAGAAATCATCATCCAGTTGAGTCCGAGTATTGAATAGAACTGGTTTGATTTTGCCCAGAGTATTAAGATAACATCAAATTTGTAGCTCTTCAATTACACTTGTTTGATTGGTTAGGGGAAAAGCACAACTGAGGAAGATTTAACGACGAATGCTGTGTGTTTAGGGGGAGAAATAGATCTCTTGATGAGAATGATCATGGCCTGTAAAAGGAGGAAATTTGTGATATGCAAAAGCAATAAAGCTCGTAATGATTTTTAAAAGCGGTAGGTTTTCCCTAATTAGGGAGATTGATTATCATAATTACTGCTAATTAAGAAGCAGAGGAGACCCGCAGACAATCAACACCGGGCAAGTAGCTATCCTCATCGTAGGTGATAGGCTAACATCCATGGGGTTGAGTTCATCATCAAACTCTCTCATTTTCTCTGGCGAAAAAACAAAAAATCAAATAATGCCCTTCTTCCTTAAGATAGTGGCAAGCAACTTGTTCGAGTTCCTTTTCTAATTTCAGAATACTAACAAGTAAATGCTACGCAATCATTCTTTTCTTCTCATCCTTGTTTGTCACACACCCACTCTCTCTTACTATGTTACCTTCCTTCCCAAGCAATATCCAACTGGCTACTCCACACACTTCAAACCAGCCCTTCTCTTTCTTTCTCTCTGTAATGCTTTGACGTACCACCTTTCCTCTGATGTATAGCCACAGATCCTAACCACTAACGTTTCTTAATCCTAACTTTAAGATAACCCCCTTCTCTATTTCTCCATAAATTCACCTCCTTCCCTTCCCCGCTACTCACAGTCGCAGACATCACTCTATTCTTGACGACGATGGCCACTTTGTTGAAACACGTCTCACTTCTTCTACTTGCTCTCTTTCTTTCCCCGACTTCAGCTCAGTCGCCTGCCGCGGCTCCGGCGGCTCCAGCAGCTGCGGCAGCTCCGGCTCCTACTCCGTCTTCGCCTCCCACAGACATCATCAGAATCCTCAACAAGGCCGGAGGATTCACCACTCTGATCCGTCTTCTCAAAACAACTCAAGTGGCTAACCAAATCAACTCTCAGCTTTTGACTTCGAGTGGTGGCATTACATTCTTCGCCCCCACCGACAGTGCCTTCTCCAACCTCAAACCGGGATTCCTCAATTCCCTCAACGACCAGCAGAAGAACGAGCTCGTTCAATTCCACATATTACCCTCATTGGTTGCCCTATCAAATTTCGACACTTTGAGCAACCCCGTGAGAACTCAGGCCGGGGCGGATCCGGATCGGTTGGCCCTCAACGTCACGGGGTCCGGCAACCAGGTCAACATGACGACCGGCGTTGTCAATGCGACCGTGGGTGGGACCGTGTATACGGATAGTCAGCTGGCGGTGTACCAAGTGGACAAGGTGCTTCTCCCGCGGGATTTCTTTGAGGCCAAGTCTCCCGCACCGGCGCCGGCACCTGCAACATCCAAGACGAAGGCCTCAAAGAAGAAAGCAGCCGAGGGACCTGGCTCACCTGCGGATGACTCTGCCGCGATAACCTGGAAACAGAGGAAAGAGATGTGGGGGGCCATTGTTGGAGCTGCAGTGATGGGATTTTGGTTGTAATCAGGAAGAGAGGATTAAGATGAAGAATGAAGCAACGTGCGTGTATGTCATGTGGATGTACTATGTGGTGCATGTAGGGTCCGATGTTTTCGTGCTGCTGCTGCTGTATGATTCCATTGAATTGAGGGCGAACGGTCAACATTTTGCAGTGTTCTCCAAATAAGTCTTTATCCTTCTCTCTCTCTCTCTCTCTCTCTCTCTCTCTTTTTCCGGCTTCTACTTTGTCTTTGTCCAATTCTTTCTTATGAAATATGAATCAAGTCAGTTTGTGGTGGTGATATTCGAATTTTGAAGGTTTATAAACTCTCTCTGTTCATCAGAAGGAAATGGTCACTTCTATGTATAAGGCAATAAATATAAGTCAAAATTATGCTGAAAAGAGATTGAATTTAGGAAAAATTAGGCTGAACAGTCAAAATTAAAAATTATTTACTCCGAGCGGCTGCAAATTTCTGAAATTACTCTAAAGGCAAATAAATAAACAAAACTCGTAGTACACTGGTGATAAAAACACATGGCGTCCCAGAGACATTTAAATAAATAAAAATAGAAAAATAAGGAAGGGCTCATGAATTGTTGTCTAGGCGGGTAATAAGTGATTTTATCTGTTTGTCACTATGTTATAGATCTCGTATTCTATAACAGACAACACAAGTCACTGAGATTAGCAACAAAAGGCAATAAGCGATCAGTAGAGTAGTAAAAAGAAGAGTATACATATTAGGTAATGAACATCATCTATTAATCATTAATGTCAGCCTCTTTTATACTCATTTGGAATGTAGTAGGTTCTTGAAAAAAGTAGTTTTTCTAATGTGTGTGTGTGAGAAGAGTTTTATTCCAGTTTTTAGATGAAGGGGTTCCCATTTTGAGACACCATTGTGGCTGCTGTAGATTTGTCAAGCTCTGCAAATTCTCCATGACACGAAGAGCAAATAAATCAGAACAAATATGGTATCTGTCTCAGATGATACTTATGAAAGATTTTCCTCTAACGAACCGTATTACTATGATGTGCCGACTGAAGCATAAAAAAGATGAACTTCATTCATGATGATGCAAATTATCAAGGGAAATATTAAGGGCTTTTAGGTTATATTACTCAATAATTAGCATCCCTTTTAATCCCTTTTAACCTCGGGTTCAGAGCAATTGCGTTTCTCCGTCCCAAGAAGATGCGAAGAACCAGGTGCAAGCGATGATTCAAAACTAAAGAAACAAGCTTCAGGCTTAAATTATACAGACGGATCACTCGAATAGTGGAAATATAAATATAAGGCCATAAAAAACTGTGGTGTGATGGATATCGTATTCGATAAACTCATGCGCTGTGGTGCTTATGGCTTTGTTATCAACTCATGTTTGATGAACTAAATAAAAACCTCATGTGCTGTGGTGCTTCTGCAATGTCTCGATGTTAATCTTCCCTTGGAGGAAAGAAATGCCATTAAATTTAGTGGTGGATAATGAATTTTGTAGGAAAGTCAGGAATGCTCAAACAGAGGATGGAATTTTCAACAAGATGAAGCAGAGCGGTTCGAGGACAGGGGCGTACTGTTCACAGCTTTGTGCGGTAAAAAAATAGAGAAAACAGGTCCAGTCCAGCATTCCTGTTAGACAATAGATTCACAGCTTGGGGAAATGAGAGGGGATTCAAAACAATTGGGCCATCTTAAGAAGAGCCTGCCCAAGCATGTATTAAACTGCCTTAGTTGCTTGAGCCCATGATCATCATACTGATAGCTCCTCCAAGCGATGAAATTATAATTAATTTTGATTAAAATTTTACTATCACCAAACATTATTATTGCAGCAACGTGCTCTTTTTTACCCAAGGAAGAACCAACATGTTATTGTCGCATGCATATCATTTTCTTGAGAATGTTAGTTAAAGTTTATTCTTAATTTTCAAGATTTTATTTTTTAATAAAAAAAACTATAGAAACCTCACCGTTAATTGAATACTAGTAGTTCATTAGTTCTAAGATTAAAGCTATATTTGCAACAAAAAAAAACAAAAAGAAGAAAGAAATCGGCGGTCAATTGATTGGGTCAGAATGGGGGATGGGTAAGTCACCAGCCAGCCATGCCCATCGAATGTGCTTGCCTGCATTTTTATTGTTTATTATTACTGTTTATTAGTTTGATTTTTAATTTAATTTTAAATATAAGATTTTTATTTTTTTAATTTATCTCTTTTTAAATATATTTTATTTGTTTAATTACACATATTAAATATTTTATTATATAATAATTTTAACTAATAAGTATTATTAGTAAAAATATTTTAAAGAACAAAATATATATATTTATTATACATAATTAATTGCTTAATATTTTTACTGTTTAAATTAGTTAATAAACTTTTATATTACTTCCGGTCCTTGGTGGTAGAATAGCAATCTTTTTTGATTTGGTTAAAATTAAACGCAGATCCTCCCTTCCTTCGTCACCGTAGGTCCTCCCAACCTCCAAAGTTCACCGTCGTCCGGTACCGAGGCCTCCGCTGTCCTCTCCTTTGCGGCCGAAGCTCGTCCTTAGTGGTGTCCTTGGTTTTTCTTCGTGTCTTCGTGAGCTCTAGCTCTGGTGCTGGTTCCTGGTAGCCTTTTCTCCTCGCTCCTTCAGGTATTTTGTCTCCCTGGTTCCACGGTGGTGGTTCCTGCCCGAGATCTCTCCTTCCCTTCCCATTCACCATTTTTGGAAGTTTGATAGGAGTTGGTCTCGGCCATGGCTTGGAATTCCATTAGATGGATGAATCATGGTCAGAGGTGATTAGAACCATTAATTTGTGATTTGTGAGTTTCACAATTTAGGGTTCAAGTGGTATGATGCTGTTTGGAATATGTTCTTAGATGACTTAGTTATTCAAGTTTTGTATTAAACTGGTTCCCAAGTGGGATTGATTTAAGGGGGTATTGATTTTATCTCTGAGCTCCTTATTTCTGCAGTATTTCTGGCTCTTGATTCTTTCTGAGTTCCTTATTGGTTTTGCTTCTCTGTTTGAATAATATATATTGATCATTGCATCAATCTCTGCTTCAAAGTTGCTTCTTTTTTTTTTATTTTTCCCCGCTTCTCTTGGATAATGATACATTGATCGTTTGTGGTCGCTGCTAAGCAGGTGTCTGTGAATTTTTTTTTTTTTTGTTGGGCGAAGCATTATCTGGTTACTTCCCTATCGTTTGAATTTAGTATGTACATCGCATAAGTACAATCTTCCAGAAATTTTCAAGTCGCTATCCATCATATACGTTGTACACGAGAAAGATAATTTTTTTTTTTGGGGAAAAAAAAAGCATAAATATTTTGATCTGCCATGTAAATTTACTGTAATTTGCAGATTCGATTGATAATGATATTTTCTCGCATTGAGAAGTGTGAACCTGCCTGCCCATTTCATTCTTCTACTGAGCTAATCTAATAGCATATCTGTTTCATGGATCAGTCATGATCTAAAAGACCTTGATTGCAGGGTAAAAATGACCTGCTGATATCATATAATCCCCAATTCACAGAAGAGAATTCAAGCCTTGGTGTCTAAGAGGCTTTTGGTTGATTCTCTTGCCATGGTAAGTTTTACGAGAGTAGTTATTATAAATTTTCTTATCTAGTTTTGAAGGAAATAGAGAAATAGAATAGAGTTGAAATTATGTTGCTTTGATATACTGAAAGCGCCTGCTCTCAGAGTGGCAGGCTCCTCCCTAGCGGTTTGGCCTGAGATCAGTTCTGCTTTGTAGTGATTCATTCAACTCCACTGTGTTTTCTATAGCTGTCACTTAACCAACTTGTAGTATATTTGCTTATAACTTTTGCTGAAATAATCATGTGGAAGCTTGATTGATGAATAAGCTCATTTTTTAAAGTATGTGTGACGAGGTGTTGGTCTTGGAAGTAGATGGCAGTTGATAGAATTTACTATTTGTATATTTCCTTTTTACAACCCTTCCCTGTGAGGGAAATATCTGTGTAGACAATATTCCCGATTCTGAATATGATCTTAAGTTTGATTGAATTGTTTGGACAGGCTGCAAAGATTCTTGCAAACCTAATTGTGATGGGCGGTGGTATTTTGGCTAGAGCATTTGTTCAAGCATATCGTCAAGCTCTTGCTAGTGAGTTTCTTATGTTATCTGAAAAAAAAAAAGTTTTCTGAGATATAATATGTCTATGCGTGTATTTGCAATTTGTGTCCTATACTTGATTAAAGGCAGTTTAATGGCAGGCTCTAGTTTTTTTTTTTTTTTTTTTGAATTGACTGTCATTATGGCACCTCTTGAGGATAATACGAGAGAAAGTTGACGGAGGTGATTTTGATGTGCAAAGAAAATTGTTGAAGACGTCATTAAAGGGAGTTGATCAGATAATCTTCAACCCTATAAAATTAAAGTTCCCGGGACTACAAAGAATTTAGAGATCTCCTTGGCAATTATGGAAGTAACTTTTCAAGCTATGGTTCTTCAATCTTGTTCTTTTTCCTCCTTCTTGGTGACCTTTTTATGGAATTTCAAGTGAGTCGTGGTCTTTGGCACTCTGCAGGCTAGACTTCATTATTTCTAATTCATCCAGAGCATTGACCTCTATCTGAATGCTTAATTATTATATTACTCTCCAGGTGTCGGCTTTTGTTAGGTTTGTGTTTGGTTAGGGAAACAATCTTTTATACAATAACCTGTGGGGTCGGTTGAAGTTGATTGATGAATGTATCTTAGTAGAGTCCTTATCATGCCATGGAGGAATTCAGTTCTGTAAGTCCCCTTTGTGGCTGTTTATCCTGTCATGTTCTTGACAAGAAGTTGTTGCAGATGCCTCAAAAAATGGTGTTGCACAAGAGACAATACAGAATACCATTCGCAGAGCTAACAAAGCCATGACAGAGCAAGAAGCTCGGCAGATTCTTGGCGTGACGGAGGAAACCCCCTGGGAAGAGATTTTGAAGGTTAGCAAGTGTTTTGCAGTTTCGCTTGTTGTCACTTATTATGTGTCGGTTTCTAAAACATTCTTCTGTGCAGAGATATGACAATTTGTTTGAAAGCAATGCCAAGAGTGGAAGTTTCTACCTTCAGTCAAAAGTTCATCGGGCCAAGGAAAGTCTAGATGCTGTCCATCGATAGAAGGGCCAGGATACAACGACTTGAGGACCTCTTTTTTCTTTGTTTCTTTCTTTCTGTCTTTTTTTTTTTTTTTTTAAAAAAAACACAGCATAACCTCGTGTCTAGATGCTGATTTATTTATAGATAGTGCCTGCCAGCTTGATCTCATGAACTTAAAAATTAATAGTCTTGCATTTGCATATACATTAGTTATGGCAAATGTCTCTAGAAAAAGTATATATTAACATGGCTGGTGAGCCAAGTGCAGTTAGGAATCCGGTGGATGATAACAATATTGGTGCTTCCCTCGTCCAAAGAAGAAAGATGATTGTTGGTTCTAATTAGTTCAACTGTGCGTTATCCCGTTAATGATGGTATTCTTTTGGACTTCGTGATCAAGACGTATGAGGCTGAAGAAACTGAATGCTTGAAGAGAAATGTTTGGTACAAGGTCGGAATAAGGATAAGAATAGGATTGAAAATAAGCATGGCAAGGGCGATTTCTTGAAAGCCCATTCTCATAAGTATGGTTAGAAGGTGTATCACTAATTTTCAACATATTAAACAGTTGAAATTTTCCTTTCTTATTTTCTTTTAAAAAGGATTTTCCGCATGGCAATTGTAACACAGGGCACACTCGATTATAAGAAGTTGGTTCTGGGAGGCTTTTCAATGCTGACTTTGGAGCTGTTTGAAACTTCATCAACGGTCATGTATGCTTTTGAGATGGAAACTTCGAAAAAGAAAGGGAACAGTATGCACTCCTTTATTATCAATACCCATTGTTACAGACAATACAGCAGAATCAATTTTAAAAATGACGTAACAAATAAAATTCCATTCATGCAAGGCCATGTTAATCTGTACGTAAATAATTTAAGGAGATCACTAATTCGGATTATAAAGATTGTAGCTCTGCTCCTAGTGGAGGCGCCCGAGAAACTAGAAAAACGTAAAATTCTAATCCCTTTCATTTGAAGTGGCACTTTTAATTATTTTACATGTATTACAACAACAAAAAAGCTAAATAGTTATTCAAATATTGAAGGTTTCCCATCAAAGCTAAATAAAAATAAGATAGAACGACTTATAATTAGGATAAAAAATTTCTTCTACAATTTGACTTGTATTTTAAAACCAAAAGGAAAGAAATAGAACTTCCAAATATCACTGTGAATGTTGAACATCTGCATTAGGGCCACTACCATTCCGTTTTGTTCAGTAATTTACCTAATGATTATCCCATCAGTAATCCATCTTTGGAATTCATGCTCAACTGTGCATTTTGTGGTTCATGCCTCATCCCTTAAATTCATCATTCTTTTCTTTTCTTTTTGTTTGAACTTATTCTTTTATTGTATCCCCACAATATTATCTCATTTCAATGGGATATTACCTCGTTCCGCCATCATGCGCTGCTGTAAAACCAATCCGAGTCAAATTGTCAAAAATCAAACGTAGCATGCAGCTTTTCATTATATTAAAATCAATTCATAGACATAAATGGCCATCAACTGGCAAAAACGCAAAAAGTAAATAAATAAATAAATAAACAAAAACAAAAAACCAAAAAAACAGCTCACTTGCCATCCCTCACTGCCAGTATTCTATCCTTCATCACTTTCTTTTCGATATCATATGAAATCACTTATATATATAGATATATTATAAAAATGGCCGGTAAATAAATTACGGATCCTAATCAGGTTTATGCTGTGAATACTGCAATGAAAGCAACTCCAAGGGACGCCCACATTCCGTTGAAGCTGATTAATCTAACATCACCCGAGTTTTCCTTGCTCGGAACAACCTGCGATGATGAATCTGAGGAATCCTCCGACGATGGCGGCTCCTCCTTATCTGCTTTAGGCGCCTTCGCCGCCGCGGCTGCCGGAGACAGTGCTGGAGCCGCCGCGGGTGTGTTAGCGGCGTAGAAGTCGAGAGGAAGAAGGACCTTGCCCACCTTGTAAATGGCAAGATGCTTATCCGCATACACAATGCCGGTCAGGGTGGTGTTCACCACCCCCGTTGATATGTTCACGCTGCCGCCGTAACTAATCACGTTTAGGTCCACCCTCCCCGGCTTATCTCCGGCCAGGTTCGGACCGGGTTCGTCAGAGTGTCAAAGTTGTTGCTCGTGACGTAGGTAGGAAGGATGTGGAACTGTAAAAGCTCGAGCTTTTGGGCATCGCCGAGAGAGTTGAGGAACCCTGCTTTGAGTTCTGAGAAGGCAGAGTCGTCTGGTGCGAAAATGGTCAAGCCCCCAGATTTGGTGGTCAAGAGCTGGGAATTAATCTGGTTGATGAGCTGTGTGATTTTGAGGAGCCGAATGAAGACATCGAACGACTTGGCTTTCCTGAGGATGCCGATGATGTCGGTGGAGGGAGTGTCGGGGGTGTTGTCTGAAGGTGTCTGTGGCAATGTGGGGACTAAGGCGGCAGGGGCAGGGGCGGCGGCGGGGGAAGCGACAGGGGCGGCTTTTACAGGAGCCATTGCCGGCGACTGGGCAACGGTGGTGGCGGAATAGTGGAGGGAAACCAGTAGAAGCGCGAATGAGAAGAAGAAGAGAGAAGGCTTCATGGTTATTTAGGAAATGATAGGAGTAATTGTTGCTGTTTGTTGTTGGAATGAGGAGATGAAGATGCATGAGAAGCAGAGAGGAGGGGAGGATTTTATGGAGGAAAAGAGAGGATGACAGGTAGTTGAAACGTTTGGTTGCAGAACTTGATATTGCGATTTGTGAGCAATACGTTGTTAAAGGGGAAGGAGTTTATGGTGCAAGCAATTCTACTGGAGAAGCCAAGATGTATATTGGAGATTCGTAGATTGTTGCTTTCACTTGTATTGTTAAATTTTGAAGAATTTGTGTGCTTCAAGCAACTCGATTCTCTAAGCATTTTCCAACCTCTTTTGGACTTTATTCAGCATTACACCTTTTTTTTGTTTAAAAAGTAAATTTACAGTGTGTGAATTTTGGGTATTATGAACACTCTCTAAATTGATACAACTCTTCACCATGATCTATTCATGCAATTAAAATTTTAAAAGCTGTGACCTTTTAGAGTTCATCTCTCTGTTTTGCCCCGTTGGATGAAAGTGAGAGTTTGCTGTTTGCAATATCTATGTACTGCGCTTACTTCTGAGACTGACACAGACACAGGGCAGACGATGGGTTCTTGGTAAATAGCAAGGATGGTTCAAGCTATAAGAGTTAATTTAGCGCATTTGATTTGCATCATGCCCTCAAAACATCCAAAGTCAAGGAAAAAAAAATGTCCTTAAAATTTAGCTGTAACTATGGAGTGTTTGGGTAAGATCAAAACCATAATTTCATAAATGTTTTTACGCTATATGAAATAAATATATGAAGGAAGTTACCTCGATTTGTAGAAAAATATTTTTGAAAAGTGAACGATAATGGGGAATAAACGTTTCGTTTTAATCATTTCGAATCAACAAGAGTTCCAAAAAAATGAATTGCATTTTAGCAGAGTTACAGCTAAAGCAACCTTAAACAAATGACGTATGCCTTTCCTTCTTCCTGGAGAAATAATTATTTCCATAAAATTGTGAAAGAAAGCAAACTTTTGGATTAATCTATTTTTCTCAGACCTAAATATAGATCAGTTCATAGCTATCTTAAAAATGTTCCTCTACAACCCCTGTTTACTGTTTAGCCCTGACCCGTAGGCCTTAGCCGACCAAATTCTTTGAACTCAGATGCAACACAGCAGTCGTCCTCATTTCTCTATTGTACCTCACCATACTTGAACCTCATTTTTATCAGAATTCATCAAAACAGATTAATCTGCATGACAGATCTGTTATACCCTAACCCAAAAAAAAAAATAAAAAATCCAACTACTCATCTTTTTCACCTCCCTCTCGTCACTTCCTTGTCCTGAAAAATACAGAAGTTGCGTTTAAATTTAGTTGCGTGATTTTCTTATTTTGTGGTATTTATTTGGTGTGCTTTCAAACTTATTTGCAATTGTATATGATTGATGAGATTTTGTTTGTTGTTTCACATCTTTGAAAAGAGAAATTAATTTTGTGTTACATCCATATATTGCTTAATAACCACTTGTTTTTTTTTTTTTCGGTAGCAAATTGCTGCTGACTCGAGGACCCCAACAAATGATATGGTGCATAGCGATAATGATCAATTACTCCAAATTAAATAAAAGAATACTTCCTAAAAGTTACATTTACACCAACCACAATGAAATCAACTTAGTAATAGTTTATACGGTCCTTTTAAGATATAGGACCATTTTATCTAATTCATAAATATTAAGAAAAAGTTTAAGTTAATTTTTTTGTAATTAATGTATCAATATTTATAATTATTATTTTTTGTATATCTCTTATTTATTGGACTATTGATTTTAATTTTTTTAAATTTACAAATGATATATTAAATAAGATTACTTTTAAAAAACATGATAGATAAACGCAAATAAGATTTTATACAAGGGATTAAACGAAAACTTTTAAAATGATATATTTGAAATTGGAGGGAATATGTTACGCACTTGCTAAAAAATAAACAAAAATGTTCTTCTTTTTGGGCCAAAAGAAAAACAAAAATGTTCTGAAATCGCCAAACAGCTTTTTGTGTGACCATATGGTAATCCTGTGAAGTATGAACTCATACCGGGGAAAGGCTTCTCCCAAGAAACAAGTTTGAAATATCTCCTTTTACTATGTTCATACTGATCAGTATGTCACCATCAGTATCAAACCATCTATTTCGATATATATGAAATATATAATTGAAAATAAATTATACTATTAAAAAATCATGAATATCATGACTCTTTTTTTTTTTAAATGTATAATATAATCTTTTGATCATAAATGTAATACTTATTTTTTAGTAAGAAGGGAGGAGCATTTGGGAATGATCTAAGATCATGAATTACTTTGGAGAGCTTTGAGAAAAAGTCATTTATGTTGTTACTCGTATTACCCTAAGAGAGTTCCTCAGTAGCATCGGAGCCGTTGCCCAACCACTTTCTTTTAAGATTTTAGAAAGCAGTCATTTTCATTGGTTCACTTAATTCACCAAGTCCGAATTTCATATCGTAAATTCATTTAAACTGTTCAAAACATTAAATCATAATGTCGAAAAATTTTAAAGGTATGAACTTTCGAAAATACATGAGAGAGGAAGTTGTTTGTTTAAGAAGAGTGATGGGTGTTAGATTGATGGAAGGGAAAGCAACAGATTCAGAAACCTTGATCTCCCCCCTAAATGTTATTTTGCTTCCAACATGGATGCACCACCTTAAACTCCTTACCACGTAACAATGTATCTTCTCACAAACCGCAATTTAAAGTTCTGCAACCAAACGTTTCAACTACCTGTCATTCTCTCTTTTTCCTCCATAAAATCCTCCCCTCCTCTCTGCTTCTCATGCATCTTCATCTCCTCATTCCAACAACAACAACAATTACTCCTATCATTTCCTAAATAACCATGAAGCCTCCTCTCTTCTTCTTCTCATTCGCGCTTCTACTGGTTTCCCTCCACTATTCCGCCACCACCGTTGCCCAGTCGCCGGCAATGGCTCCTGTAAAAGCCGCCCCTGTCGCTTCCCCCGCCGCCGCCCCTGCCCCTGCCGCCTTAGTCCCCACATTGCCACAGACACCTTCAGACAACACCCCCGACACTCCCTCCACCGACATCATCGGCATCCTCAGGAAAGCCAAGTCGTTCGACGTCTTCATTCGGCTCCTCAAAATCACACAGCTCATCAACCAGATTAATTCCCAGCTCTTGACCACCAAATCTGGGGGCTTGACCATTTTCGCACCAGACGACTCTGCCTTCTCAGAACTCAAAGCAGGGTTCCTCAACTCTCTCGGCGATGCCCAAAAGCTCGAGCTTTTACAGTTCCACATCCTTCCTACCTACGTCACGAGCAACAACTTTGACACTCTGACGAACCCGGTCCGAACCCTGGCCGGAGATAAGCCGGGGAGGGTGGACCTAAACGTGATTAGTTACGGCGGCAGCGTGAACATATCAACGGGGGTGGTGAACACCACCCTGACCGGCATTGTGTATGCGGATAAGCATCTTGCCATTTACAAGGTGGGCAAGGTCCTTCTTCCTCTCGACTTCTACGCCGCTAACACACCCGCGGCGGCTCCAGCACTGTCTCCGGCAGCCGCGGGGGCGAAGGCGCCTAAAGCAGATAAGGAGGAGCCGCCATCGTCGGAGGATTCCTCAGATTCATCATCGCAGGTTGTTCCGAGTAAGGAAAATTCGGGTGATGTGAGAATGAGCGTGGGAGGAATGTGGATGTCGCTTGGAGTTGTTATGGTGGCCGTATTAAGAGTATAAACCAGAAGAATATGAGGATATCCAAATTGTATGATTTTATTGATGAGTGTTTTATTAAGTTATGTCCAGAGGAGAAGGGATGAGGCGCCTGTGTGTTTATTTGAGTGAATCAGGACATCATGTACGGAGCGCATATATGGTTACGAGTTTATTATTGTTGCCTTTTTCTTAATCTTTGCCAAGCACGTCTGATGAGTATTATTATTGAAACAAAGAGTCGTTTCCATCTTACATTTCATTTCATGTCTCGGCTGTACATTTTAAGCTAAAACAGACTTCAATTTGTCCTAACAATTAAAGAAAAATTCAATGTCTCAATTCTCGAATGCCTTAGTAATTATTTACTCTAATCACTGCCAGGTTATATATAATTGTTGTATCTGGCAAAGAAGGCTTAGATAATTAAAAGCTTCAAGCTGGAATTCACTCCAACCGTTGTTTGTCTTTATCTCCGTGCTGTTGTTTTGCCGCTGACTTTATCTCGGTACGTGCTGGGAAAGACCCAATCGAAAATAATTTCTGGATTAATTAACATGCTTAAATCACAAATAATCCCATTCAGCAAAAAAAAAAAAAATCACAAATAATCCCAAGCTCGCATTGCACTTGAGGCAATGCTAGTGCCAAATCAAGCTTGGTTGATAATAGCACGGCGACCTCCTTCCATTAGTTCCATAAGGGACCCTCAATTTAGTGACACATGTATTATTAGTATTATCCATCTTTCCCTTTTATTATTATTATTTCATCTGTTTTCTCATTTTATATTCTCTAATATACCCTAACAAAACGAACATAGTCTAAATTTAATGAAGCAAATGCCCTTGTTTATTTACTTATTTTTTCCGAAGCTATTTCATTGCAGCTCTAGCTCTATATATGCATGTATGTATGCACGCGAGCGCGTGGGGGTTATGATCGACTTTAAGTTACTGATTTAACTTTTCTATTAAGGCGCATGTTTTACCAAAACCACGTTTTGAGGTGGCTGAATACAATCTAAAATGCAATAAAGATGATATACTCTTCCGGTCTTTAATATATGATCCAATTATTGAATTGGTTTTGGTCTTAAATATAATATCCATTTATTATATTTATCAATTTTTTTTCTAAATTACCTCTAGGGATACTTCCTCAACCATAATCAAGTAGAAGAGGAAGATGAGATATTAAGAAAGATGATTATGGTATTTTAGAAAAAACATATTACATTTCTTACAATTAACTAACTTACCTAACTTCCTTAATCTAATCAAATTAGTTAAATGAGTCTTATATTAAGGATTCGAGGAGTATATGGGTTTTATATGCTGTGGGCTTACAATATATATCAACCCTACGGGAAGAAATATATAATTAATAGATGCATGGCGTAATAAAAAAAAAATGTTGTATGAAAAACTTGTTAAAATCGTACATCCGTTGTAAGAGCATGATATTAAAAAACAGAAAAAAGGAAGTCACCCACTTCCATGATTTTGTTCCTCCATGGATCTCAAACAATAAAGTAATAATACATGCATGTCTTTCATTTTACAATGAGCCAGTTCATCTGATTGCCTTCCTGATGAGTACTGCTTAACATTATACAAGACTTGAAAGATGGGGCGTTAATGCTTAGCTTCAATTTTTCATTTGATGGGGCCCAAAAGAGATTGTGGCAAACCTTGGACAAGCAAAGGAGAAGTACGAGAAAGACACAAATTAAAATCTCATTTAAGTTTCTAGACTCCATTGGAAGAGTAGCGTGTGGTTATGCTTGCTGATACAAGAGTGAAATACAAGAGGCTAATAATGTTAATGTATTTGTTTAGTTGTGCAATCCTTGCCGAAAGCTGTCAGGACAAGGCCACACCACGCTAATGATTTGGTTACTTTGCATCCTGTTGATGGAAATACTCAACCTTTACAGTTACACAACTCCCACCTTTCATTTTTTGCCCAAATATACATTCGTCCAAATCGATCATTCCTCCCAACCAAACTCATATTTCCACTCCCAAACTTTGCTAATAAACTACATATCAATCACCTTCACAGGTAAGCAGACATAATCTCCAAACTCAACTTTTAGTTCCAATTAAACCCTTCCACCTACCTGTCCCATGCTCCCTTGCTCCATAAAATCCAACCCTTTTCTTCCCACTTTCCTCATACCAACTTCCTCCCTACTCTCAACACTTCAGAGTGTACAATTCTTTACCTGACACTCTCAAATCAAAATGTCTAACACTGTCTCCTTTTTCTCCGCCTCTTTGCTAATCCTACTTGCTTTGTTTTATTCCACCTCAGCCCAGTTATCTCCGGTTAAAGCTCCCACCGCAGCTCCTCCTACGACCTCGACAGCTCCTCCTGTGGCCTCAACATCGCCACCTCCCACTTCTCTGCCCGCCAAATCTCCGGCTGCCGCCACAGCGCCTGCCCCGGGGTTTAGCTCTGTTCCTCTGGTCCCAGTAACACCCAGCGCAGCCCCTGGGCCGGCCGCAGCTGTGGTCCCTAAAGCTCCCTCCACTGATGTCGTCCAAATACTCAGCAAGGCCAAGAGATTCACCGTCCTCATCCGCCTCCTCAAGACCACCCAGTTAATCAACCAGCTCAATTCTCAGCTGGCCACCTCCGGCTCCGGCGGGCTGACCATTTTCGCCCCCGACGATGCCGCCTTCTCCAAACTAAAAGCAGGCTTGCTTAACTCTCTCAATGACAGGCAAAAGGTGGAGCTTTTACAGTTCCATACCATATCCACCTACATTTCTATCTCCAACTTCGATACCCTCACCAACCCCGTTCAGACTCAGGCCGGCGACGACCCCAAGAGACTTCAACTTAACGTCACCACGTACGGAGGCAGCCAGGTCAGCATGACCACCGGAGCCGTCAACGCCTCCGTTACGGGAACCGTGTATACAGACAGCAAACTCGCTATATATCAGGTGGACAAGGTGCTTCTTCCGCTTGACATCGTGCTTCCTAAGGCTAAGGCACCGGCACCGGGCCCAGCTGCCGCCAAAGGAGATTCGCCAAAAGCTGATAAAACTAAGGCAGCCGGAGGGGATCAGAGTGATGGCGGTGATGACAGTGAGACGAACGGCAAAGCCGTTCCGGCGGGCAGTTCCATGGGTTTGAAGGTAGAGGTAATGTGGGTACGTCTTGCACTTGGAGTTGCATTTGTGGCGGGAGCCATGATCATGTGATGATGACAAGGTGGTGAAGGTTGAAGGAGGAGGTCGTCCATTATTTTTGTTGCCATGTTTACTTCTCTGCAGAGTTTAATTCTCCATGAAATCTCTCAGTGATTTCTTATCGTAATCGTCGTGTTTCCCAGTCTGTTTCCTTTCCTTTACTTTTTTGGCTGCGGATCAGTGTGCTCTGTTTGTATAGCATAGAGATTGTCATTATTTATTAGGGACGAAGACGACTATCTTTGTTTGTGTGTTTGTTGGTGCTTTGTAATTATTTTAAGATATTCATTTTATGTGTTCTTTGTTGTCCGAATATATCTACATTTTTAACTTTCTTGCTCTTTAAATTGTCATCTACTTAATTTGCTCTGGCGTTATAAGCTCATGCAATGGGAAGTTGGGGGTTGTAAATATTTAAGCTTAATTTCAGAGTATATTAGCATGTTTTATGAGAATCCCCTCACGGCCACAATTAAATAGTTTTGTGAAAATTTGGAGCGATTTTGTAGAAGAAAAAGAGAGTGATTCTGTTTTGGTATCATTCCAAAATTATAATATTAGTTATCGGACTGACTAAAATTAGTTAACTAGGTCGGCAATGCTTTTTTTCTTACTCCCTTCTATAAAGAAATATAATTATTTTTTAAAAATATCCGGGTTAAAATGTAAGTCCTATTTAAGAATATTTAGGATGTTCATTTTTTCTAATTTATCCTGATGTATATTATACGAGTAGCAGTTAATTCATCACAGAAATGTCATCTTTAAATTTAATAAAGAAAATTTTAAAAATTGTTATTTGTTGACAGATTTAATGAGTTAACTTTCTTTTAATTGATTTTCTTGATCTCTCTTAGAGTTGGATAAAGTAAGCTTATATTTTGGATCCAACAACATATATTACCTCTGTAGCTTGAAGCCTTTTTCTTTGTCGCGAAAGCTTTACGATCTTATTGTCACCAAAAAAAAAAAGTTTCATGAACTTTCTGAAAATTCAAAGTACTTTTAGGCACCGCAGATTCGCAAGAATATAAAAGAGGACACAAAATCACGGCAATTTTAAAATTACAAGGAAAAAAAAAGGTGCTCAAACCATTTACTTACCGCCGCTCCTGCTCCTAGTGTGGATTTTGCAAGTGACTTTTGGTGAAATAACGAAAATATAAATGCGAAAAAGTATACAACTTACTTCAAAAGTGGGTCCTATAAAAGTGAGCATCTTTTTTATTTATCCCTCCACTCATTTTAATTGAAATTTGGATAATGGTGCATCACCCTATTGATTTTTTTTCAGATGCATCTATACTTAACATCCTGATATTAACTTTTAGTTATATTTAGCACTTTAATTTTATGGTGTTAAGCATGGATGTACTAAATGCATCATAGATTATTAAAGCGTCAGATGCACTATTAACATATTAAAACTTTGAAGCCATCATTTAGGAGATCAAATCTCATTTTTGCAAGAATATGTGATGAAATCACTGATGCTTTTTGTACCGCCTTCGATCGTTTTCATTCTCTCGATTAAATTAAAATACAGCGAATGATGGAAGATGGCTACGCTTCTTCTTTCTTTGTACTGCGTCTGATCCTTAATATAAAATTCTGTTTGATTTTTATTTTAGTCTTAAATATAAGACCCCAATCTATTTTGTCTCTCATATTTATACTTTTTTTTTCAAAATAACCCTTTTAACAATGATAGATCTAGTCAATACACTTGGTTAGTAAGGATATTTTACGAAAGACAATATTTATTTAACACAAATAACTAACTTAACTTACTTCCTTAATCTCCTCAAATTAGTCAACTGACTCTTATAATTAAGACTGGATGTAGTATTTGTTTAGCGATCATGAGTGACGTTTTCAGTTGTACTAATTAAAAATGCAAAATAAAAGATTTTAAATAAAAAAAAGAACTTGGAAAATATAGATGGGCTCTGGGAGGCCTGCAACTTTGCGCTCTGTTCGTCATCGTTGGATTCATGCATCGCGGATCGTTCAAAAGATTATTTGGGGATGTTTGGTAACGTGAAAAAGTGATTTTAAAAAATATTTTTTTCATAAAACAAAATAATTTTTTTTTTGTAAATTGTAAAATATTTTTAAAATTATAAGTTGGTTTTCACTTAAATACTTTTCAAATTAGTCTCTCTTACTCCAGCAGGCAGCACATAGAAAAATGGGCCCCACCTTCAACTCACGAGATCCCCCTCTCTCTTAGTGCTTTAACAATCGGACATTATATTATTCATAATTGGACTGAAAAGTAATTAAATTACAATGATTCGATGATCATTATCAAATCAAGTTTAAATCTATATATATAGAGAGAGGGTGATCTAAATGCACGGTTGATATACTGATTCACAATTAATAACTTGATAGTACATATAATTAAGTGCTATATATTAATTCTATCATATATAAGCATATTACGAAGGGTGAAAAGAAAAAAACTAACAAAACCAGAAAAAGTGGGTGTGCGAAACTATAGTCCTGACCGAGCAAGCTTGTCAACATTTTTATTGATGTGTAAACAAGAACCATTTTATTTTTTTTAAATAAATGTGACGTAGCCTTCTAAAATTATGCCTAGTTAATTACCACTGACAAAGAATCTATTTTGACCTTGTAAAATTCAATTTGGTCGATCGGTAAAATACTCATCAACAGCTAGTTGTTCTATATACGTGTGATTAACCACTTGTAACACGTACTTTTTATATATAACTCGTTGTGTAATATTGCCTATGTGAATATTCCTCATGCCAGTTACTTAATTGCCGAGTAGGAATCTGCAACTCAGCGAACAAGTATTCACCACTGCACAGTCTCAGGCTCAGCTCCATGGCTGAGCAACCGAGCCGGCTGCATTAAACCCGGCTAACTCTTTCTCACCAACGCCTAGAAAATCTCTGGTTAAACCACCCAGTTCCATCTGATCTAAATTCTCCCCGCGGCTTCTCATCACAAAGTGGCTCGAGTTCGAATCATTCAGTACCAATCCATGACAATCGTCACCTCCAACTCCAACATTCGAGTTTCCTTTTGAGATCGTCACCAAGTCGTTCAAGCTTTGGTCATCAGTTCCATTTGCTGTATTCTTGAAATATAGTCCTGCCTCATCGCCGTTTCTGAACGACGAAGTGCTGCTGGAGAGTGATGGTAAGGAGCCGCCCATGAAGCCAAAAATGTTGACATGGTTGCTTCCTGTAGATCTCATCTGGTTTACTTTTTGTAACAGTGAAGTGGGTGACGACATGTGATGAGGCTGAGCCAAGCCTACTTGCCATGGGTTTTGATAATTACTACAATACAAAGAGCTCGCGCTATACGACAACCCCCCTTTGTTCTCTTCTTCTTCCTCCTTCAGTAGGCGATGAGATGCCCCAGACATGGCCAGATTGGCAAGACTTTCGAATGATGCTTCTGGGTATGGTTTCACCCAGGAGGACGACAAGGAATTCGGGAGCATGTTCATGGTTTGCATCAAATCAGGCATGCTTGAATTGACCTGGATCAACGTTTCTGATGAACCTCCATAGCCTGGATAAATCTGAGGGATTCTGGGTGCTTCGGGAACGAAGCTTATTCGGGCATTTTCTTCCGCCAAGACATCACAGAAGGCTCTGTGCGTCACGAAGCTGTCTTTCCTGAATTAACACCCACACATCAAATTCTTAATTTGGACAATACCAAACAATCATGGGAGAGCTAACTTTGAATGCTTCGTTAAATCTAAGAGGAAAAAACATTGAAGAAATGAAATATAAATTACCTGGAGAAAAGAGTGCCACAGAGACATTTGTACTCTCTTGTCCCACAAATCTTGATGTGCGCCTTCCAGTCGGAGTGAACGGCGTATTTCTTGGAGCACCTGTCGCAGTTCCACTTCTTCTCGCCATGTTTTCTGCTGTAGTGCTTCTTTATCCCCGTGAGGTCTCCCAGCGCTCTGGAAGGATCATGGTGGACGCACGTCTTTTCAGGGCACACGTACACTTTTTTGCCGGCTTCTTTTTCGCTTCTCTGCCGGAGCTTCCAGGGGAGGTTGTGTCCGCGGCGGTGCAGCTGCAGATTCTGGTCTCTCTGGAACCCCTTCTTGCAGATTTCGCACACGAAGCGGTTCGTGGCCATCAGGGACTTTGGCGACAGCGCTATCACTTTTGCATCTGGATCTGAATATTCACAGTGGAAACTATATTATAATCAATTCCTCCCCACAACTTTGAGGATTTCATCTGTAGTGCATTTATTGAAAAGCTTGATAGCAATAATAGAAGTAACAGAATCGAAAGAGAGGACACTTGCCTGGTGTTCCGGGGAGATTTCTCCTCTTCTTGAGGGGATTTGAATGAGTAGGGTTAGGGGTCGAGTGAGGGAGGAAGGTTTTGATGGTGGAAGGAAGAGAGAGGCCTTGTTCTGACATGTTCAGATTCGGTAGGGTATTGAATGCTGAGGAGAAGAGAAGCCTAAATCGGGAATGTTTGGGTGTTATATCTATGAACAAGAAAGAGGTTAAGCAAAGTAAGAATGAGGCAGATAAAAAATCAAGAAATGCTCTACTTCTATTGCTGGAGCAAAGCAGAAATATAATAATTAATAGATAAAGATACTGGGAATAAAAAGATTATACATAATTAAAAATTGATTTGCTCGAGCTATACAGAAGTAATAGTACGTACATGGTCCACATAGTTGGGTTGTGGTTGAGGTGGCCGGAAGGAAGGAGGAAGAAAATTCCAATAAGGAAAAAGGAAGGCTTGACTTGTGTACGGCTTCAATGGACTTAGCAGCCCTTTTCTCTCTCCTCCTCTATCTCTCACCAATCTTAATTATTACACAAACATTATTAGGCCCCCCTTTGATCGATATGACAATGATATATATTTTTAATCATCTACAGAATTACACTGATTATTTTTCAAGTACTACGGTAGATTTTATGTAGGGTTGATCCTTAAGAAATTAATAAGAACATCAATATACCTAACAGATAACCATAGAACAGGCGTGATAATATCAAACTACACTCATATATCTTCTTATTCTTGCTTCCTCTTCAATAGAAATGTATAGTTCAGTAAGCTGCCTTTAAGTTAGATTAGTTTTCGGATAGTATTTCATCAGATGCAAACATTGTGCAAATATTATAATGGATCTTTACCAACACAAAAAAAAAAAGAAAAAGAAAACAGAGCACACAATTTTTTTAATTTAATTAATACTTTTCCTGTTTTTAATGTGAGACGTATTTAATTAATTTGATTAAATTAAAAAGTTAAGTAAGTTAGTTAACTAATGATAAAAGATATAATATCTTTTTTTAAAATCATAATCATCTTTCTTAATATTTTTCTCGTTTCCTACTTGATTATGATTGAAAAAATATCTATAAGAGTAATTTTAAAAAAATTAATAAATATAAAAAATAACTAGTACATGAGAAGTATCTTGGATGGAACTTTACCTCGGAACATATTAAGGCAAACATAGTATCATGATTAGTTTTTTTTCCCTAAAAAAGTAGTAATAAACAAAGACAAGAGTGGATAACGGAAAGAGAAAATAAAGGGTTATTGATATGGGGGGTGGGGGGTGGCGCCGTCCGAGAGGTCTCACTGGTCGAGAGTGGTGAGAGCCCACTCGATAAAAGTGTTGACCACGAAAGATGCTGTGTTCCTCTTTTGTTATCGTTTATCAAGCGCGTCCACACACATAGATACATATTTTTTATGTGACAAAAATTCAAGATGGCATTAAACAAATAAAAAGGTCTGGGAAAACATATTATAAGGTCATATAAAAAAGAATATATTAAAAAAAATCTCACAACAAATGAACAGTATTCAATAGCAAATTTCAGTATAAAAAAATAACAAAAAATCATCTTGTTATACTTTTTTTTTTTTTTGGTGATTTTATCCTATTTGTGATTTCCCCAGAAGATATTGCATCGTTACTCAATTCCTGACATACAAGCCAGGAAACAGTACAAGGAGAATGAAAGCAGGAGATACTAGAGGCCCGACCCGGAAAGAAAGCTAAGTGGAGGATATAGATGCAACATATATTGTAGGTAGAAGAAATTAAATTATTAAATGATTTTTATATATGAATATGTCAGCTATAATAAGTAAGATGAATATATGACTATACAGAAAATAATTAATTAAATATTTTAATGATAAGCCAGCTAAGATCGCTGTCAAAGACTTAATCGATCGATCATGGAGTATCTTTTTTGTCCCGGCAATGTTATTTTTCTTTTCCCCTTCATAGCTTCAATAATTATCTCTTGACGCATGAATATATATATATATATATATATATATGTGCGTTGATCACATGCATGGGCATTAACACACAGCTTAATCCAAAGTTTTGACGACATAGACCAACCTTACAGTACTGCAAGTTTGTGGAATATATAAATTAAATCATTAATTAATTGTGATCAATTAAGTAGCCAGTTTATGGAATACGAGAATAATATTATTGTTGGTTACATAAATTGTGAAGATTATTCATGTAAGAACTAAGAAGTGAACGAGGCATTCCCTCCCGGCCCCATGTTTTGCTTTTATAATATAGTTTTATTTTTAGGGGATGAGAGGTCGGCCAGGCATGTTACCACCTAATCAATAAACTACTAATTAACCAGCCTTTAAACATCCATGCGCACGTAAGTCTGATTTTGAAAGAAAATTATTATATACAATATGTATATTATTGATAGCTAAATTTGCATTATTAGGGTAGGATGAGCTAGAGTGTTATTAAAAACGTGTATTATATGTGCACAATATATATAATCCTACTATTGAATCGAAGACTTTTGGGTTATTTGATTGGGAGATGAAGGAACTGAAGACCGCTGGTGAGTAGTGTTAGAATTTTCAAATACTTTTCGCTGGGCCTTCTTCTTGTACTGCCACGTCAGTTCAAACATTTTAGAGCTTCCTCGTCCAACATGATGGCTTCTACGCAAATTCCTCGTATTTTCCCTTGCTGTGTTCCTCTTTTGTTACACAAAATGCCCCCACAATCCCTTTTCACATCAAAATGATATTGATAAAGACGTCGTGTTTTGGGGTTCTGATCTTCCCTTGTTGGTTAATTCCCCTCAATTAATTAATTTCTAGTAATAGACAAAGCTAAATTATTTCAGTAGTCCCTTATCGAAGACTGTTCCTTCTAATTAGTTAATTAGACAACATGTTTCCAGCCTTATTGTGCTTTCATTTTGTTATGGTTAATTAATTCAAATCTAACTGTAATATATATATATATATATATATATATATCTCAGATAGCTGGTTGCTACGTGCACTGTTTAATTGTTTACCCTATTTGATATTATGTGTACAAGACTTGTCTCCACATTCCACGTGATGACCAACCCAATGATTGCATATTTGCATAACAAAAAGATTAATGTATGTAGCATCTCTAATCAACTTTATTATTACTGTTAACTTCATCTAATTTAACCGCCTAGCTAGGTGTCAATTTAAATGCTGATTTGATTTGATTCCATCTTTTTATATGCGAAGAGAAATGCAACACTTGTATATATCAGCGTGGATAAGAGTTACACACCTAACATTTATTAGTTATTTAATTGATATGAAAACAGAACCTGAATTTTTCATTTTAAAATTGTTGTTAAAGCTTGTATGAGATAAAGATATTCGTGTCGACTTGAATAAACAGTCATCATCGCCAATAATCGTCGCTTGCTAGCCATATATAAAAACCAGGTAGTCACAGGCCAATATAACAATCTGACGCTGGTTTCAACAAATGGCTATATAAATATATATATATATATATAATACTATTCTATTATTTTTAATATAAGAGTTAGTTGACTAATTTGAGTAAATTAATAAAGTTTGTTAAGTTGGTTATTTGTAACAAATATGCATTGTCTTCTCTAGAATACCTTTACTAATCATGTATATTAGTTAGAATTATTATTTTATAGAACATTTAACATATACAACTATTATAATGACTATTTTAGAAAAAAATGAATAAATATAAGAGACAAAATGGGATTAGAGTTTTATATTTAGGACTGAATTAAAATCAAACTAATTCTTATATTAAGGATCGGGACTAATATTTATTACTCATATGAGTGAAGCTTTTGTGTCTTCCACTCAAAGGACATGCATGAAAATTGCTTCTTCAATTTATTTTCTCTGATCTTCTTCAAATATTCGATGCTCATGTTTCGTCTACAATATGTGTTACGGTGATTAAATCACTCTCCTGTTAAGTAAAAATAAAAGATATATGCCAACCGCCTCTAGGCGGAGTGGCACCTAGTGTGTGCGTGTGTTGGTAATATACGGGTTCGATCCCGCCCCTCATGTAACCAAAAAAAAAAAAAAATGCTGTCAAATAAAATTAATCTATTAACTAATTACAATTATAATATTGGATAAATAGGCTGGGGATGAGTTTTATGAATAGACACACACGGGACAATATTCCGTCTGGGCTCCCGTGCGTAACATTCTCGTCTCCCTCGAAAGAGATTATATATATTGATTGGTTAATATAAAATTTAAAAAAATATTAGTGACGGAGACAGACCACCTGCTTGTAAATTATATTAACCCTACAGGTTATTAGAACGTGTGATTAATATACAATTATAGAAGTATTAATTATAACATTGAAAGCCAAATTAACATAAGCTTGCATTCAGAAATATGCTACTATTTCCGGTCTTAATTATAAAATCTTATCTGTACACTATAAATGAAATCTTATAATTAAAATAGAATATAGTATTATATAGACGTACTAATACGCAGGGATAAACAGAGGCATAGAGCAAGCCATCCCGTTCCCTTCCGTCTTCTCTTTTCTTATATTTGTGTAAACTTTGCAAATAAATAATTTCAAAACATTATATTCGTAAAGGAAGAACAAGATGAATAGAGTTGGGTGCGTGTGTGTCACATAGACAATGGGCAGTAAACTCAACAACTCCTGTGGTATGTGTGTGAGCAGTTAATTGGACTGTTAAAATCATGAGCGCACAGCCCACATAATGAGCCAACCCCTTAGATAATAATAATAATTATTATATAGCTATTTTCTTTTTGCCAACTACATGGCTATGGTTTAATCATAATTAAATGTGTCAATTACTCTAATTCACACTTAGTTATTATTATAATTTTCAATATAACTTTCATCTTTGGGATTTAATAATTACGTTGGGGACAAATCACAGACTACTTCAAAGTTGTTGGTAATTTTCCTTTGCCCCAACTACGGGCCGAGTGAAGAAACTTCAGTGGTGAGAAACGAACAAATCTGAGGTGATAATGATCAATTAATAAGCATAATTTACTGGACACTGAAAAATGTACAATTGCTTAAAGCATATTATGACCTTGCCTATGAATACAAAACCCGAAATTTCTGAGAAACAATATGAATGAGAATTTCAGCTTCATGCACAAGGACGTGTAAATTCACACGTGACCGTACATTCACTTTAAACCATAAAAATTCACGTGCGGCGTTGTATAGAACATAAATGTAAATGTGATCAAGTTCGAAGCTTGTCTCGAACCACCAGAATTTGGGCCTCTCCCTATTCTCTAGGCCCATATACAGATCTGCGAACACCTCTTAGGCCCATATGTAGATGGGCTCTCGCCACTTACCCTGGGTTTTATCAGTTTGTGTGAATTATAAATGTTGGCTAATCAAACTCGTCCTCTTTATCAGTTACTTGTCTGCAAGATTCCTACCCATTGTCATTAAATAGACATTATTCTTATTCTCCATCTTTCGCTTCTATCGGTTCAGTCTTGGAAAATGCTTATGGGACGGTATCAACTGTGAGCAGTCAGGTTCATACCTGAGAGCTTGTACTTTTAGCTTCATGCATTACAAACAATAACAGTAACAGCTAAGGACAAGCTTTAATCATTGATTCGTAGCATCTTTTGGTTAGATACAATCGATTACTAGCACGAAAATATAGCTTCCAATGAAAACACATTTCTCTATCACCCCCTACTCATAGTCATGGCGATAGGATTAACTAATGGGCTGGTCATTGGCAACCAAAATAAGTTAAAATTACTTAATACTCCTCATTAAATAAAGTTAAGGACTTCAAAAAAAATCAATTATACCGATAAATTAATTAATTATAATTAAATTGGGAGAAAATGATGACTCAATGGGAGGAGTATAAAATATTTGCAACGCCGCATGATTAAGACATTGATCGTACTGACTTATAATGCCATAATATCATATTATCACTTTCAATTTTTAGTTTCTCTAAGCTGCGATCTATGAATAGGGACAAATTGGTCGCTGCCGCCGTTTTCGCTCAAAACCACACCTACGTGTGTGCGTGTGTGTGCCATGCAAGTGACGATTCTCGTTCTCATATTTATTGCCCATTCGTGTTGAGATTATCGTCTTACGATGATGGCGAAGGATCAAGTGCGATTTAACAACACGTTCCCACCTGGTTTTCGATTCCATCCATCTGATGAGGAACTCATAGTTCATTACTTGAAGAAGAAGATCAACTCGCATCCACTTCCAGCGCCTATCGTTGCTGACATTGATCTTTACAAGTTTAATCCGTGGGAGCTACCTGGTTTGTTCTTCGATTCCCTATTTACTCCTTCTTAGTAATGTCTCTTTTCCAATTAATTTAGCTTAATTAGAAGAAATGAATATATCTTTCCTTTGTGTCTGTAAACTGTGCAGAGAAAGCTTTGTTTGGAGAGGATGAGTGGTATTTCTTTAGCCCCAGAGATAGGAAATATCCAAATGGGTTAAGGCCAAACAAAGCAGCAGCTTCTGGGTATTGGAAAGCCACAGGAACCGACAAGCCAGTTCTCACTTGCTGTGGATCAAAGCTCATAGGAGTGAAGAAAGCTTTGCTTTTCTATTCAGGTCGTCCACCTAAAGGGACTAAGACTGATTGGATCATGAACGAATATAGATTGGCTGACACAATCAGAAAACCTTCTCCTTCTAGATTCAAAGGTTCCATGCGAGTAAGTCTCTATCACACGGAAATGCATCCGTATATATATGCCTCTGTAAAAGCCATAAATAGACTAAAATAACTATGAAATGATGCACAAACGTGTCAAAAAATGCGAATTCTAATGAAGTATACATTATGCGCTGACAGTTGGATGATTGGGTACTATGTCGGGTTCGATATAAAGGCTACTCATCAAATCATAGAGGTGAGAATCAGGAGAGTCAGTGCGGCTCAAAATTATTGAACCTGCCAACGATCACAGATTATCGAATATTAGCTTCTGCTTTTGCCGATGAACCTAAGCTTCCCTCATCTGACCACATGTCTGGCATGAACTTTGGAAGCAGCAAAGGCGACACTTACACTTCAGTGAGTCCTCAGATGACAATCCCTTTGTTGGACTACAACAGTTGCTTCGACTCGCTGAAAAGAGCGTCTAATATCGAGGATAGTCGACGTGGAAATTTCATTTCTTTTAACCGTAGCAAGCCAAACCCTGAGAACAAGATTGATAATCTTCCAGACACAAACTGCTATAGCCAAAGTCTTTGTAATGAGGGAGCTCCTGGCCCCAGAACACTAGATCCCGCCATCAATTTTCAAGAACTCAATGAATTACCCTTCACAGGGGGGTTCATGCAATGAAGCAAGTGATTAGACGTAAGCCAGCCGATGATCAAGACTCCAAGTTTCAAGTGAATCATTGTATGCATATCATTATTCTTGCTACCACCAGAAACATGGGACAATAACTAAGATTACAAGGTTATCATATATTCATGAGATTACTTAGTAAACATGAATCAAACAGGGCCGGATAAATAAGCTCATACTTCGGCTGCGCTGCTGTCAGGGGAGAACGAGTGGGTAAGATTATTCGTGTATTCATAATGTCTGAGCCAAACAAACAAGCTCATTGTTTGGCTCCTGTTTGGATGAGATTGGCAAACTCATTCATTGATGATATGTACTTTACTTTATAGAGGTTGCACTTTGCAATCTCAAATAGATTAATTAATATTATACTTAGCAATTACATTTTCCATCCAACTGGCCTTGTGTGTTAAATTATATGACTGAGCAGAAAATTTTCAGTTAGAAGTTGCAGTGCGACAAGTCATTGTGAACTTATTAGTAAGCATCATAATTATTATATGCAGACATCGAAATGTCACTTTGGAGAAATATGGATGAAAAAGGTATGTAAAAGAAAGAGTCATGACATTTTCCATCCAAACATTATACTACACTACTGGGCAATTACGAAGCACATTGATAACATATATGGAACTTGCCATCAGAAACATAAAAGATAAGGAAAATGAAAAAAGTTACACAGGAAGTCCAAGAAAACGTAAGAATGCATGTAAAGCCATGGTGCAATTAGTGGAAGCCTTCCTGATCAAGTCACTGCCTCAGTACACTGTATCAAGTAGAAAAATGTTTAATTAGGAACGTAAGAGACAGAAAGGGAGAATATAGAGTTAGCAAGAAGCAAAAGTCGCGCTAAAAAAACTAAATCAGTAGAGTATTTTCAAATTTTACAGAGGCATGTGATTTAAGAAGTGGGCTTGCAAGGTGTAAACAGTAAAAGGATGCCAATGGAGTAGGACACTTGGATCTTCGAAAGATTGATGAACTTCTCAATCCCAACTTACTTGTATATGTAGGAAACGATGCCCAGGAGAACACACAGCAGAATGATGTCAATGCAAAAATTTCGACTAGACCTCACCTGTAAGGGGAACAAAAAAATGTTAATTATATTGGAAATATTGAGCCGCCCACCCCGAAAGATCTTTTCTTTTTCTTTTTTTTTTTAAAAAAAAGCAGAACAATTAATCACGCCAGAAACCTCGTTGAGAGTTTTCCTCAGCCTCGTGTTATTATTTCTAAGCTCGGATGTGGCCTTATCGACCTGTATATTAAACGCAAAGCACATGAAACGTATTCATGAAAAACTTTCACTCTCATTTCATGAAACAATCTAGTTGATAGAACTGAGGTTTTTTTTTCCTCACCTTTGTACCAATTTCATCCATTAATGGAACTTGCCGGTCCAATTCCTGAATTTAAACCCAAAAAAGAGAACGGTTATTATCTTGGACTTCTAACCTACTAAAAGACTTTTTTGAAATGCACAACATGTCGAAACTACATTAAAGCACCCCCATGGCACATAAAACTGCAGATAGAGACCCTAAGCAACACAATCAGTCGGTTGCAACTGGCACAAACGAAGGTGCATGGCCCCTCTCCCCGTTGAGTTTAAATGCAAACTAACCTATCATGGAATACACATACATAAACAAGGACCCAATCCATTCTGGGCCTAATATTTGAAACAAGACTTACCATCCAATGAAGTCCCGAGTTATGTTCCAATAATTATTAATGCTAATCTACAATAAAATTTATTAAAATTCCAAAACAACCAACCTCATTCATATCGAGGGCCAAATTCTTCAACGTATCCAATCCTTCTGATATGATATCAAGCCCTTCATCCTGTTTTGTTTTAAATCATGTAAGATAACAGATCAGCTGGCGAGAAATGCCTTTAATTAGCCGTAAATTTCTAGCCCTTCCAAATTAGTTGAAATTAATAGCAATGAGTCTTACATGCCTGTTTCATTTTTCGCATCTCATACTCTGATCTAAACTGACTTGATTCTTCTGTTTGTTGGTAATATAAATCGTCCTTGTATCCTTCTGAGGTTGGGAATGTTAAACAGATATTATTAAATATAAAATGAAAACAAATAAAAGTCAAATGCATTTAGCATCTGCTGTACTGGTCACCTGACGAATCAAACATGATATTAGGATGAGATGAGGGAGAAACACCCCCTGCAGCTTGATTAGCTGCACCAGTGATACCATCTGGTATTGCTTGAATCCTTTCTGGCAATGCTAAAACCATATCATTTCGAATGGCCATGTCTTCACTTGTGAGACCCTTAACCTGTTATCGATAGAATTGGAATTTTAATTACAGACGGAGGCAAAAGCAGTCTTTTTCAATTTTTATTGACCAAAGATACCCAACGCATAATCAATCCGTACAAATAAAACTTTCCCACTTCTTCTGAGTAAGCTAATCCCCATTGGTTGCCATTTCTGCCCTTCTTAGAAGATGGCTTGACCGATTTTAATTGACAGATGAGGCAAAACCATCAAAACATAGCAATTTTTTCTTAAGTAGATTTAGTGATCATTGCTAGAAATCGTACACAGATACAAAATAAAATTTTAGGAAGTGTATGAAGAGATGATGTAAATGGAAAATCTGAAAGAAAACCTCAGAGCTTCAGGATGCATGTAACCAGTAAGGCAACATTACATATCATGCACTGGAATATGTCTTCTCCAAGCTCTATGATTTGCTTGGCTTATGCTGATATGCTTATTTTTCAGTCAATGAACAATTAAGCTAAAAGTCTTTCCTTCCACACACACACACACACAGAGACAAAAGACAGGAACCATCCCCACAAAACCATTAATAGGAAGTAAAATCAAGAGGTAAAGAAAATGAAAGGAATGAGAATTAACAATGCATCAGTAGTCAATGCATGTGTCGTATTCAAACCCATCTATAAATTAAAAAGCTGAGTAATTCCAGTGTGCCCTCAAACTTTTCAAACAGGATTTACCTTCTTCTGCGCCAGTTTACGAAGCTTAGGGACTTCATCCATGAGTCGAGCTTTTGTTCGACGAACTTCCGCATTCAATGCCGCTGCAGATGCCCTGTTCTTCTCATTAGAAGCAATCTCTGATTTCTGCATTAAAATGAATAATAATATTTCATAAAGACCTCGAGTTGGATCTGCTCTACAATGCGTTAAATTCCATGCATATTGTTTCCGCCAGAGTCAATTTTCAATGACTTCATCTTCATCCATGGATCAATCATAACTTGATAAATTCTAAATTCTAAAGATAACAGAGAAAATGCGTACTTTATTGCGCAAATGACATTTGTGAAATCTTAAAAAGCGGAAATATCAGGACCTCATTTTCTACCAATTATAAGCAACGAGATGAAGAACACGATTACAAAAGAAACCAAAAGGGAGAGAAACAAACAAACATTAAGGGCGGCTTGGATGTTGCTTTCCACGGCAGCGTAGAGGCGAGCAAAGGCATCATCACCGTAGGCATTGAGCTCCCGCTGCTTATCGATGTCATATTTCTCGTATTTCTGGCATATGGAATCGACGCGGAAGATAATATCAATGACGCTCATGTTTTCTGTACAGTTTCATGCGATGAAAATCTGGAACAGTTGACAAGGAATCGATACGATTGGGTTCTGAGAGAGAAGGCTGTGGGATTCCTCTCTGATTCATGAAAAGCTTCTTCGCATTCTTCGATTACCATACCAAAAGGCCCTTCACCGAAAAGAACGCTTCCACAAGTGATTTGGCCATCCACAGTGACGATAGCGTGGCATTAATCATCGTTTTCTAGCTTCTTTTTTCGCGGGTACTTGTTTCTTCTATTTTTAACTTTTCCTCGTTAAACGGCTATATGTATTGGTCATATTATACACACACACACACACACACATTGCTCGAAACTCGAATACAGTACAATTTACGATTGAATCGGTTGACCATAATACGATAGAAAGAGTTGGATTTAGATTCTAATTTTTAATCAAATAACTTTAAATTGACATATAATGCTTTGAACTGATTTATCATTTTATTTTTAACCCTTCGATTTCCTTCTGATTTATAAAATATTAACATCATAGCCATCATATCAAAATCTTAGCTTGTATATCTTCTCTGTTTGATCGATAATACAAAACTTTTGAATTTTGAGTAGATCATTTTCACACTTTAAAATTGAATCATGATGTCTATGAAGCTTTTCAATTTTTGAAAGAAGTACAGTCTATAATAAGAATTATCCACTCATGACTTAAAGCAAAAAAATTGATTTTTATAAAAAAAAAAGAATAAAGTTAATGAGTTGATATCATTTACGAGACATATTTTATCAATTAATGGAGTTGGAGTTTATCAATACCGCCAACAACTTAATCAAGTCCTCCAATAATGTTAATGTTGTGTTCTCTTTCATTGTTGGTTTTGTTTCTGGCTTTCTACGTTAAATCATCGCAACTACGTACTCCTATTGCCAAATCTTCAACCTTCACGAACTAAAACAACAAATCCAGTGCCTGACAACAATCAAGAAGTTCAAATATAAACCTTTTTTTGGTAGCTTGGCATTGAAAAATAAGGACGTACGTGATTTGGATTGGTTTGAGTCATAATTAATTGCTGAATATTGCATGCCATAAAGTGGAATATAATGTGGCAGTAACGCCAAAACTAACTTCGGCTGAGCCATATTCCCTTCTGAAAATAACAAACTCTAATCTAAGAAAGAAGGAAGCAAAACGAAAAACAGGTTTTTCCGTCACCCAGAGGAGGAGAACCGAAAATGGCGCGCTTCCCTAACGGATCTCTCAACTGTAAATTCAGGGGATCCACGCGCGTCATCTCAATCGCTGCCAGATCGAGAGCGGTAGAGCTTGCCAAACACGTGCAGAGCCGTAACGAATCCGATGAAGCACAGGCTCATCACCAGCACCATAGTCGGCGAAATATTCAGCCCCGGGGCGTCGTCTGTGTAGAACCTTAACATGTTGGCGCCAGCTCCAGAACCACCTCCGACTCCGCTGCCGGAGCTGCTTCCTGCACCACCAGCTCCTGTCATGCGACGGCGGCGCATGCCAGCTGTGGCGGCAGCAGAGCCACGTGGAGCCATGACTCCTGGGCGGGCGGTCGATGCCATGGTGGCGGATTGAGATTGAGATGCCCCTCTCGCCATGGTCGTAGAGCAGCGAATTTCGCCGAGGGAGCAATAACGGGGGGAAAATAGGGCTGTTTGAATTACGAGTGAGAGAAAACAGAGACTTTCATATAAGGAGGAGAAGGGCGTGTGATGGCATGGGATGATTTCCTCTCAAACAACTTAATTTTTATACTTGTTCATGCTCTTTTTATATTAACTAAGATATAATAAATTCACTGTTATTTTAAAAATCTAATATATTGTGTTTAAGTCCAGTCTTTATTGTTCGTTAAGTCTTTCAAATTTAATTTGGGATTATTTTGCTTATTATCCTGACAATATGTTTATGCGTTCCAATTACAATAGTACTAATAATAACTATTAAGCTTATTATTCTTCCATGGAAATCAAAGAATTAAATATCGATCGACCGCATAATATCTAGTAATTTTTATTTGTTTATCGTTATATATGTTGTTTATATTTTTTTTTCGTGCTATTAATAGCTCTATTGAAATGCATTGCTGATGCTAATTGAGGTCCTCGTAAAATGTTATTGCTGATTGTATTATTAAACAATAATGTGTGTGTGTGTGTGTGTGTGTGTAGTTGACACATATGGTCAGCAATGTGATATGGATTGGAACATTTACGTTCTTTCAAGGCCATAGCCATTAATTATTAATTACACGGCCAAAATTACCTCCGGCCATTTGGTCTGTGTGCTGCATTTAAATTTATATAAGTAGGAGGTTCGAGCGGGCAGTGAAGAAAGAGAAATTATTATTGATTACACAGCATGTGTGGGGGGGGGTTTAAATATATTACTCCCTCCAATCTTAAATATAAAACCCATTTTATAGTATAAATTGCACTACAAAATAGGTCTTATATTTAGAACCGGAGGAGCATTAACTATTAATCAAAATACTTAGGACTAACTGGAGTGATAATATAGACATGTAAGATGATGAATAGGCAGTGATCAAATCAAATGTTCTGATTAAAAGAGCAGCCATATCTAGCTTCTCAATATACATAGCATATTTGATACTAACTGAAAAGACACGATAATATATCACTTGACCCTTAATTCTAGTTGTTAGTTTAATATTGGTTTGATCACCTAATCAAGAGTTTAAAAGAGTATTGATGCTCCTCCTGGTCCTATTTATAGGGCAGAAAGAAAAGACATTTTTTAATCTTATTTATAGGATATTAAGAAAAATTTTATATATAGATGTACAATATTATCCTTTATTTATTACTGTGTTAACTTTATTTTCATGAGGTGTAATATATATTAAATAGAAATAAAGTTAAAAAGTTATTGAATTTTTAATGAGAATTAATACAGTTTAAAATTTTTCTTAATCTGTACAAAACATGTTAGAAGTTACTTATAAATAGAATCAGAGAAGTATTTTTTTTTTTTTAAAAAAAAAGATACCAGAATGTGAATGAAAGATTGTGATGGAACTATTGTCCCTGACACATAAATGTTTAGACAAGAGTATACTCGTATAAACGTTTTACAAATATGAATATAAGATGTGCACACAGATAAAATTGGCTCGAAGCTCTCCCGACACATTCACAAAACCGGGAATTCTTTTCGCCTGCAATATGCATGTAGGCCTGCATTCGGAAGTTGATTATTATAGGCACTTCACTGGGAAAGGAAATTCGTACGTTTGTCAAAGGAGAATTCTTTGGTAGGGGCAATATCAATCTCATGTTGAGGTACGTTAATGGAGGAAGGCGATCGAATTTCAGGTTGACGGTGACGGCGTTGAGGCTCCATTTCCACTTGCTGCTGCTGATAACTAGACGAAGAAGCCACATTAACCTTATTCATGTAATGCGGTGGAGATGCAGAATAATCAGCTTCCACGCTTGATCTCCTGGGAGACGTGTGGACGCTGATGTTTTCCACTTCACTCCGGTGGTATCTTAAGAGAGACGCCGGAGACATGGGCGGCGACGGCGTTTCCGACGCCGTTCCCACTGAACCACGCCTCCTCTTAACCTCCCTCCTGGCTTTGTGGTGCCATTTCCTGAGTGCCGCCACTACTCTTTCGCTAAATATCGTCGCCCTCATGCTCGATCCCATCTGCATGCACACGTTATTTCATCTCATATTTAATCACTCTAATTTTGAACTTTGATTATTTTGAAATTTCTGAGACTGATCATCAACTATATATATATAATATACCTGCGTTACGAGAGCATACAGAGGAAGCGTGACGTAGCTGCAGAGGATTTGAACGAAGACCCTAAACATGTATATACACACACATCACCAATATATTAACAGTGTGTGTGCGCAGTATATATATGAAATTAACTGTGATTCTGATGAAAATGAGATGTGTTTCTACTTACCCCATCGTGATTCTGATGATCAAGTCTTCCTTTTGTGAATGAAAGCAAGGTTTCCCCCCGAATTGTAACTGATGACGACAACAAAATTGAAAGCATCTATCAGATAGTGTCAACTTCTTCATCATCACATAATAAAGTGGAAAGGGGAAGTAAGTATTACCTCACTCCAGGAAAAGAAAGCGAGCTGGAAAGCATTCTGTACGTTTAGGACACAAGGCCGGGGAATATTTAAAAACAGGATTAGTATAAGAGGAATAGGATCATGCCGTTTAGTTAATATATATGTTGATGTTGATAGGGGAATAAGGAACAAAAGTATAAGATGAGTACCTGAAAGAGCACAAAGTGGATGAGGTAGAGAAGGAGGCGAGGTCGATTGAACCAGAAGAGGTCATCCCCTGGTTGCACGAGTGGCACCCCCTTCACCACGTCTCCTCTCTCTTCGATCTTAAGTCCCATTTTTGTTATTATCACTTGAAGCTTCGTCCCCACCAACAATATTATCTACATTTATAAATATTCACCAATGATTATTAATAAATTTTCACCAACATTTTTCTTCAACTCACAACCCAACCCATTTCACTTACCACCAAAGGGATAAATGGAAACCACAGATACGCGTACCATCCTGTTCATATTTGGCATTATATCTATCAGTACCATTCACTCTGTGCGTGTGTAATTACTTCTCCAATTACATAATTCTACGATGGTGCCATATATGACTCGAATGTATAATATAATGACAAGTTAAATTAAAATGTTGGTAATTGTAGTTACTTACCGTGAGTGTTAGAAAGGAGGAACAAGACAGCAAAGGCCCAGATTGGAGGACTAAAAATTAGAAATAATGGATCATCATGTTAGTTATTAGAAGTTTATTTGCTCGTCAAATTAAGAACGAAAATGGCATTGGCTTAGCTAGCTATAAATGTACAGGACGTGTTGAATATAGCAGCAGTACACAAGTTTGTCTTGAGCCTGCAAATTAAGTACAAACCTGATTCCCACGACGACTTTGAAGTCTTCTTCTAAAGACCTCTTTATATATTTCCGAAAATCGAAGCTCTCTTGACTCTGAGGCGATAAATGTGCCTGGATATATTTCATGAAATTAAGTTCTCCATTTTCTTAGTGAAATAAATGGAACTAGGCCCAAGATTATTCCAATCTTTTTTTAATATGTCCTTGCAAATTAAAATAATTTTCTACAAGTTTAAAAACAACAGGTGCATGATCGTTTGTTGTTTTAATAATGTAGAACCTAAACTGATGGGGTATGGCCTGGGGTTAAAATTAGTGGGAGAAGAATTACCATCATAAAGCCATGTCTCAGGGTTAAGTAATCTACTTTAGGAACTGACCTCACGAACTGTCTGAAGAAACAAACCTGCATCACAATTAAGTGGTTTAATTTGGGGGGAAAATAAAACCAAAAAAAAAACGAAGAGAAAAGAAATAATGCTTTGTGCAAGCAGCTCAAATAGGAAAAAAAAAAAAAACAACGAAAGTGATCATCACACGCGAATAAGCAAGTAACTAATTCCTTTGAAGCTGAGTGTTCAATTTTTTAATTAACTTGACAACCTTAAAGTCGCCAACGTACGGGACCATATATAGAGGGATTTATGTACAATTATTGTTTGGCGAATACTGCACGGCACGTTGATGCTGACTTTTAGATATAATTACAAGAGTATAGCCTTGAACAGTACTCATAATGGGCACAACAGATTAGTTGTCTTCAATATATAATAAATGATACTCCCAAAAGAAGTGAAATGTGTTCAAATGCCACCCAAACAGTTTTCCCATTCTGGGCCGTTATTGACTTATTAATTAAACAACAACAATATCAATATTTTTCTTATTGACTTATTTAATTGTTTGGACGTTGACAGGTTGGATGATTCCACGTACCTCCCTCTTATTTATTTATTTATCATTTAACATCATATCTTATAGCATAAGCTAATATAAAGACCAGAACATAACTATATATTTACGCAGCATCCATATTTTTTTCCTCAACATTTTTAAACAGTGCATGAGAGAGAGAGAGGGAGAGTTAATCAAGTGACGTACAATCCAAATGAGGAGAGGAGTTTTCGTCCAACAGCTCAAGTGCCTTCTTCCGAATGAAGTGTCCTTTGCAAATCTGAATCGCTCTGGATCTGCTGTCACGTGTGTGTGTGTGTGTGTTTAAATATTCAAATAATTAAACACTGCATCCTAAGGTATAAATATAATATTAATTTTTGATTCACATGTGTATGTTAAATGCAAACACTGACCGTTCGTAAACTGGTACTCAAGTGTTCTTGTTTCCTCTTCCCATCGCTTCCACCTTCTCATCTATACATATAAAGTTAAAACGATCAAACAGTAAATTTGCAATATCATCTAGAGACACCAATTGCAAGTCAATCGTCGTGCTATGTATTTACGAACCTTAGCACGACCCAAAGCCAGAGTGAGGATGCAGTAAAGCACATGAAAACAAGCGAGCACGAAGATAAATATATGCAGCTGATGAATCCCATCTGACGACACAAACGCTACTTTGCCCTGCCATTAATTAAACAAGATTAATATCAGTGAATCCTCTTGTATAATTACGTCCAATTAAGTATGTGTTTCCTAATGTAAATTATATATGGATGGTTGGTTTGGCTTATAATTCGGATGCCTATATCAGTTATCATCATATATTTACACTTACACACGCACCTCCGCACAATTGTCGTCTCCTCCTCCGGCTGCCAAAACACGCCGGCTTTTTTCACCCTTGGAATCAAGTAACGCCGCCAGCAATCTCCGGCCGGTGGTCTCGGTATCTTCCGAGTCTTGTGCCTCGTCTTCGTCGTCGCTGCAGGGGTGCCACGTGTTTGCCACTTTTTCTGGTATGCATATTCTTGTTATAAGACTCTGTCCTACCGTCAGCAGCAACGATATGAACCCTAGTAACATCAGCTCTGCACCAGTATTTATCCAAGTAAGCAGCGAATTTAACTAAGAAAAGTTGCCCAAAACCTGAATGTGTGTGTGTAGTTCGAACCTGATTTGATCTTTTCCAGTGACTCGTATAGAGCTTTCTTCTTCTTCTTCTTCAACCACTGCAGTATTCCGTCGCTAAGATTTCAGTATAATTCTGAGGCATTTTATGAACTTGATTGTGGAGCGGTAATTGTACATACCATTGCCATGAGATGTATGATATGCTCGATGATTATGGAAATTAAGATTAAAACAAAACACACAACAGCCACCGCCCACGTCGGCGTTTGCTCTAAGTTTCTTCCTCCGCCGCTTCCTCCTGCCATAGCTCTGATCCTCTGTGATTGCACAGTTCAGAAACCAAATACACAAAAATAAGAAGCCAGGTCTATATATAAGATCGCGGAAGCAGATAGATGCGCCAAATGGAAGTTCGAAGTATTAACGGTGGTTAATAAAAATATGACGGGTGCGTGAGCGAAAATTTTTGAAAGGTTGAATTGTTATTAACCCATTTTAACTATATGGCAAGAAAAACATTATTAAAGATGTAATCAAAAGAGACTAGTTACTTGAAACGGCAATAATTTCCTCTTCATATTATTATAATATTTCGAGAATGCTGAATATTGATTTTTTCGATTTCTTCCTTGAGGAAAAAAGAAATAAATAAGATAAGGAGGACCAAGTTGGAAAGAGTTGACTTGAAATGCGAAGAAACGTTAAATGGGCGACCAAAAAGATTTGTAATTAAATATATATAAGTTGAAATATCCTTTGGATTACTGAAGTTTAAAAGATGTTAATTATTAGAACAGTGATTAAGACGCATGCTAATTGTACTGGATCTCACAAGTGAAATAATGTTCATTAAGAGATGACTATTCAAGCCAAAAGATTTGAATGGATGAAATGGGGCGAATGTAAATCGGGGAAATGGCAGGAATTTTCTCTGGAAATTTAAAATCAACAGGCTACAAAGAGGTGCTCTGTTCATAATCAAATGCATGAATGCTTCAAGTTAGACTAACTATATGAAGCAGAAGAAATAATTTTATTTCATGAATTCCTGTTTGTGTATAGTAGACCGAAATTTGAGTGCCCAATCTCGGCTTGCAAATGAAGCGTACAACAGAAATGCACGGACGTTAGAATATTATAGATACTACCTCGAGTTGTCAATATAGGAGTTAGCTTGACTAATTTGAGCCGATTAAAAAATTAGTTAGGTTAATTATTTGTAATAAATAAGCATTCTTTCTTAAAATATCATTACTAATCATATATATTAGCTAAAATTATTATCTGATAAAATTTTTAATATGTACAATTATTACAAGGATTACCTTAACAAATTAAAAAATACATAAATATAAGAGATAAAGTGAATTAAAATCTTATATATAAAATTAAATTAAATGTGATGAACCTAACTTTTTATATTAAATGTCAACCTAACTTTTATATTAAATACAGGACCCGGTGCATTTGAAGCGTTCATATCGACGTAAAGGACGAATGGGCAAATGTAATTACCCACCGTCATGTTTTGAACCCAACTGCGATTGCGGGCGTAACTATTTTGATTTCACCATCATTCACCGCCGACTTTTTCTAAAAATAAATTTTTATATTGTAACTAAATGGTTATCATTGCATTGTTTTCTAACTTCTAAATAGTAACTGACTCCTCTTTTTGGAATTTTATGTTTCACGTGCTTTGTTCATGGTAACGTGATACTATTAACATTTTTAGATATTCAAATTCTTCGTCTGACCTATAACATTGAAAATATCAAAATAAACGTTTCAGCTAACCAATGGGTTGGACTCACTTACAAGCTATGTGCAGCCGCATGTTGGGTCAGGTACAACTTTGGCCACGCTTTTTAACCACTTAGAAATTAGCTTCAAATTTCATGCTTTGCTCTGGTAGGGATGTCTCTCCCCCAACACCGCAATGATCTCAAAAATCGAATTTGTTCCTCTTGATAAACTTGTGCGGACCGGACCATTCCATCGCTTGAGTCCTGGAGCAAGGGTAAAAAATATAGGGTTATTAAAGATATTAAAAGTTGCATTCAATCCTATGAAATAATTTAGCCATCTAATCAACAAGGAAAATTTGTATCTCTCGATGTATGATGAATTTGACCTGCTAATTTCTATGAACTAATAACGTTTTAAATTAGATAACAATTGCAATGATATGTTAGTTAACGAGGACGATGGATGTACGATCACGTCCTGTTCAAGGCAGGTGACCGACCATCTCTTGCACTCTTCGTGCCACACACAGCACAGACCTTTCAAATCAAAACCAACTGCGGCATCACGCAAGTCTCACACAGTCACCGCGTGTCGGAACTTAATTGGCCGAAGGTGATATGCTTCATTTGGACGCTCCGATTTTGGGTTGCCGAGTCCCACCCATTCGTACAGGGTTAATGAACCGGCATTCAATTATTTTTGCCCAAGACAGGAAAGAAAAATGCAAATTTCCAAGTTACCAGAGACCGGAGGCGGGAGCGTGAGTAATTCGATATTTTTGCAAATGAGATTGTGGATTTTTATACTACTTTCGGTAGTTAATATAAGATCTTATTTGATTTTTATTTTGATCCTAAATATAAGACTTCAATTTACTTTTTCTATCATATTTATGCATTTTTTTCCCTAATATAGTCCTTTTAACAATGATAGTTCTAACTAATATATTTGATTAGCAAAGATATTTTAGAAAAGACAACATCTATTTATTACAAATAACTAACTTAATTTCTTTTTTTAATCTTCTCAAATTAGTTAACCAGCTTTTATAATTAGGACCAGAGGTAGTATTTATGATAAAAAAATTATATCGAACAAGTTAATCTTAATTATTTTTGCGTAACAAAGAGCCTATTTTTTAATCATAATTTATTAAATACGACATAACTAAAATGTATTTATAAGTCATGTCATACAAGTGCTTAAAGAATAAAACCACTGTATGTATGGCTTTGACAGTTTGAATTAAGAGAAGGGCCTTAGCGGCCAGGGTCTACTTTGATTTTTTTTTTTTCTTCTTCTCTTTTTTCAAAAAGCAGCTCTGGTGTGAATTGAAACTGACATTGATTCACAGATCAATTTTGTGATGAAATTTCAAATGGAGCCTTTGATAAGCAAAATGAGATAAACAATTAAAGCAGGTGTCATTGTTGCCAGGATGTTTGAAATGGAGACGTTTACAGGGTGGCATGCTGGGATATTCGTCTTTTTCATCTTTCTTTCTTTTTTCCCCAAGTCCAATTTTTTTAGATGAAAATGTCTCTTATTAAAGATAATTCTATTAGAGATATTGTCAGGTAATAAATATAAAAACTTTTTTTTAATAAAAATTTAAACTTTGATTCATTGATATGCTATTCCCACCCAATGTCAAAAAATGTCCAAGTTTGAAAGAGAAGAAAAGGCTCTATGATAACCCGCACTCACACATGTATATATTTCAAAGTTTGAAGTGCTCCTTCTAGATCTTATTATAAACTTCAAATAACTAATTTACATCTAATAGATAATTAGTTAAAAGTAATAAAGAAATTAAAAATATATTTTTGTTTTCAAATATGCCCTTATAATAAAATAAGAAAAAGTATGAAGAGAATATATGAAAAAAAATGTGATAAGAGAAATTATGACAAAAGAGAGAGAATAAATAATTAAAGATAAAATTGAAAAGAGTAAATTAAATATTAAGACAAATATCAAATTAAAGCTTATCAAATAAACCACATTCCTCCTCTCCGCATTTGAAGCTTACAAATAGGATTGGATGGAGTTTTTGGCGTGTGCTGGGCCTGTGTTCCGACTGTGTTATAAATGAAAACTAAAAGATAAGCTAGTATAATATATTTATAACTTAGGAATAGTTTGAAATGTTATAAATTTCATATTTAATGTTAACATTATTTGCCATCATGAGCCAACGTTGGGGTTGGAGTTGGAGTGTTGAATTAAGGGTATGTTTACAATTGGAAAAGTAGCTTATTGAAAAAGTAGCTTATAGAGAAGTGAAATTGGATAAAAACTAAATTGGATAAGTTAAATTGTGTTTGGATTATAGTTCAGAAAAGCTAGATTGTAAAAGTGAGATTGGTAAAAGGTTGTTTGGATTATAATTGAGTAAAAGTAAGTTTGGTTGTAAAATGACCAAAATAGATATGAGTTTTAATAAATAATGAAACATGATTAAAAAAATAATTTCACATAATACAATGAAATTAAAATAATTTAATATGAAGAAGTCATAAAAAATATTTTAAATATAAAGTGAAACATAAAAAAATAAAAGTATATTTTTAGGAGCATATTTAAAAATAAAAATATATTTCTAACTTATTCATCACTTTCAACTAATTTTAACTAATTTTTTATTATCTACAAATTAGTTATTTGAGGCTTATTATAAGAACTAAAAGAGGTAATAAATTTCTCAACTTTTTCTCTCTCCATATTTCAAAAGCTATAAGCCATAAGCTATAAGTCATAAGCTGTTAATTTTAGCTTATAGCTTATTGTAGCTTTTCAGACAAAAGCCCAATTGCAGAAAAGCTGATCCAAACAGACCCAATTTTGTCAATTGAGCTTATAGAGCTTATAGAGCTTATAAGCTACTTATAAGCTCAAAATAAGTGATGCCAAACAGGCACTAAGTAAAGTTGTAGATTTTAAGCCATGCATGCAAGGATCGATGGTGACCTATGAGATGACATTTTAGATTAAAAATGACAATTGAAAACCCAACATTTATCAAAAGAATTAAAGTTTAATTTATATCAATTGACTCCTCAAATTTTTAGAGGACAAATGAGACACGGAGTTTCCAGTCTTTACGAACGGTTACAGTGAAGCCGTACAGAAATTGTTGGACCCCGTTTCCGTGACAGCTCATCACAACAATCAAACTTCAATTGGTTGTCGTATCGTATACTCTTCTTGCTAAAACGACAGAAAGGAAAAAGAGGAGACGCTGTTTCCTGTTTGCCTCCACCCTAACAACGCAGCAAGCCCAGTGGTGTGCGGTATAGAACTGGACTCGGGCGCCCACTAGATCGGGCCCAGTTGTTGTTTGTTGCGGAAGGCACATGAGATGAGATAGACATAACATGTTAAAGAGAAAAGGCATTAAAATCTATTATCTATTTCAATATTTCAAAATAATTTCATAAAAACGATTTTTTGATGTTCTATTCCCTTCTTTTAATTTTTTAAAATCTAAGGTAAAAAATTAAAAAAAGTGATGTTTTGATTTTTATCTTTCAAGACAATTTTTAACCTTTTATTTTTCAGAATACATGACCAAAAATATATTTTTTTAGTTTTTTTTAATAGAAAAC